TCAAATATACACATCTGTGTGCTACTAATTTTTCCTTTGTAACACTGTGTCAAATCTGAAAACACATGTATATTTACACTCCTATCATTCAATTATTATTCTTTAGACTTGTAATTGCTTTGACCAATATGTAGGTTACATAGCTGTTAGATTAAGGAACTGACGTTTAGGCCGACGCATGAACTTTAAAGGTTAGCAAACACCTGCCGTACAGCAGTAGTGTTCAAACAACTCCTGAATGCCATCACTGTTCATCTTTTCAGTCAGTATTATCAGCACACCTAGTGAGGCATAAACAATGAGTGGTCAGGGTGGCCAGTGCTAACCTAGCATGATGTCTGGTCACCATTCTGGCCACTCCAAATATGGAAAGTGAGACAGTCAAACATCAGCGTCAAACATCATCAATAAAGCATCTTTTTATGCTTTATGGTGAAAATCTGCCTTCAGGGTAGTTACAGCAAACAGGTGAGTGAATGTGCACTGGGTCCCTTCAGCAGTGCTACTCTGTGAACTACATTATGAAGCATTCTGTGTTATGATAAAATGGCTGGCTAAAAATTAGTCAGCTATAACCGTTTATCATGCTAACTAATCACTTTTTGCAGTTGAAGATGTGCATGTTGTAGGTTACCTTATACTTTGGCTAGCTTTCTAATTATTAGACTCATTAATAACCTGTAGCAAGGGCAGCCTTCTATGACCTTTCTATATGAAACATTTTTCTTAAAGGTAATTAAATCCATTTTTTAACATTACTACATAATTAAATGGTTAGGATGTAAACAAAGTTATTCAGAGTGGTTTTATGAGAAATACTCTGATCTAGAGAAGCCTAGTCCGAATTGTTCACAGCAGTGGTGATAGGAACCAGACGTCTAAAAGGGCTTAACGCCTATAAAAGCTCTCTCATAGAAAGTTTCTACATTAAATGCTTACAGATACACCGCCTGATGCCTAATATGTTATTTTAAGATAAATTTAAGATAAGCTTTTTGCCTAAAATGTTTTTTCAAACTTATGTTGTATGTTTTCTTTTTAAGTTAACACTATTTTACCATCATCAATATTGCATATAAAGACGCAGAAGATACATGTAAGTTCACTGGTAGTTTTAGATAGTAAATAAAATGGCTATATTTGCGTTGTTGACATTGTGACTTTGTGACCCCCTGGTTCCTATCACCACCACTGTAAAGAAATCTGTAAGTTCCTCTACAATAAAGCATACCACATCAAACCACTTTAAAAGAGATTGTTCACATGTCAGTGACTGAATTAAACAGAAATTCTGAAAAACTAGTGGAATTCTATTTTAGCAGTGTGTCACCCCAGTAAAATCTCCGGGAGTTGCCTGGCCACCCCTTTCTAAAAGTTCTAGCTACACCCCTGACATATGTATCAGTAATGGCAAACTGCTAAAACCTATTTCCCCTTAACTATATAGATTACCCATTAGCCTCATAGTAGTTGCTAAATAGTTACAAGTTACCAAAACAATAAGCCTTATGAATAATAACTAAACAACAAGCCCACATTTTAAGGTGTTAAATATCTAATCACTAACACATACTGCGAGCAAGAGAGGAAGATACAATTTACGGTAACTGAATAGTAAGACTTGGGTTCAAGGGGTCAAATCCAGCAACGACCTATGGAGAGGGACGTTTTATCTGTTAAAATCTTATGGGGTTGTCTTCTTCATCCCCTCCATTTGGTTTATTACACTTCAGACAACACATAGTGGGGGGTGGAGGGTTGGAGGATCTAGATGGTCCAGCAGATTAGAAAGCCACCATAAGACCAAGGTCTGCTCACTGGCCCCCTTAGAGAGCTGAAGGTGATGCTTCCCGTGTGAGCAAGCCCAGGAACAGGCCGAGAGGCCGCAAAGTCAACCTGATGTGTTATTTAAGCCCAGTGTGTGGCATGTGTCAGCGTAATCCCTAATCTCTGCTGGCACACTGCACAACTTTCAGGCCAAGCGGCTCTACGTCACATTCATGTACTGTAGTGAACAGCATGTTGTTGGATGCTTTTCCTTTTTATTATTATTGTTTGTCTCCTTCAGGCTCTTCGGTTTATTCACTCATTGCACTGCTGTTTTCTGTGAGTGGTCCATTTTGTTTGTACTTCTAGTGTCATACCTTTCCATCTCTGAGAGGTATCTCAAAAAGACAGCAGCTGCCTGCCGGTTTAATCTCCCCTCTGCACCCTTATCCTGCACTAATCCTGTGTTAGCTTGGGGCAATTAGCCCATGTGGCTAATTACACGTAAGCAAGAAAGGTTAAAGAGGGTAACACAGATTAAAGTGCTGTGGCAAGATGGCCCCTTCTAGATTACTACCTCACTCCCTTCAGTTGTCACTCTCCACTCTCCCTGTCCAGGTGAGAATAAGATGGACAGGAGCAGTAGCCCTTTGAAGTTGAGCTTCATCTGTAGTTGGCATATTGCCCTTAATAGGAAGTATGGGATCTAAGCAGTTTTTCTCTATTGGAAAAATGAATGGAGCTGCTAGCTACGTGTCCCTTGGTGAACTAAAATTTTCCAAGACTGACACCTTTGGTCATGCATACTTTTTACCCCCAAAAAGTCTTTTTAGCAGTCAAAATATAAATACTGCTTCATACATGTCTACTATAAAACACTGTTATATACACCAACTACTCAAACTGTAGCCTAAAACTAACAAAGCAATCACATCTAACAAAGCTTACTGGTTTGTGTGGAGTATTTTGGTGAGGTTACCAGTCTTATTATGTCAATTCTGTGTGCAGCAGTGTTAACGTTATTCATATTTCAGCTTCTTAAATTCGAACAGAGTGTAAAATACTAAAAGTATTTGTATTATACTAAAATTAAGTGTTACACATCTAGTAAAGTTAAAATAAAAAAACGATAAAATGTAATATAATAAAACAAGGCTTAAAAACTGCTTATCAGACCTATCTGAGAACTGTCTAGGTGTGATCCAATGTGGTAAGGAACATGCTACGTTGGATGACAGCTAGACATGACTGTTATGATTTTGCTGAGCTAGGTTTCCTTTCGCTTGGTTGTAGACTAGAATACAGAGACAGTGTGGGGGCGGGAGGGGACATATTTTTGTTCATGTTTGCGGCTCATCAGCCTTGTCATTGGTGAGGATACTGCTTACATAAACCTACCCCAAGATTAGGACCACCCTGTTTACACTGAAAGAGGAGACTTTTGCTGAAATACACTGGCAATTAATTGGACTGTGAAGTTATTCACAGGATGTACTTTGTACATGTATATTACATGCCCACAGGAGTATAATTAACCTAGCTAGAAAGAAAATACAGATTAAAGTTCCCTGAGGCTTTAATGAGCTCATAATTCTGAGGATCTAGCGACATGCAAAATGTATTGGCTTTGGTTTTTATTACTAAGTTGCTTTGACAAAGCCAACTTATTATTCTTCTTAATTCTCTTATTCTACCGTATTATTCTATGCTCAAGATTTAAACTCTAACTCCTCCTACAGGTTTCAACTTTCAACCACAAAACTTGGATCATAGATCATGAATCCGAATAGTGTGCTAGTGCTTTTTGAACCGAGTGGACGTATGGTATTTGTACAATGTTCGATGAAAGACTTTTTTCTCTTAAGTATGAATGGTGGTATGTTGAGAAACTTCAAATCTACCTGCCACAAATAATGTAAGGACATCTCTCACACTGACCCTCATAGGCATTACATTACAGACTCAAACATACAAACTAGCACACATATACACACATATTAGCAACCACTTTGGATACCATAGCAACATCCTAGCAATGCCTCAGCAACCATCTGGGATAACATAGCAACAGCTTAGCAACACCTTAACAACCACCTGGGATAACATAGCAACAGTCTAGCAACATCTGAGCAATCATCTGGAACACCATAATAATGGCATAGCAACACCTTAGGAACCACCTGGGATACCATAAGAACGGCCAAGCAACACCTTAGCAATCACTCAGGAACACATACACCTTAGCAACCACCTAACAACCCCCAAGCAATGCCCTAGCAATACCTTAGCAACCACATGGTATACCATACTAACAGTCTAGCAACACCTTACAACCCCCAAGCAATGCCCTCACAACAAGATGGAATACCATAGCAACTACCTTGAATTACTATATAACCCAATTAGGTGATAAAAAACAATCAACAGTGTTCTGCAACTGCTTTAACTGTTGAAGCATAATTAGCTGACTTTGTCAAGTTCATTCACAAACCTTCCGTTTCTAATCATAAAAGCAATCTGTGAGTCATATGTATGAAATTATAGAAGAGATATGAGATGTACCATAAAGACGTTAGGGGGCCTAGTCCCTGTAGCCTCGTCCCCCCCCCCTCCCCCCCCCTCACCCAATCCATACACACACTACAGGCCCTGAAGTAGTTGTATCAGTGCTAATCTGGGGTCATAAAACTGATAAACGGCACATGGACCTGTGACATTCTGGACACGTCAGTGTTAATTTCTATGACTCACACCTTTTTTGTGCAACCTGCACTTCTGATTGACAAGGAGATGCAACTTAAAAGCACATCAGTACATTCAATAACACCCACTCTTTCTCTTTCCCTGTCTCACGCTTATACTTTTCACACAAACACTAGAGGTTAGAGGTGGGCGATATGGCAAAATAAAACATTGTGATACCTCAAGAAATGTCTCAATACACAACACGTAACAATATTTTTTTTTTTCGCACGTTTTGTCAGTTTGAACAGAGAAAAAAGAGCCAGCAGTGCTACATTTTAAAAATACTATCAAAACTTGGAATACAATGATTTTAATTTGTTATTTGGCATACCGTGTTGTGCTAAATTTGCACTATTTTTTCTTGGTTTATAATAAACCACACAGTTGGTCAGTGTTGTACATGTCTCGACATAATTTATTATGATAACCATAAACATTGTCATATTGCCCAGCCCTAAACACAATGTTCATGAAATGTATGAATTTACCTGATATAACAACTTCCTTTTCCTCTGTTGGAGGCTCTTCATCTTGGCAGATTGACGTATTGTCCGCATCTTCATTCTGCAAAAAGCCACACAGGTTTTCATAATGCAGAAACAGGCCAAAGAGATGAACATGAAAGCAATGAGCATGAATTTCAATATCATCTCTCACTGTCAGATCATCCAGCGTGGTATCAGCTGTTTCTGAGAGGGACTGTGTGTCAGGGTCTCCAAGCAGGTCATCTACAGACCTGAGGGAGTAATACAGTCACACACAAACATATTATGGTATTACAGGGAAATTCCACCCATGTTTCTAACTGTCTGCATGAAAAGCATGAAATGTTTCATTCTTGAGAATGGAAATCAGAACTGTTCACAGTGGCAGTGATAGGAACCAGATGACTGAAGAATTTAATGCCACTAAAAGGTGCCTCACAGAATGTTATTACATAAATTGATCATAAATATGCTGCCTGATGCCTGAGATTTTTTTTTTATTAAATCCATTTAAAGCAGAGAGGTACATTAAAACAAACAGTTCCCAAATATTATTTTTTCCAGATTGGCCACTATTTTACATTATCAATATTATATATAAAAACTCATGTAGATTCACTGGTAAACAAAATTGCTATATTTGTGTCATAAAAATTGTGACTCCTGGTTCCTGTCACCACCACTGTAAAGATATCAGAGTCAGTAAGTTCATCTACAATGAACTATTTCACATCAAATCACTCTGAATGACTTTGTTTATATTTCAATGATTGAATTCTGCAGAAATTTTGAAAAATCCATGGAATTCCCCTCTAGATTTGGAATTCCCATTCATTCAGAATGGCTGGGTAATTCCACAACTGAGGTGTAATTTTTTTCCCACTGATATTACATTTACAAACAAATATGTTAAGTTAAGGTAAAATACATTTTAAACATAGCGTGGTAACCAGCTTATTCTCATTCTCCCGCGAGCCCCTGTGGCCACATTATTATTGTCACTGTTTATTGGACTTAATGGCTAATTAGCTTAGAGTGGGCTATTAGGCGTGCTCACATATTTATGTGTTGTATGGCCTGGGGCATGGTGTTTGTGATGATTACTGTCAGCAAATGACCAGTGGCCATAAACAACCCCCACTAGTTGCCTTCTAGCTTAGCAGTGCTTTTGCTACATGCTGAAAGTGTGCTAGCAGATCAATAAAGATGATTGTACATTTTCCATAAAGTTTATTGGTTCCACCTCTTCCTTTGGGTCATCACAATAGGTGAAGTGTCCTTCACAGCATACTATGTGCTTGTTTTTGATAAATAACGTCAATTATAAAACCTATCTGGATATGACTATAGTGCTTGGCTGTCCCAGCCCACACTAACCACACTTTACCTTGACATATAATCATTACAATACTTCAGTTATCATATTTTTGCATGAGTCATTCATTGTAGGTAGTGAGAAAGTAACATTTTAATCATGTCCCACAGCATTCACTCCCAGTTACCTAAACACATTTATGCTTATGAAATATCTAGAATATCACATATTCAACAGGAAGTTACATTAGGCAAATTTCCTGAAGGTCATGGGAAGAAGAAAAAGAGGGTCTCTGGTGCTTTTTTTATTTTAAATGATATTGTGATTCTGACTGATAAGGTCGCTTTAACAGTTCAACCCAGTTACTCACATTTTAAATTGAAAGTAAATTATTAATTCTAAAAAATCATTAAAATGTCCTTGATGTCCTCATGTTGTTAGCATGGATGCTAATCACATTTTGTAACTGCTATATATATATGCCAAAAAAATCAATGTTGTTAAGCTTAGTCCTGATAGTCATTAAAATAAACTACTGAAATAAATTAATAAAGTAACTCATTAGTATGTCTGTATTGTCCATGTGCCTTTAGCATGAACGCTAAGCACATCTCAGCACTGTAACTTTCAACCCTGTTACTCTCTTACGCCACTGTCAGCAAAAAACAGGCAAAAATGAGACATTGTTTGTGGGTTAATACCTTAAATGCATATTTTCTTTGATTTAATGTTGAAAAAAGTTGGAAGTCATGGAATCACCCGGCTAACTGTGCTAATAATGAACAAACTCTAGTAGGAATAAGAGGTGAGGCTGGTCCCTTTGGTCTTCAATGAAAGTTAGCTACATTAGCATGTAATTGGCGAAAGAGTTTGTGTCAGCATGTGTCGTAGGATGTCAACGTTACATACGTGCTCACTAAGGACAGGTCCAAGTTATCAAAGTCTCTTAAAATTTCACTGTAGCGTTTGGTTCCCGAGTATCTGACCTGGACACCATCATCTGAGGAGAGAAAGAGAGAGAGAGAGAGAGAGAGAGAGAGAGAGAAAGAGAGAGAGAGAGAGAGAGATGAAGAGAACTGACTGAAATTCTTGGACAATATAACTACTTGAAACAATATAATACAATATAATAGCCTGATAAACTCAGCTCAGCCAATCTGTAGTCTGTGCAAAAAAACGGGCCAAGCAAAAAGTGCATGACGTTGAGTATTTTTAGCAATGGATAAAAAGTTAAAGCGAAGACTTTTAACTTAGAGCTGTTGCTTTAGATTTATTCAAACAGTGAAGTCTTTGAGGTGAATTTGCTGGCAACCTTTTACACATGGTCGTATCAATGTTGTTCTCAGTGAGGTTTAAATCTGGACTTTGACCAGGCCAAAATATCAGATTAATGGAATCCAGCCATCCAGCCATCTTTTGTGTGCAGGAGCATTATCTTGCTGAAAAAGCGCTCTTGTTCTGGAAATAGTTTCTCAATAGTGAGCTTTTTTGCCAAATGTTTTGATACTCAACAGCATTGCAGTCAGGAGGGAAAAAAGGCAGAAGGCACCAGGAGGAGAAGGAGAAAGAGACCAATTGCTTTACACATATACCTTTTGTGACTGTTGACAATAATTAGCCAGGGTAGTTTTCATTTTGTTGTAAATAAAAAAATATATATTTTTAAAGAGTACCCACGTTTTATTGAGTATAGGCCTACATAAGTTTTCATACTTTTAAGCCGTTCAAATAAGCTGCAGGGTTCATCATGATTAGCCTGAGGTGGAAATAACCTTAACAGTATTTTAAAATAGTTACATCACAGTAATTATACCAATCCAGTATATTTCTAATAAAGTATTCAACTTAGCTATTTAACATTTAACAACAAATACAAGGTAAAACAGCCAGCTTTTCACACCTCAGCTTTAGCTGGTTGCCTAAACTCAGCTAATTTGGGCTAAACAGCTACTGCATATGTACTTAGTTAATACTTATTACTAGTATTGTCTTTTATTTTGTCATCTTTACAACACTGAGCATGGCAGTTCTTTATTATGTCTGTTTTTTATGTTCTACTGAAAGTGTCTGTCGGCTAATTTTGCTTGTAAGCTAGCATTCAAGGTAACAAAGCACATTTAAGCTAATGCTTAGCCTAGCCAATAAAGCCTGGGAAACGGTGAGAAGCATTAGAGCTTCTTTCTGTGAGATTAATATTTTTATTTTTGATTATAATAAGGGTTCAAAATGTGCAGTTTTGTAGTCTCTTTACAATGTTTATTGGGTGAAAAAATGAAAACGGCTAATGCTAACACAGCTGAACACTAACAGTTAGTAGTGAGCTGTCGGTGCCTTTGCAATGAAAAAGAGCATCTCAAACTTGATTCTTTCTAAACTTTGTTGCTTGGCACATTTTTTGCCCCGGAGTGTATTACGGACCGAAAAGCGAAACGATGAACGGCATCAAAAGGGCACCAACAGTCAGCTACAGCGAACAGTAAGCTTACAACTCCCTCAAGTATAGAGAACATTTGCTTAACACAGTACAAGCAGGGAACTTGTCAGAAAATGGAACAAGAGGCAACACAGATCACCTGAAAAACTGGCAATCTCTCTCTCTCTCTCTCGCTCTCTCTCTCTCTCTCTCTCTCTCCGTCACACACACACACTGCTTTGCTCCATTTTGGTCAACCACATCCGGTATGCAGTCTGAGACCGGCTGTATTGCAGGAGCAACGAAGTGTTGTTTTTTAGATTTTAATGATTCACAAGAAAGTTCAGAATGAAGGGAACTAACATCATTCCTGTTCATTTCATGTAGTTTAACTGGTAGTTTGGTTTTAGCTCCGCTGTAGTCAGTGGAAGTTCCCTCAGGAAGTCCATGCCATTTCAAATAACACATAAAGGTCAGACTGGAAATGACTAGTATGGTGAGACTTTTGCATATATATGCATGCTACACACAAATGTATGCGATCAGAAGAGGCTCCACATAAGTGCTTAAATATAAAATCATCCATATAAGTTCTATACAAAAGCATTAAATATAAAACCAGCCTTATAACGGAGCTGGTAGAGGCAACTCCCTCCAAGGCTATCTAAGATAGCAGGTGCATGTTATCTAATAAGGAACAACACACAGATAAAGAGCAAATATTTATATTAATATTTTCTACATTTCTACTTACTGACATCCCATATGCAAAGGGAATATATTTACATACAGTACTGTGCAAAAATCAGAGACCAACCTTAATTTTTTAAATTTGCAGTCAAAACGACCACAAATGATTCATTTTTCCAAAGAAATCTGCAGGGATATTTTTCCACACCTCCAAAGTCCAGTCTTAGAAGTTGGTTGTGTTTTCCACTCCATAAGTAATCCCAAACACATTCTTCTTTGTTTGATTTGCATTTTTTCTTCTTTTATGTCTTTTTTCTTTTCTCAGTGTGGCTTCTTAACAGCTACACATCCTTTCAGACCCATAGTGTTGAGTTGTCTTCTAACAGTGGAAGGATGGACAGAAAGATCAGAGGCAAGAGTGGAGCTTGATTTTCTCCTCTCTCTCAAAGATGAAAGCTTTAAATGCTGTTTATCTGATGGGGGCAGTGTTGGTGGTCTCCCAGCTCTTGCACTGTTGTTAGGAGTCCCACTTTATCTTTAAATCATTTTTTGAACTCCTACTTAAATCAGTTTTGGAAACTCCTATTTTTTTTCACTTATTTTTATTTGACTTCCCCCTCCCTTGCACAAAACCTATATCTAATCTACTTACAAATATTTCCTGTAAACTGAATGACTTGTACTTTGCGGCTATTTATTTTGGCTGTAATTAAATAAGTGATGGGTGGTCTCTGACTTTTGCGCAGCAATGTATGTTTGTCAAAATATATTAGGATCATTTTAAAATGCATTTACGTGTATTTCTGACAAATATGTACAGATTCCAATTTGACACAATTACATATATTTAATCTACATACTGTGCAAAGGTTCAGGAATCTGAGAAAAGTTTGTAAAGTTTTGTAAAAGTTTATTTGCTACACCAGCATTACAACAAATACAAATAACATTAATACAGTAAGTATTCGTGGCAGCTCAGTGTTGTATCTGTAATTGCACTTATCATCCAGTACTTTGTTTGGCTAATCAATGCTTCATTATGTTAAATGAGGTGGTAGAATTTAACAAATCAGTATGATGGCTGGGGCCATTGAGGAGACATCTGAGACAGCTTTTTTTGAAAAAAGTTACTTTTTACTGTATTTACATTTATTTGGATGTATTCAAGTGATACATAGACATTTCACCAGAAAAAACACACTTACTGCCAAGACAAATGGGTTTAAACAATGTGCTTAGGTGCCTTAGACTTTTGCACAGTACTGTCTATGAGCATGTGTTTTTATATACTGGCATGCAGCATATATGAATATATTAGCATAAATTTAACTACTGAAAATTATTACAAGTTCTTATGTGATGTGAGGTTAGAACCATGGTTCCCCCTCTGTGGGACAATAATGCTTACCAATCTTACCAGTCAATGACTGTGAGAATTTTTGTGAAAGAGCTGTTTTATTTATTGACACAAACAATTGGAATTATTTAAAAAGGATGCCAACTAATAGTAATATAAAAGTATCTTCAAATTATAATTAAGTGCTGATTTCCTGATCCTTAGATTCATTAAAGGCTTCAGTTAACCTTGATAACCAAGTTGGACTCTTAAGGAAGGAAATAAACAACATAAATTGTGTAGATTGTTAGGAATCTTGGTGCTATGCCACCCCTTATATTTACATATACATTTTGGACTATAGGAAATATATGTACATATATTTTCTTTTTTGGACTTTTGGTATTATACCATCACATACATTGAAACATTCTGGATACAAGCAAATATGTGTGCATATATTTGTCCTTGTTTTTGAATTTTGGTGCTATGTCATCACATACATTGCAACACATTTTGGATAGCAAATATATCACATATATTGTAAGATATTTTGGATATGGGAAAATATATGTATAATTTTTGTATATTAAAGAATATATATAAATATATTGTCTACAATTGTAATTCCAGTGCTATTACATAATGCCAGGAATATATGTACATATACTTTTGTTCCATGTGAGACATTGAAAAAACATTTTTTGCTAGTCTAATGGATGTACATTTAAAGAAAGAAAGACATACACTAAATTTCTCATAACATACTGACGATACCGAGTATACTGCCAGTTTGTACATGTGGTAGCTATTCTTAGAGGCAACTAGGATGCACAGTTGAAATGCAGTACATGACAGGAAGTTCCCTGATCATGCACTGACTGAGATGTGCTGCATTTGTGCACACACATATGCACACACTCACACGCACACACACAGAGTGAGAAAAGGAACAAAGGCACCCACAAGACAGTTAATCAGGAAATGTAACAACACAATGGAGCACTAAAATAAAAAATGGATCATGGGACAGAGGGTGAATTCAACTTACCTTTGGGTTGCCGCAACTGTGCAGTCACTGTTGCCTCCTCCATCTAGTTTCCTACCTCAGAACCACCAGCAGACAACAGAGTGTACACTTCGCACACTGGTTACTCCATCAACTTCAAGGAAGATGCTGAAAATTTGGACAGAACTCGGCCCACACCCAGTAGCCCCAGGTCAGCCTTTAGTTTTCTACTAACATTCAAGCAGTACAGACGGATATTAAGACTGACTCTCCACCATTTCTTTGCTCTCTCTCTTCTCTCGTTTGTTATAAGCACACTGTGCTTCCTCTAAAGCGGAGGTTAGCCAACGCGAGGTTTCACCATCGCGTGAAGAGGAAGTGTGCCTCGCTGTCACTCTAAGACACACCTCATCACCCCAGTCTTGTGCTGAATACAGAACAACTGAGGCCAGCTTATAACAGGAACAGGCCCAAGCAGTGGCCTACAAAGTTATTAATAAACTGTGGTTAACTATATGTGGTCCATGTGTGAATATTCATCATAGATCTGATAAACAGCACTTTGTTTTTTGATATAAGTACAGGGCTAGTATTTATAACAGCAACGGTGACCTGCTCATTGGGGACATTTGCTCAGGAAATTTCATTTCCCCAACCACAATGAATCATCAGTTTTATTTTCATGCTTCCCTTATGTTTGTATTTTATATGCACATTTATGTATGTGCATTAGCTGAGCAGAGAGCAGCTGAGCACATCACAGACATACTAACCATATACCACAGAACACCTGACAGAGGCCTTGCACAGGGTCCCTGTGAAGCCTGTTGGCCTAAACATTATGCCCTCTACTGGCTACAAGACGTATTACAGGTATGAGAAAAAAGGTTAAAGGTGAGTCAATCATGAGTGAATCATACTAAAACAATCTCCTTGCCTCAAAGACACATTTTGTGTCATAAGTTTACTTCTTTAGTTTTGCACTGGAGCTACGAGGCTAAAAGCCAACAAGTAATGGACGCTTATAGCCACCCATTGGTATTGTGCAAACGGCATGACTAAATAATCACACATTTGCCTCAAACCATGTCAAGTTATTAAGTAATCTCAAATAGACTTGCTTATGTGGTTATGTGGTATAGTTCAATGATGGTCAGTAACCAGGGGTGACCTTTGCACTAGGCAAAGGAAGGCAGTTCCCTAAGGCCCTCATGAGCTAAGGGCCTGATGAAAATACAAATTATTAACACCTGTACACCAATTCAGTCATGCAATTATCTAATTAGCCAATTGTGTGGCAGCAGTGCAGTGCATAAAATCATGCAGAATGGGGGAAAAAAATTTGAATGTGGAATAACTTTTGGTGCCACATGGGCTGATTTCAGTATTTCTATAATTGCTGTTCTTCTGGGATTTTCACGCACTACAGTCTCTAGAATTTATTCAGAATGGTGCAACAAAGAAAAAAAATCCAGTGAGCGGCAGTTCTGCGGACGGAAACATCTTGTTGATGAGAAAGGTCCACAGAGAGTGGTCAGACTGGTTCGAGCTGACAGAAGGGTTACAGTAACTCAGATAACCACTTTGTACAACTGTGGTGAGTAGAAACACATCTCAGAATGCACAACATGTTGAACCTTGAGGGGGATGGGCTACAACAGCAAAAGAGCATGTTGGGTTCCACTTCTGTCAGCCAAGAACAGAAAGCTGAGGCTGCAGTGGGAACAGGATCACCAAAACTGGACAGTTGAAGACTGGAAAAATGGAGCCCAGTCTGATGAATCACAATTTCTGCTGAGGTATACCAGGAGTATCCCTTTATGGCCCAAATTTACCTTCTACTTCTAATTTATCATCTAATGGCTACTTTCAACATGATAATACACCACAAAGCAAAAGTCGTCTCACGCTAGTTTCATGAACATGACAATGCGTTCAAAGTTCCTCAGTGGCCTTCTGAGTCACCGGATCTGAAACCAATACAACACCTTTGGGATGTGGTAGAATGGGAGATTTGCAGCACAAAAGTGCATCTGAAAAATCATGGACCAGAAACTCAAAAGAATTGAGGCTGTTTTGAGAGCAAAGGGAGGCCCAGTATATTTACACACTGACCAGCCACTTCACCTCCTTGTGCCTACACTCTTTGTCCATTTTATCAGCTCCACTTACCATAAACTCTGTATGTGGACACTACTCCTAATTATCGAGTTCAGGTGTTTTGGCCACACTCGTTGCTAATACAATTAAGCACATAGCCCTGCAGTCTCAATAGACAAACAGTGGAATAGGTTGTACTGAACAGCTTAGTGACTTTAAACATGGCACTGCCATATGATGCCACCTCTGCTACAATTCAGTTTGTGAAATTTCTGTCCTGCTAGATCTGTCTGAATCAACTGTAAGTGCTATCGTTGTGAAATGAAAGTGTCTATAAGCAACAGCTCAGCCACAGAGCTGCAGACCACACACAAACTCACAAAGTGGTGCCACTGAGTGCTGAAGTGCATGATGCCTATCCTCTATTGAATCACTCACTACAGAGTTCCAAACTACCTTTGGAAGTAACTTCAGCAAAAGAACCGTGTGTCGAGAGCTTCATAAAATGGTTTCCATGGCTACACACAGCTACACACAGCTACACACAAGCCTAAGATCAAAATGCACAATGCCAAGCATTGGCCAGAGTAGTGTGAAGCGCACCGCCACTGGACTCTGGAGCAGTGGAAATCTTTGGAGTGATGACTCACACTTTACTATCTGACAGTCTGATGGACGAATTTTGGCGGATGCCAGGAAAACACTACCTACAGTGCCGACAGTAAAGTTTGGTGGAGGAGGGATAACAGTCTGAAGTTGTTTTTCAGGGTTTGGGCCCCTTAGTTCCAGTGAAAGGTGATGTTAATGCTACAGTATGCAGACATTTTAGACAATTATATGCTTAAAACTTTGTGGCAACAGTTTGGGCAAGACCCTTTCTTGTTCCAGCATGACTGAGCCCCTGTGCACAAAGCAAGCTTTATAAAGACATGGTTTGATGAGGTTGGTGTGGAGAAACTCCAGTGACCTGCACAGAGCCCTGACCTCAACCCTGCTGAACACCTTTGGAATGAACTGAAATGTTGACGGTAAGCCAGGCCTTCTGGTCCAACATCAGTGCCTGACCTACAAATGCTCTTTTGACGGAATAGGCACAAATTCCCACAGACACACTCCAAAATGTTGTGGAAAGCCGCTCCAGAACAGTGGAGGCTGTTATTGCCGCAAAGTGGGGGCAACTCCAAATTAATGCCCATGGTTCTGGAAAAGGAAGTCCAGCAAGCTCATATGGGTGCAATGTATAGGTGTCCACATATATTTGGCCATATAGTGTAGATTCACTTTCTACAATTACACACTGTAGTTTATCTGTTTCTCTGCATACTTTGTTAGCCCCCTTTCACCCTGTTCTTTAATGGACAGGACCCCCACAGGACCCCCACAGAGCAGGAATTATTTAGGTAGTAGATTATTCTCAGCTCTGCAGTGACACTGACGTGGTGGTGGTCTGTTAGTGTGTGCTGCTCTGGGCACCCACTACTAGGGACAGTAGACGCAGTACTGAATCGTGTCCATTTATAGACAATTTGTCTAGCTGAAGTCTAAAGAATTCCTAAACAACAATTATTGATAGTATGACTCTTATTATTCAGTAACTACAGGCACTTCAGTGTAAACTGGCTGAGCTATTATTAGGTTACAGAAGTGTGTAATAATATTTTGGGCCCTGGCCATTTAAGGGGTTAATCCAAAACTTCGTCAGCTTCTGGAATAACATAAATACAGCACAACCCTCCAGATGATCAGGACAGCATGTGTTTGAAAACATTTATCCTCAGTAACACCTTTTCACATCTCTTAGTCTAATTTGTGCCACCACCGTTCTCATTTGTAAACTGAGTTTTTCCCGTTGCTTGACAAAGGAAGTAGCATTTAGAGACAGCTGAGAGGCACATAAATCATTATTTTGTAAACAGTCAATTTCACTTCAAACTAGACCTCTTTCCATCAAAATTTATCTTCCCTCATCTAATGTGTTACTATGTTGTACATCTAACGGTCAATCAGTTGCCATGGTAAAAGTATACTGTACTCTAAAAACCACTGAGCCTTTGGAAATGCATTGTGTATTAAGACTGAATGATTCTGGCAAAATACCAATCTGCGATTTTTCTGACCAATATTGCAATTACGATTTAAATTGCAATTGTTTTCTATAAACTGAGGTTTGGGCCTTTTTTGGAAAGGAAGACCAACGTATACTTCTTTCTGGCTGAGACTTGAACTCTTAACGCAGTGCGCCTGCCAGCCAGTTATTCATGGTTGTGATGTCACAGCACATGGATGTTTGGTCGCTTCTGCTTAGTCAAATTCATTTAAGCGCAGTTCACAAGGTCCATGCTATTAGATAAAATTTCCCTACTTAAAACTTGCAGCGCATCATTCTTGATAATAGATAGCTCTTGCGATTTGATATACGCTTTCAAATTGCAATTTTGATATAAAAACAATCTTTCAGCCTTATTGTGTATACTGTTGCTGGAGGACAGATACTCTTATGTTGTTGTGTGGTTTAGCAGCTGCATGTTACCACACATGCCACTACAGTACAGTACAGAAATGATAACTCAACATGTGTGCAAGCAGGGCTCATTTAGCTCTACTGTAAGCCAAATGTAGCCATAAAGAGAGGCTATATGAGAACCATCAGGCTAGCGTGGGAGCAGAAATAAAGGCCCAGCAAGTTTTTGCCTTCACACTGTGTCATTACAACAGGAGATGTGAGGATACAGTAAACTATCACTCAACAAAATGCCATAGAAGACGTCTACCACAAAGAAGCACACGCTGGATCTAAAAAACCCTGCAATTTACAGTTCTCATACATCTGTGCACACTGAGATACCTGTGGTACTTTAAAGGACACACAAAACATCCTATGTCGATTAGAAGTGTATTTCACTTTACATTTTCAAGGCACATTTGGTACATAAGGTGGTGACAACTTGACTGATTTGTTTTGTGCTTTTTGGAGAGACAGTGCTATACTGAAAAAAATGTGATGCATCCAATGTACATCATTTCTACATGGATAAAATACATTAAATCAACACAGTAATTACCAAAACTAAGTAAACCAAAAGACAAAATTTTGTTGATTTAAGATATTTGAGTAACACTTGAGTACAGAGGGACATTATAACAGGCTTATTAAGCCTTCACAAATTAGTAGTTGATAATTAACTGGCTGCTTATTACCACAAGCATTAAGCATTAATGAGGGTAAAGATTTCCTTATCATATGTACTGCTCTGATTAAGCCTTATGAAGCTGGTAGTTGGTAATTAACTATCATTTGGTTCTAAAAGTCAGAATTAACAGTTGAACTAAGATAAGCTGATATTATTTATTTAATAATTATTATGATATCTATTGTGTATAATGCATGTATATCGAAATACAGAGAAACTTTAAATCTCTTTTTCCTTGGTCTTGACTCTGCCTCAATAAGATTAGCTGAGGGCATTACGAGTGCTCTAGAAAATGCTTTATTCACCCAAGCTACTGCTCAATAAATGTAGTAATAAACAACCAGTTAATTACCAACTACTGGCTTGTTAAGGCTTAATAAACACAGTACAAGGGCATATTATCCTCCCCCCATACTGAAAGGTTAACATATATTTTATAAGTGGACACATTTCAGTCAAGTTAATTCAATGCATTTCATTTGTCAGTGAGCACATATATGGGCTTAAATATCAGCTACGTACAAAAAGGCCAACCTTAGGGGTCCCAGACAGAACTACTACAGTACGACAGAACTGCATGTGTAACCATCCACTCAAAGACTTTGTGGCCATATGGAATCTGTGTGGCTTCTCTGATGATACTGCTGCACAACCACTAACTGTAAATGAAGCGCTGGCAGTGGATGGGGGTTAATGAAAGAATGTGACAGGCTGAAGATAGACTGGCTGGGACCCCCGCCCTCAAACATGCTTTCATCTTCTGCTTAATGTATAGAAGGACAACACAACAGAAATAAAAGAAGGGCTTTATCATCATGCACTAAAAGCTGGGTGCTTTTTCATTTTATAACATCACTAATAGTGGAAAGTACAGAAAGCACAACAATGCTACACTATATGTCCAAAAGTAACCAGACATCTCTTCTAATTAATGAATTAAGCTTTAAAGTGCACCACTGTGTTCAACTGCACATGCATAGCCATGACAATAGAATGGGACGCTCTGGAGTCACCATGCCCAATGCCAATTGTCGGATAGAAGGGTATGAAGGCCCCCATATAAACCACTGGGTTGTGGAGCAGTGGGATTTTGTCGTCTAGAGTGACGAAGCACCATACAATACCATTAGGATGAGTCACAGTTGCATTTGTGGTCCAGAACTGATCATCTGACTTCAGTGTGTGACCTCACTAATGGGGAACAAACTTCCTATTAATACCCTTGATTTCAGAAGAAACTTGGAACAAGCAAGTGTGTACTAATTTTGGACATGTAGTTTATGTAAACAAATCTCTCACCCTTTTCTCAGGGACTTTAGGATGGGGAGCACAGCAAAAGCTTTAGTCACAGGAAATGGAGTGCTTATATTGACACTGCTATTCACAGGGACAAACGACAGTCTAAAGAAACAAGGCACAGAGGTTATGGATTACAAAAGAGCTAGGGGTGTAAAACACATCTGAAGGTAGCGATTTACCTGCATTGATTTTGGAATATTCAAATACATCATAATTCATTTATAACAGCATTTAACAAGATACAGTACTGGACAACGGCTCTTAAGTAACTCAAAGTTTTTCATTTTTTTTAGGAGATATTAAAAGCATATCAGATACACCCTTAAAATGAAGGTTCTTTGAGGGTTCTTCAGTAAAAAAAAAAAAGGTTTTATATAGAACCATGAACACTCAAAGAACCCCTTGCATGATTAAAGGGTTCTTTGCTCTGTGAAAGGGATCTTTAGATTGATGAAGAATGTGCTGTAGATGACTGTATACAGAAACTTTTTGAAAAGCACCAAAAAGGGTTCCTCTATTGTCACAAACTTGACATCAAAACAACAGAAGAACCCTTCTGGGTGCTATATAGAACCCTTTTCAAAAAGGTTCTATACAGAACCATCTACAGCACATGTAAAGAACCCTTTAATAAGTGGAAAAAAAAACAAGAGTTTCCAAAACTGGAGGTCAAAGAACAATTAAAAGACAGAGTAAATGGGACTCCTAACAACCGTACAAGACCTGGTAGACCACCAAAACCGCTCCCATCAGATGAACAGCTTTTAAAGGTTTTATCTTTGAGAAAGAGGAGAAAGTCTCCACTTTTACTTCAGATCTAAAAAAAAATTATAAAATATAAGTATTTCTGTCCATCCTTCCATTGTGCGAAGACAACTCAGAATTAGAGTATAAAAGGGTGTGTAGCTGTCAAGAAGCTCTTACCAAGAAAGAAAGTAGACAAAAAAGAGGACAATTTGCAAATCAAACAAAGAAGCTGCTGGTGTTTTCAGAACAATGGACGGACCAGATCACTTGGATTGTAAAACCTTTTAAGACTGAACTTTGGAGGTGGGGATATATATATATATATATATATATATATATATATATATATGTATGGCAGTTTTGCCTGGAAATTAAATAAATAATGGTCTCACTATTGTATGCACTTATTTTTGGCCAAAATGTTGTGGATATCCAATGTGTTTTTTAAAAATAAATCTGAAACGCACCAAAATAATCAAATTAAATCATAGTGAAATTTGAGCTTTCATAATACACTTGTTTCGAATCATAATCAAAATGAATCAAATCCGTTCACTGTGAAGTATTTTACACCCCTATACAGAGCCTCGAAAAAGAAACAACAAAACATTCTGAAGAAAATAAAGAAAACTTGTTAAAATCATTCTTTGGTCAGTCAAAAGGCAAATAGTGTTGTATGTCCCAAGACCTTTTTAAAAAAATATAAGTGATTGCTCGATCCCAAAAGTAAATCATGCATGGCTCCGGATCTGGTGGGTCCAAACAGTGTGGGTCATAGCTCATCCCGCGCTGTGCTGTCCAGAGGAGACTGCAACACGTCCGAGTTCTGTGCCTCTGTGCTGATCTTGGCCTGTTCATGGGTTTTGCGTGAGCGTTTCCTGTCCCAGTCTGTGCGCACGCTCTCGTTGTCCCACACTGTGGATGTCTCCGTGTCACTGACGTAGCCTGGCTCACCTGTGTAGTGGGTGGGGTAGACCAGCAGGGGTTCAGCTGAGAAGGCTTTCAGGTCTCTGTTCTCAAACTGCTCCATGTAGTCTGAGCTGAAAAAGGCAAAAAGATAAACAGATGTAATGGGTCATAATATTGTTATCATGTATAAATCAGGTGAATACCAAGATTTAACCTTTCACTAACCAAAAACAAACTGACAGTAGTAATATCTTGTCAGTAAAAAATCCAATTGGCACAAATTTCTTCTTATTCTAAATGTTATCAGCCAAGATATGCGTGATATCTGAAGACTGCTTTTTTAAATTTGCTCCTTATCCACAAGGCTAATGTAGTTAAGTCATGGAAACTTAGAACCCACCAACTAACATCATGCAAACTTCATAACTAAATCATACTAATAATAATCATAATAATAAATAATAAATTGGAGTATGGGGAAAAGTTTGTAAATTTGACTTTTCATCTACTTATATAAAAAAACAATGAAATTTGACCAAAAGAGCCTAAACTTGTAACAATGTAACTACTGATTTAACGTTCATACAGCTGTTTTGTATAGGCCAGGGGTCGGCAACATGTGGCTCCGGAGCCACATGCGGCTCTTTTAATGCCGTTGCAGCTCCAAAGCACAATTTGATTTTTAGGTAAAACTAAAATATTCCTCCTTTGCAGTAAAATAAAGCTCTGCTGATCGTTCTAACACAGTTTTAACAATAAATGGTCTGAAATGCTAGAGTTAAAGTAGCCTATAACTGCTCATTCACCAGCCTTTAACCCTGAAGACTGGCACGCAGAGTGCTGGTCACCATAGCAATGCAGACAATCTCGTCTAGCTAGTGGCTCAGAAAAAGGCAAAAAAGAAAGATTTAAGACAGACATTGATGATATGGAGACATATAGACTCCTTTGCATTTCTAATCGCTCCAGATGGTTTCCTGTTTAATCTGTAATGAGAAACTGTCAAACACTAATAAGTCACAAGGCTGAAGTCAGCTTCTCAATTGCCAGTTTCTCGTTCAAATTTTCCCATTCCACCTTAAAAGGTGCAGCAGTTACATTCTGGTGCATCAGGCGCCATTTAAATTTGAACAAGATGCTGGCGAAAGACAAGTTGACTTCAGCCTCGTAAAAAGTTGAACGTTCAGAGACATTTTACAAGAAAACTATTCTATTTTTGAGGGAAAGTTTCCTGCTGGAGATGCGAGAAAAGCAGTTATAGCTGAGCTAAAACTTAAAGCAGAGCAAAGTCTGTGTTTTCATTATTATAATATTTTTAGCCTATACTAGGACATTAGCACATACTGAGACAACTTTACGGCCAAGATGGTAAAATGGACGTAAAATGGTGTGGCTCCTAAGGTGGTCTGATTTTTGTCGAAAGGATAAAATAACTCTTCTTAACATTTGGGTTGCCGACCCCTGGTATAGACTTTAGTTAAACTTTAGTTACACCAAGCTTTAGATCAAAGTTTAGGATACATCCATCCATCCATCCATCATCTAAACCGCTTATCCTTCCGGGTCGCGGTGGGGTGCTGGAGCCTATCCCAGCTGTCATCGGGCGGAAGGCAGGATACACCCTGGACAGGTCGCCAGCCCATCGCAGGGCAGACAAACAGACATATACATCCACACACACACTCACCCCTAGGGGCAATTTAGCATGTCCAATTGGCCTGACTGCATGTTTTTGGACTGTGGGAGGAAACCAGAGTACCCGGAGGAAACCCACGCAGACACGGGGAGAACATGCAAACTCCACACAGAAACGACCCTGGTCACCCGGCCGGGAATCGAACCCAGGCCCTTCTTGCTGTGAGGCGACAGCGCTACCCACTGCGCCACCGTGCCGCCGTTTAGGATACAATAATTATGCAAATAGAAAGGTACAGACAAACTTTTTTTCTCACAGAAGACCTAATGCAGGGATGCACAGTCTTGGCACAACAACTGAGCATTCCCAGAGGAAGGGCCATATTATATACTAATGTTGCCTTGTTCTCCTTCCATATAAATATCTAATGAGGTCTATTTGACAAAAAGTTTAACATGAGGGAGGTCTCTTCCTCTCATGCTGTTTACATGACCAGAGCTTACTTAGATTAGCTGCCTTAATCAGAAAAATATCAAACCATTGGTGTGCATGTAGTAAAATTACACAGTGCACCTTTAAGGATGTATGGAGGTTTTCCTCCAGCTGAGAAACTCACACAGGATGTTTGTTGAACATAATAGGAAGAAACTCATCCACAGGCAGCATCTTGCTGAGTGGTTCTGCCTCCATGAGCTTTTTGGCACCCTGTAACGAGATCATATAACCCAGTGTCCAGTACGAATAGTCCGCCTCCACAAGGTTGTGTATGTTTGGCACCGCTTTCTCTGGCCGGTCCACCTGCATCCTCTTTCTGCCTATGTAGCTGAGAAAGAGGGGAGAAAAAGTGACATTTTTGATCCATAAATAAACATGCCTGAGTGCTCAGTGCTTCTGGGGAACCAGCCAACTCACATAAGATCCCAGTCCAGACCTTCGCTCTGCACCTCACTCAACAGATTCTTCAGGCGTCGCTTGAAGAAAACCTCAAACCGCAGGTCATCTTCTATCACCAGTGAAGCCTTCAGCCCTCTTTCCACGATCTGCAAATGGGGAGGATTGGGATTGTTTGGTAAAACAAAAAAATTTACCCCTCATCTCAAATGTATTTAAAGAGTCGAGACATCTTGGCTGTCGGACGTTCTGCACAAGTTATAAGGCTAATGCAGCTAACAGATACTGTTTTCTAGACAATAGTACACAATACAGTGTCAAAAAGTTTTTTTGAGATAATGCAACAATTTGATTACGTATCAACTCCATTTGAGGCAAGTGTGTGATGACTTAGGCATACAGTTTGCATGATGCTAAGCATCCATAGACACAAAATTAAAGAACCAAATATCAAACACCAAAATGTCTCAGCTGATTGACCCTTGGGAAAAAATAACTGTAAATTTGTAAAACTTTGATTTTGCACTAAACTACTACTTTTTTTCCTTATGCAACTGCTAAATAATACAAGCCACATTAACAAGCCATTGCTCTTAACCTCTTTCCAGATGTTGTAGTGGGAGAGGAAGCAGCCAAGTTCCCCTTTTGTTAGAGGTCTGCCATGGTAGGGGTCACTGTAGCCTGGCAGCATGTGGATCCCCAAATCATGGATCTCACTCACATTCATGGCTCTAAGGAAAACAGAAGAATAAAAGTATTGACTGTTTATTTAATGCATTTCTGTGTTTTTCCCCAGTTTCCTCTCAACAACTGTTGCTGTTTTCCACCAGTCCTAGCAATATAAAAGCTACATAAATGTTAGCAGCAGCTGCTACGTGAAGTTAAGGAAAACTAACTTACTTGCCGTCAACAGCAGCCACAACCTTACAGTCGATTTCTTGCTCATAGAGCGCCCGAAGCATACGCTCTCTACGGTCAGTTCGGCGCTGCAGGTTTATCATGAACACCTGCAACCATTTAAAACACACATACCACAAGCACAGACACCAGCTTAAATTCCACTGATTTTTCAAAATTTATGCATAATTACATCGTTAAAGCGTTCATGTCATTCAGAGGTGTCTGATGTGAGACGCTCCATTTTCAAGACATTTATCAAATCAGAATTGTTCACAGTGGGGCTGATGGGAACCAGACGTCTGAAGCATTTAAATGCCATTAAAAGCTCCCTTACATAAAGTTACCGTTTTAAATGGTTAGGAATACACTGCCTGATGCCTGAGACTTTGTTTTATGGCAGTTTGGAGAAGTTTTTTTCCTGAAATATATTTTTTAATCCAGAGATCATGGAGAGGTTCATGCAGGGCGTTGTAAGGCAAAATTGTACCCAAAGAAGTCACCACCACAACAAAGACCAAAGCATACCTCATCAAAACCCATCTTGTCAGGTTTTTTTACAGGGGCAGGAAGGTATCTGGAGGGCTCCACTGGTGGATTTCGCACTGCGTAGGAACACAGAAGGGTCAGCCTGAGGCAGCCACCATATAAAGAAAAACATTATTGTGCAAAAGTCAGAGACTACCCTTCATTTATTTATTTTCCAGTCAAAATGACCATTATGTAAATTCACTTTTGGTAGACGACCACAACTGTCTCCATCAGATAAAGAGCACTTAAAGCTTTCATCTTTGAGAGAGAGGAGAAAATGAAGCTCCACTCGCTTTAGATCTGAAAAGGTCCACAGGTGTTTCTCTCCATCCTTCCACTGTGAGAAGACAACTCAGCACTATGAGTCTGAAAGGATGCATAGCTGTCAAGAAGCTCTTACTGAGAAAAGGAGACAGACAAAAAGAAGAAAAAACGCATATTAAACAAAGAAGCTGCTGGTGTTCTCAGAACAGTGGTCTGACCACCCCAGAGTCAATACCTCAACATCACTGAATGTGTTTGAAATTACTTGGATTGTGAGAAGCAGAAAATGTAACCAACTTCTAAGACTGAACTTTGGAGGTGTGGAAAAATATCCCTGCAGATTTCTTTGAGAAACTGAAAGCAAGTCTCTATTAAAGAATGGAAGTATGTTTTCTGCTTTTTCTTGACCCTGAAAAGTGAATTATTTGTACGTATTGGCAGTTTTGACTATTTAAATCAAATAATTAAAGGGTGGTCACTGAGTTTTGCACTTTATTGTAGTTTTGCTTTGCTTTCAACCAGGAAACTCACCATTGACCTCAAGCACAGAGTGAATGAAGCTGTCTGCCTCGTCCTGAAGAGTGTTGTGGGAGCGCAGAGGAACGGGGAAATACCCATAAGTTTCCTTGTTACAAACAAACATCTGCACCTCTGAAAAAGCAGAAAAGACAAAACAGATTATCCCAGTTCTGAACTAATGCTCACATTACAGAAACATCTACCCTCTAGCAGCCCTTTATAGAGAAAAATGGTGTAAATCTATTTTCACAGTTTTTCCCTTACCCCACACTGTAGTCAGTCTGCAAAGACATAATAAGCGTTCCAAGTTTTCATCTTTAGCTTTGTACAGAAGCTGTACAATTACTTCATAACCACCTGATCTGAGCTGATTTCTTTCATTATTATTTAAGCTGACAGCTATTATTTTCCACATTCGTTAGCCTTTATTTTATGTTTATAGCAAGACATCTGCAAACAGTTTATTGTGTGAGCCTTTATCAGTTGGGTTGAGGCAAATTCATATACATAAAAAAGGACTGAAGAAAGCAGAAATAACATTTATTAAGACAACAATAATATAAAAGTAACAGAAGATGTAACTTCTGACTTAGTGCTACAACATAAGCATTGAGTATTGTTTGTCTATTTTCCATCATCAGTTGGGAGTTATCAACAGCTAAGAAGAAACACAGAGAATCAGCCAATGTGGCCACTTTAGGTTTGTACTTTAATTCAAGTAAATCACCCTGATTTATATTTCGATTAATCATCTGCTAAGATTTCATGAACAAGACAGGTTTTTATCTGTACTTTCGTCTACTTTTACACAGTCTTCCTTGGTCAAATGACATGTTTTGTTGATTTTCTAAGGGAAAATAAGTTAACACATCCTCTAGAACCCATTTCTGCACAATTTAATGCACAATCACTGTTTATTTGCTGAATGTAACATATTGGCTTATGCAAAAGTTATGGCACGTTTTCAGTTTTGTTTTATTTTTCTAATTTGTTAAACTCATAAATAAATAGAAGTTGTGCACTAAAATTAGCAGAAAAATGGCATGTTTAAGTTTGTTCCCTGTTAACTTTTTTCACTTAAAAAATCAACAAAACATGTCATTTTACCAGGGGTGTGCAAACTTTTGCATATGACGAAGAGAACTACCTAATATTGTGTCAGAAATCATTAAAGTAAGTGTAAACTTCCAATACTTGTTAGCTACATTATAGCTCCGGTTAAAAATAAAGAAGCAAAAGAGGGTAAAAGAGGAATTCTCTGAACTATTGTTTTAAAACTTGTCTACCCTTTTGTGTGCCACAGATGATAATCACCATTTTTTGGAGCATGTGTGTGTATGTGCGTGTGTTTTACCAGGCACTCACCTGCCATTCGGGCTGAGAAGGCGAAGACTATGATGTCGTCGAAGGCCCAGCTGTAGTCCGGGTGTGGTGGGTGGAAGGCGAGGAGTCTGGAGGCTTCTTTGCGCAGATCTATCAGGAAGGTGGAGTGAACCATGGGAACAGCAAAGCAGCCCTTCCGCACCTGCTTCCGCATGGGTATGTAGGCAGGAGTCCGTTTGTAGTAACCCTTTAGGAACACAGAGGCAAGTTCATCTCTGCTCTTAACATTATGCATGCGTTCAATAATACAAACAACACATTTAATACTATATATCTGAATCCACAATTTAGTTTTTTTAACTGTGCATGATGTCGTACGTTTTCACATGCTGAATATCTTTATCATGTCTTTAACCCACAGAAGTCAAAATTATTGCCAGCAATAACAAAAGAATGGTGTAATTTTATATGAATTATATGAATAATGAAAAGAGAGAGCTCTAAACTTTTAACCCATACCACATTATACCACATTCACGCTAATTAACAGAGACATTTTATATTTTGATGAAAAGTTCATGTTGTGCATACAGTCTTGATTGTGGAAAAAAAAAAATCTTTTATATTTTTACCATGCAGAAAAATGTCAGAAGTTCACACTCTAAACTGAAAAATGAAAGTAAACATAACTCTTTACATAATGATACGACTACATAATTACATAATTAATTTAATTAATTATGCAATGTAAGCAAAGTATCAAAAAATGGCAATAATAACTCAAGACTTACCAAAAATGCAGCTTAACAAGGAATGTTTAAATTAACATAAACATGTACACAAACCTGGGAAGTCATTCCACACCAGAAGTTGGAATAGGCAGCACGAGATTCCAGCATCGGCGCAATGATAGTTTTATTCTCTTTTATCATTTTCCACAGCACATCTCGATTGGTCAGAAGGTTGTCACAGTCTACTATCTGAAATAAAAAGAAAACACATGAAAAAAAAACTTTTTACTGAGGTAAATAAAAAAGTAACAAATGATTTGAAAACCATGTTCACTATTATACTAATGTTTATAATCAATGTTTCAATGATATGAAACTGATTTGGCTGCAGATAAATGTAGGCCTATAAAATTACTCTATTATGATGATAGTTCTGTATGACTTGCCATGTTTCAAAAACATTGGCAGGAAGCTAGAAAGCAGTAAAAAATGAATTTTAGGAAATTTTACGTGTGTAGACTGATGAGCAAAGTTGTAGATAAGGTTAGCTTAATCAGAGCTTTAAGACAAAGAAACATTTTAATGTGCAATAACAGCAACAAACTAGCCTCATTTACATTTGGCCAAGATGAACATCCTAGCTAACATATTACTACGTGCTTAATAAGGATGCGATGATTTTAAAACAGCATAGCAAAATAAGAATGTTTGTGGCAAAAACTGTACAGCTGATATAGCTGTCGGGGTGTTTGTTTCATCTGCCATCTTTCATGGAAACCATTGTCAATTGGATGAATATGGATGCATCCTATGCAAGTAAAGTGGGCGGAGAGCGGGGGGCCTATGCGGTGCATTCACCCATGCTGAAAAGACTGGGCTTTCTTTCTTAAGTTGCTTCAAAATTTACACTTTGTGTTTAAAATTGAAACAGAAAACTGTACTGAACCTGAAAATACATGTTCCATTACTTCCATAGTGCTTAAAAGAAAAATGAAAAATTTAATTTATACAATTTTTACTCCAAAATGTAGTCTGTTGGTCAGGACATGTTTTGTATTCAAAGTTTGCTTCGTTAGTTATGCACTGGAGCTACAAGGCTAATGTATCTAACAAGTAATGGAACTCTATCTCTTCTATTAGGTTGGCCTTGTAGCTTCAGGGCAAAACTAAAAAAGCAAACGTCAGACACCAAAAATCTTTTGGCCAACTGACTACATTTGTGGTGAAGAAAAAACCTGGGTGAATTACATTTTCAGATAACTGTTCCTTTAAATATTAAAGGGGAATTCCAATGATTGTTCAAAAATTTTGTTTAATTCAATTGTTGAGATATTAAAAAAGAGACTTGATGGCTTGATGTGAAATGGTACACTTTAGAGAAACTTCCTGACTCAATGGTGGTGACACAAACCAGAATTCACAATGTCCACAACGTAAATGAATCCATTTCATTTACTATCCAAAAAGGCCTACATGTGTCTCATGAGTTTTTAGGTAATGTTACTATTTGAAAAAAAAGGACTACATGCCTTAGGACGGCATGCATGTACCTCTCCACTCTGCATGTGTTTTAAAGATTTCTTTTATGCCAAAACATTCTCAAAACTGTCGCGAAACAATGCCTTAGACATCAGGTAACATGTCTGTAAACTTTTCTGTTATAGCTTTCTGTGATGTAGCTTTTAGAATCATTTATTGCTTTAGACATCTGGTTCCTATCACCATCACTGTGAACAATTCTGGCATGGCAGGTTTCTCTAGAATAGAACATTTCATATCAAACCAATCCGGATGACATTATTTACTTTTCTTAATGGCTTTCTCCTGTACTCTGACAAAAGTTTTTACAGCCTTTAGGGGCTGCTTTTATCACAAGACGCCAGCTTTTTGAGTACAAAGATGTCTCAGTTGGACAGATTCTTTATGCTGTCTCTCTCTCTCTAAATCACAGGCTGATCCTGTCCAAGAGTCACACCCCATATTCCTTGGACAAAATGCATCAAGCATGGTGCACAAAAATAGCAACAATAAAGCAATTTTAATTACAATTTTGGCGCCTTGTGGTTTTGTGAAAAGAACAAAAAAGATGGGAAAACATGCACTGTGACTTTCTCTGTTCAGCCTGGTAAAAACTTTGTTTTCATTGTCTTCTTTGTTAGCTCAGACAGAGATAGCAAATTCACACCAGTAAGTAGTCGGCCCACATCTCTCGAGCTGATTCCAGGGCAGCTTGGCGTAGTTTCATCACATGAGCATATCGGACATTCGGCCAGTTTTTGGGTCCTCCTTCATCCGGATATTCTCTGAGGGAGGGGAGATATGAATTACAAAATGTGCAAATTTCTGCAGAATTTATTTTGTCATTCAGTGTTGCCCTCAGGCATTTTTGGGCCAGGTGCTACGCTTCTATTCCTTAAATGTCTGGCTAAAGTTCCCTATGTGGGCCTAGACTTTCCTTATGGTTATAACTGCATAACGTATAAAACATACAGTAGGGATGCATTGATACCATTTTTCCAAACGGACAAGGAGTACATGTTTTTAGTATTTGCCAACACTGATGCCATAATAAATAACCTACATATAATGACCTACATAGAATACAATCTAGCTGATTTTAAATTACATGTATTATGGCTATGCTACATTAGCTACCTTGAATCCAGTAGCACTGCAGTGGAGAAGAAGAGTGGGCTGTGAGTAATGTATGTTTTATAGTTTTGATCCCCGCTCCTCATCTGTCTCTTACAACAACAGTCTCTGTAGCACAGTGACAGCAGGAATCACATACAAGGCTAATCTGAGGAGCTCACATTTTGAATAAAATCTTGCTGAAGTCTTTCTGGACAGTCGTCTGGTGGAGCTGTAGTTGTATGTTCTCTAAAGCCAGACATACACTGTGCGATTTTACAAATTTTGTTGATATCAAGTTTTTTTGCCTCTGTTTAACTAGCCTATGTGTTACCTTGAATAGATATCACGGCAGAACGCTTAAATTAAATTAAACTAGTGTCCAACTGCCACAGCGTCAGCAACACTTCGCTGTGCGAGCAGACCCTCGATCACTGCCAGCTTGAGTCATTTGCTGATTACTGCAGAAGTGTACAGTAGGCTTACATCATGTGGTATCAGTTTTTTGTATTGGTTTTGGGCCAGTATAGATACCAGTATCGGTCTCAATGCATCCCTAATGTACAGTACTGTGCGAAAGTCAGGGACCACCCCTCATTTATTTAATTTCAAGTAAAAACGGCCATTAAGCACAAGTTATTCATTTTTCAGTGAACTCTGGGGTGAACAGTCTATTCTTCCAGACTTCCAGGTTCTCAAAGAAATCTGCAGGGATGTTTTTCCACACCTCCAAAGTTCAGTCTTAGAAGTTGGTTGTATTTTCTGCTTCTCACAATCCAAGTAATCCCAAACACATTAAGTGATGTTGAGGTCTGGACTCTGGGGTGGTCAGTCAATTGTTCTGAGAACACCAGCAGTTTCTTTGTTTGACTTGCAAATTTTCTTCTTTTGTGTCAATTGCCTTTTCTCAGTGAGAGCTTCTTGACAGCTACACATCCTTTCAGACTCATAGTGTTGAAATGAGTCTTCTCACAGTGGAAGGATGGACAGAAACATCTTTTTTTTAGACCTGAAGCAAGAGTGGAGCTTGATTTTCTCCTCTCTCTCAAGTGTTGTTTTTCTGATAGTGACAGTTTTGGTGGTAAAATAAATGAACAGTACTGCATGTATTATAATTTATAGTAGTTTCTGTATAATAAAGTGAATTACTGAAGAGCAAGCCTGCAGTTTAAGTTGTAATAACAGAGAAGCATACAATAGACAAAACTGTCATGCTTTAAGAGGATCCAACATGCTTCACACATGTTCTACAGTGTGTCTGGTAGCCAGATTATACCTTTCTGCAGAAAAATAACATGATTTTACAAACCTAGGCTTCTCTAGTGGCCTCCACTCCACATAGTGGTACAGTTTCTGCACGTTGATAAGCCAGTCTCGGAGTAGGTACGTTGTGTTGTCAGCATTATGGTCTGTTGCAACCCTGTTAAACACAAAATTAAACAAGGTATGACTTGGCTTGGCTCAGTTCATGTGAGTTTTCATTCAGGAAAGTATGATTAACTAACACTTTATTCAGTGTACCTTGCAGATTCATTTCATTTAGGGCTCAAATTTCGGCGTTCTCATTTTTCATTGTACAGGTATAAAAGATCATACATAAAGGCCAAACCAGGTGTGAGATAACATCTTCTTTGCTTTGATCTGTGAGAACAGCAGCTCAGTTACACAACACGGATACACAAAGCTCTGCTCTAAAATGAACTCTTTGTGACAAGTAACAATGACATTACTTTAAAATGCAACACATGAGAAGTGAAACTGAAAAGCAACCAGCCACTAAAGAATAAAAGAAAGGCAACAGTGAGTAGTACGGGTGTAGATCTCTGACCTCTTAACAATTTGGCTTAATTTGGTTCATTCAGTTCTTTAGGAAATGATTCAAAGCATCATGAAATATTACATTTCACCACATTTCAATTTGGTTTATTTAAAAACTTTAAAATACCTTTCTTTAAATGTACTGAATACACAAATGACTGAAGGAAATATTTACATAGTAGTGGAATACAGAGAGTAAAACATCATACTAAATTTTCTGTGTGAGGGGTGGGGGGACCCCAGCTGCTAGCTAGGTCGCCCCCATTAAAAAATGGCTGCTCAGAGCTTCAGGACCCTCTTAATTTTGGGGGATTTTTACATTTCAAAATATACAGAAAATTTGGTTTATTTATTTATATTTAGCATTGGGAATCTTGCCTAAAGAGTCATCCAAATCCACGAATCACCACCTTCAAATTGATCACGGTGCATTATTTCACTCTAGTGATTAGCTTAACCAGATGGCTCTGAACAGCTGGAGCATTTGTTTAACACAGCATTAGCAGCCATTAACTCTGCCTGTGCATGGAGACGGTACATCGCTGAAGTATGACCTCACTGATCACTCCAGCTGAATCTAGACTGTTTTGCTTTTCTACAGCGGAATGTAGACTCACTGCTGGCCACAGAGGCACCAGCAGCACAGCTGGGCCGTGAAAGCTGGCAGTATGAACTGGCTCTCCAGGCAGGGTTCAAACAACTCACAAGACCATGAGAACCTTACACTCCTGCATCCATGCCCAATGCCCGACTTAAGATTGAACTCAAAATCACTCTGCTCATGTACCAGACTTCATGCTGTATGCAAAGCAGCTATCCAGCAACTCTTCTCCTGTCGTGTGGTGTTTATCTTGGCAGTTTAGATGGAACATAAGCAACGTAAAGGCTGTGTGACATGTTTAAACAACTATAATACAGAAGGTCTGCGTCTGCGTTCAGTATATCTCCTCACACATGGCATTTCAGCTGGGCTCCTTTTCTGGGGTGAATAGCTTTTTATACACCTTTGTAGCACAGTAACTGATACCTCCACCAAACTGCTGTTCATTTACTTGGCAGAACAATGACAGCATCGGTGGGTAAATATCCACACTTGGTTGTAGGCTACCAGGGTCCATATTCACAAAGCACCTCCATGTACAACTGCTGCTTCTGGATTTGTTCTGCTTTTCCTGGATAACGATGATTTTTCTTGTATTTTCATTTGTGAGTTTTTATGGCTTTGTGCTGAAAACAGTCATGATTTAATTTTACATTACCATTTTCCAAACTCTCTTTATCCTTCAGAATTAAACTGAGTGTTTTTGTTACTGGGTCTTTAAGGCCGATATATGCAAATTTACTCTGTTCTGACAGGCTGTACTGCATTATGCATCATTCAAAAAGCAGTCTGGGCTGAAATGCTCCTTAAAGCTTTAAGATAAATTGTTCTTGTGTTATTTTGCTATCTAGTGTGGACCAGAGGAGGATGGATTCCCCTTTTGAGTCTTGGTTCCTTCTCAAGGTTTCTTCCTCTTACTCTTATGGAGTTTTTCTCTCACCATTGGCTTGCTCAGGGGGGCTCTGAGCCGGATTTTTCTGTAAAGCTGCTTTGTGACAACGCCTGTTGTAAAAAGTGCTATACAAATAAACTTTGACTTGACATGAATGGGTGGGGTTAAGCAGATGTAAGCTCGATATGTGCATATTTGTACACGAGCGGTTGTTTTGTGACAACATGACAAAACAATTCATTCAGAACACGCTGTTTTCCCATATAAGGACTTTATGAACTGTGGCAAATTTTGAAACTTTAACAATTTTAACACACCACATCAAACTCTTACTTAAAATAAAGTAAGGAAGTGAGCTTTTCCATGATATGGGCCCTTTAAAGCAGAATCGCTGATCCCAGATCAGCACACCCACGCTCCCATGCTGAGATGAGATTCTTGCACTCTTGTACATACAGCTGCTGGTGGACTGTTCACAACCAAACAAACACCCTTACTTCCCAAGTGATGGGCAGTCTGGCTCTTTTCTGTGAGTCATATATTTTAGCTAAGCTCACCAATAAGAGACCAAATGGCTCTTCATTTAGTAGCATTGTGAATTTTTTTAAACTTTTTTAAACTCATTGTTGATGTCAGTTTGTTACTTCAATTGCTGAACAGCTTATGCTACCTCTCAAGTGACAAAATAACATTATGTTGCATGTTGTGTGTTAGAAAAACTAATAGGCGTATTGTTGTTCAGAGGCTATCTAGGAAACATCTGCTTCTTTCTCTTTCATTCTGTATGCATTTGTGACAAAAATCTCAAAACAATGAGATCACCAGAAATTTGTGTTCGAGATATGCATACAAGTGAGAGTTGTTTCTTGCTTTAGGATGTCTGCATTACCTCTCATTTTGCCTTGATGGCATTTACAGCACAGCTAATACTGTATACTTAGTGAAGGAAAGCTGGTGTCATTTCTGTATTCCCTCAAATTACCTACACTGTGAAAAAAAATATGTTTACTGTCAAAGTACTGTAAAATTGAATGGTTAACACCTGTTTTTTGTTGAAAAAAAAGGTTAAATGAATGTATATAAACTATACATATGCTACATTTTTACACTGGTGTTGTTAATTTACAGAATTAGATTGTAAATTCACAAAAACAAATGATTTCCTTTATTTCACAGACAACTGACAGTTATTATTATGGTACAATACTATCTGAACAACTAGTTGAACTTGTGAAACTGTTGAGTTACAGTTAAAGGCAGTAATTCTAAGAAATTAAATGGCTGCAATTAAAATTAAAACAAAGCAAGGTCTGTAAAGACATGGCTTGATGAGTATGGTGTGGAGGAGCTCCAGTGGCCGCACAGAGCCCTGACCTCAACCCCACTGAACACCTCTGGGATGAATTAGAACATCAAATGTGAGCCAGGCCTTCTCATCTAACATCAGTGCCTGACTTCACAATTGCTCTTTTGACGGAACAGAGATTCCCACAGACACACTCCAAAATCTTCTGGAAAGACGCCCCAGAAAAGAGTGGAGGCTGTTATAGCCTCAAAGGATGGGATAACTCCTTATTAATAACCATGGTTTTGGAATAGGACACCCAACAAGTTCATAAAGGTGTGATGGTCAGGCATCTACATACTGTAGAACCCAATACTGTAATCATTTTCCAATCATGTAATAACCCTGGAAATGTAACATTTTTCACTTAATTTGGTCAAAACTGTAATAAAACACAATAATGTAATAATTTATCCACCAATGTAATACAGTGTTTTAACTGATAATGTAAGGCTATTTTTATGAATATGAACTTTTTTAGTGTAGAAAGCTGCTGATCTTGCTGTTCTCCATTTTGACTGACAGATTAAGAGCTGAATTCACTTCTCACCTGCTGATAAAAGTTGCTGGCTAAATGTTAACATTAGTGCATGTCATATAATACTGGGGTGTAGAGTCTAATGCCACCTTATTATCTCAAAATCTCACTTTTTAACCTAAAATCAATAAAACATGAACAGAAATGCCTGAAAACATTTTCAATGAGCAGGTGCTGAATATGGGTGGACAGGTCAGGTTGTGGGCTTTATATTTGGTTATAATTTGCATAATTGCAGTACTGTTGTGATCTTAGAAATATTCCGCACCATGAACAGATACAGTTCTATAGGTTGGTTTAGACATCACACAAAAACATGAATTTTTTTGGAACAAATACTGTCAGACAGTGGCACTGGGCTTGATACAGCTACTCACAGGATGGGAAGAGAAAAGCAAAAATTGAAAGACCGAATTGCAGATAACATACACCTTTTTGGCGCTTGAGTGTATCGATTGTAAGTCTGACTGTAAGACTGTAAGTCTGAGGTTTGAATATGTATACGTGCCGTGTTGGTATTGTCTCCCTACTATCTATGCTAACGTCAACTCTAAATATGGCCCAAACATAGAATAAAGACTAAAGTATGACAGACAGAAGTATTACATCATCTATTTGAAAAAACTAATCAGCCTGTAAATATAACAAAATCCTAATAATGTAATAATTTATTATATATTATTAACCTAAATGTAATAAATTCACTGTATTTGAAGACCAAATTGTTTTAAGTGATAATGTAATAAGGTATTACATTATCAGTTATGATACTGTATTACTTTGGATACATTAGTACATCATTGGGTTTCATTACATTTTTGACCAAGATAAGCAAAACATTTTATTACATTTCTTGGCATTATAACATATTTATTACAATATGGGGTTCTAAACATACTTTTGACCATATATTGTATGTGTTTAGGCCAACTGCGCTGTCAAGAAGAGCCTGATAAGGAACAAAGTTGATATTGTCTTAGTTTCACGATAAACATGAAACTAAGACAATATCAAAGTCCAAATTACAGAAGCTTTTGGAAATTAACCTAATAACAGATTCAAGTTTTTGCCAAAGGTTTGAGATCCAAGCTGAGAGCTGGAAAAACTTCCATGCTGCATTCCAACTGTGGGCAGCGACGTCATTAAAGCAAATCCTGCCTGGGACGTGATATTTGGGGGGGTTGATTTCAGTGAGATACTGATATAAAATGATAAAATTGTCTATTCTCTGACTTTCAAAATCTGGAAATGATTTGTAATCATAATGCACAACACAGTAATTTAAAAATGCTGGATCGAAGATATGGTTAGCCATTAAAGGCCCATCTGCTATATTTTTCTTGTATTTTTCATCCCCCTGAGGTCCTTTCATGACGTTTATATGCCAAAACCAGACATAATTCACTGTAACATTTTCAGCCCCTCGCTTTATCTTTTGGAATTAAACAGGCTGTTTTTGCAACTGCGCCTTTAAGATGTATATAAATGACTGCCTGTTCTGATTGGCTGCCCTGTATTGTGCCTCATGCAGAAAGTAGTATGGGCTGAAATACTCCTAATAGCTTGAGCGTGAATGTACTTGGGCAAACTTCTGTAGGCTGAATAGATGGACATATGTAAATGCGCTGATTTTAATGAAACAACTCATTTTACCTCACTGATCCCTTCTTTGCCACTATACACCCTTTAACTGCTGCTGCACTCAGCACTTTAACTTTAGACTCCTACTTTGCACAATGTAAAGGTGGGCCTCAGAGAGAAAAAAAGATATGGACCCTTTAACATATACCTGCCTACTGATGCTTAACTTTGAGTTTATGGGTTTTACTGAGGCACAAAACAAGGCAGCCAATCGGAACAGAGCGCATTTACATATATTAGTCTTAAATGCACAGTAAAATGATCATGTAAAAAATGACTAGCTTTAGTGCATAAAGCAACTGTCAGTACATTATTTTAAAAAGATGGTTCTTCAAGGGTTCTTTAGCAAAGCAAACGGTTCTAATTAGAATAATGAGTTCCATATAGAACCATTTTTAAAAAAAGGTTCTATAAAGAACCATATACAACACATTCTCCATCAATCTCAAGAACCATTTAAGCATGAGACTCGTGATTCTAAATAAGTTCTACTTAAGAACACTTGAAGAACCAGCTTTTTAAAATAGTGTAGACCTAAAATAAAATGCTAGAAATACACAATATATAGGCCTTTTAACAGAAAAGTATGGACACCTCTAACCACTAACAGGGAGGAACAGAGACAGGACTGGCCTTTAACAGTTGAAGTTTGGAGACCTGATAGATGACAGACACCTGAGGTATGAAATGAAAAGCTTTTTTTTTTGCAGTATTAACTCTCCTCCCTGTGTCTCCCCTGAACAAACTGAGACAGAAGCAAGCCTGTGCCTGCACTGCCACCACTCAGACTGATAGAAATGCATAGTTCTCTTGACACAGTTTGGTTTTGCCACGGGGAAACAGCTAAAAGCTTTCCGGAGTGGAGCTACAGCCTCAGCTCCAATAAATCTGATGGAGAGCACCTCAAATTACAACTACTGCTGCTGCTGTGGGGTTATGGTTAAAGCAGAGTCAGACCAATCCCCAGCTATGTGGCCTCAAACTGCTCTCTGCACTGTTTACTGCCACTTGTATTCAATTCAAGGCGCCAACACATATGAAGAGGTCAACGAGGCTGAAGTCAGCGTCCTATTCGCCCGCTTCTCGTTCGAATTCCCCCGTTCCACCTTAAATGGTGCAGCAGTTATACCATTTAAGATGGAACGGGGAAATTCGAAGAAGAAGCTGGCGAATAGGAACCCAACTTCAGCATCGTATGAGGTCAGAGCATCAGCCAAAAGACACAAGACGAGACTCGTTCAGTCAGAACTGGCCAATGTCGTGGATAAACACTTACCAAAGAGCAATCCTGTCCTTTGGATAATTCAAACGCTCTATGGTTCCGAGGAAATAGGGCAGCGAATGCTGCGAGTTTCGGCAGATTAAGGCTATAACGACCCTCGGAGCTAAGAGAGGAGACTCGGGACTCCAGCGCTCTTCGTGAAAGTAGCCCAAAACCGCCCCAATGTTCAGAACGGACAACAGCGTCCAAACGAACCAAATTACTCTAATGAACACTGCCGAGGACGGACAGACGCGATACACTGTCGCTTTTAATATAGCCATGCTAACTTGCTCGACACCAAACTTGTTCCCGTCCTGGATCCTGAAGGAAAACGGTTCGGATAAAATAAGTCGACCGACTAAAATACAGCACAGTGACAACACTGCAGAGTTCGCATTAAAGGGGATGTAACGTCGGCGTTTAAAGGGGAGGTGCTTGTGATGCATCTCCTAGCAAACGGTAGATCCGCTAAGCAACTGAGGGTAAAACGAAATTACTGATACTTCAGTAAAATAAAGACGAAATTAGCAACAAAAATAATACCAATAGACCCAACAGAACTGCAGCGGAACGTCTCCAAGCATAGAGACCACCCATTCACCCGTTCAGAGAGGCCATGTAGTAGCTATAATTTTCTGCACTGTAATCTTGAGATGACGACCTAATTGTCTTTGATGTCGAGATAACAAAATTTGTTATCTTTATATCACAACTTTTCTTATGATCTCAAGATACCAAAAGCTTCCATGAGATCAGAACGTTTTTTTTATTTCAAGAGAAGCTGTGATCTCAAGACATCTTGACATTGAGACAATTAAGTCATGATCTCAAGATAACAGTCCAGAAAATTATAACCTCTCTAGATTTCCAAACTGAGATTAGATATAAATGAATTAACTTGTTTAAGGAAGGAGAAAATAAGGAGTCGAACAAAAAACAGCAATTTCCGAGACTTAAGATAAAAACAGATAAAAGTTACAGAGACAATGGGACTCCTAACAACCGAGCAAGACATAGTAGACCACCAAAACTGTCCCAATCTGGACTTGAGAGACAATCAAGCTCCTATTTTGATTCAGATCTGAAAAGGTGTTTCTCATTCCAAGAGATCAAAACAATGTTTAGCTGTCAAGAAACTGATGAGTCTAAATTTGTGATTGAGATTACTTGGATTATAAAAAGCAAACCAATTTCTAAGACTGAACTTTGGAGGTGTGGAAAAACAGCAGATTTCCTTACCTTGAAAAGAATGGGAGCTGCGATAAATGTAAAGGGTGGATACACTAAATACCGAAAGATTCTATATTATATTTAGTTGTTGAGGCTTCTGATGAATTAATTTTCCATTAAATATATCACTGCTGTCGGAGGAAAACCTTGTATCTCCATTTTTGTCATTTTTCACATAATTGACATATTTTGAAAATGCCTGTTGTCCTTTACATTGTATGTAAATTTCATGATGAATGGACCAAAAGAAATGACCCAAAATGACTTGGAAAAAAAGTCTGGTTCCATTGATTTACATTAAAAGTGAAGTACATTTTTTCCTTCTCCTGTAAAGTTATCATTTTGGAGATACAAGGTTTCTTCAGACAACAGCGAAATGTTACCTGTTTTTCCTGCTAGTGAAAAATGTACTTGAAAAGCCATTTTGACTGAAAATCAATGCAGGGTGGTCTCTGACTTTTACAGAGTACTGTAAACATGAAGACAACTGTAAAAAGTAAAAACAGGGCTCTCAAGCTTTTTCAGTCTAAAACACACTTTGTGGACAGTAAGTGCCACTCGTTGTACAGCACTCAGTTTGAGCACCGCTGCCTTTGAATCCTCAGAGCATTGCTAATAAATTATCTCATTTTTAAGAACATGGAGCTGAGAAAATGCATCTCCTGCTCTGACACTTTTCATTTTTGATTTAGTTACTTTGTATGAGACACTACGGTTTAGTTTGCTACAAAAACAAAAAAAACCTGTACAGCCATTTAAAGCCAGAAGCTTTTTTTAAAATAGCCTCACCAAAACACATGGTTCTGACCCAAAGACAACACAAAAAGCAGTTTCAGTTTTTACTTTAACCATGTTTTCTTCACAAAGTTTCAGTGCTTAATTTCAACTTGTCCCAACAGAGGATACTGGAATGTAAACATATTCACTAAGAATAACTGTGTTCCCTTCTAGAGTGATGGTCATCCACTAAGGTACATCTCTTTGTAAAACTCAGGAACAGCGTAGACACAATGAGGATGAGACCTTGTGTATTCTTCAAGTTATAACTTGGCACCAGGGCTTGGTCTTTCCACCTCCAGAGTTAGGGAGGCTGCTGCTGGTTCATCTACCAGCCAGAAAAGCTCTCCCTGAGTGGGTGTAACAAGGGCTGCAGGCAGTATTGGACCCTGTCCACCCTCCAGTACTTGCTGTAGAAGATAAGAAAAAAAAAATGTAAGTAAGGAAGTGGGCAGGCATAAAGTGTAATCTGAAACATGGTTACAGTGGGGTTTTTTTTTAGTGTTTACACTGTTTTTTGTCTTACTCTTGCACAACTGTACACAGTTCCACTTCGAAATGATACTGGATCTAGATATCCTTGCAAAAATCGAGACAACATGAGCATCCTGAAAAAAGTTCTGTATCTAGAAAAAAGTTCTGTATCTTGAAGTACCTTTAGCACAGGCGCTTTGCTGCCCCCAGTGGACACAAAGACCACACAACGTGCGGCATTTACCATGGGCAGTGTGAGGGTCACACGCTGAGGGGGCGGTTTAGGTGAGTCACTGATGGGGGCCACTGTTTTCTGGCTTTCCTGTGAAAGAAACGAGTTAGCAAATATTGTAATGAGGGCAACAAGGCAGAATCTTATAATCTTTAATGTTTTAAACGTCTTAAAGCAGGGGTGTCCAATCATCCGCAGAGGGCCGGTGGGGCTGCAGGTTTTCACTCCAACAATGCAGGAGGTCACCTGATGAAATGTTTGACCATCTGATTAAACAAGTAGAATCAGGTGTGCTTCAGCTTGTTTGGAGCGAAAATCTGCAGCCACACCAGCCCTCAGTGAAAGTGTCCATATGTGGGTCCAAATATCAATTTCTCACTCTCACAGCTGCATAATCTCCATACTAGTTAACTAGTAATTAATAAAAATAATTAAATAATAAGCCTACAATTTAAGGGGTTGAGGTATATGCATGTATTTGTTTTGTAAATGGCCACTGAATCAAGTTGCAAGTAATAATATTAGCATTAACTGATAAGTACTAAGCAACTGTTTTCTCTGTGGCTTCTAAAGCAACTACTTGGTGGACAAACAGTGCAAATATTGTCTGTTTGTCAGTGCTGTTACAAATACCACACAGTATTGTGTAAAAGTCAGAGACTACCTTTTATTTATTTCATTTCCAGTCAAAATGTTTGCTAAATACAAGTTATTAATTTTTTAGTGTCAGGAAAAAAAGCAGAAAACACAAAATTAGTAACAACTAATTACAAAATCATATATTCAGTATTTAATGCGTCCACACTGTACCTTTATTACAGCTTCCATTCCTTTCAGGAGATTTGCTTTTAGTTTTTCAAGTTTTCCACACCTCCAATGTTCAGTCTTAGAAGTTGGTCGCACAAGTAATCCTAAATATATCCAATGATGTTGAGGTCTGGCTCTGAGGCGGTCAGTCCAGTTTTCTGAGAATACCAGCTGCTTCTTTTTTGATTTGCAAGTTTTGTCTATGTCCTTTTCTCAGAAGTTGGTTGTGTTTTCCACTCCATAAGTAATCCCAAACACATTCTTCTTTGTTTGATTTGCATTTTTTCTTCTTTTATGTCTATTTCCTTTTCTCAGTGAGGCTTCTTGACAGCTACACATCCTTTCAGACCCATAGTGCTGAGTTGTCTTCTCACAGTGGAAGGATGGACAGAAAAAACTGTGGATTTTTTCAGATCTGAAGCAAGAATGGAGCTTGATTTTCTCCTCTCTCTCAAAGATGAAAGCTTTCAGTCCTGTTTCTGATGGAGACAGTTTTGATGGTCTACCAGGTCTTGCGGGTGGTTGTTATGAGTCCCATTTTCTCTGTATTTTTTAATCATTTTTTGAACTACAGTTTTGGAAACTCCTTTTTTCAACTTATTTTCCTTTGTCTTTTTCCTACCTTATGCAAGTGGATTATCTTAAATCTAATCTTCTCAGAAAGATCTTCTGAAAAATGAACAACTGGTATTTAATTTCCATTTTGACTGGAAATTAAATAAACAAACATGGGTATCTGACATTTGCACAGTACTGTATGCAATCTGACCAGATGGATCATCCAAAACCAAATGCTCATTTACTATTACACTTTTTGCAGGCAGCAGAGATTATACAAACAACTTTTTTGCACCCTCAGACTAACAACAGACACACCAAAGTTGTCACACCATGTGAGGAAAAAACATATCGACAAAGAAGAATAGCATGATGTAGAACATATAGTGAAATCATCAAAATCTTTGGAGCCTAAAACTGGTTATGGCACATATAACACTGTTTATGTACATGTAGTCCTTAATAACTAGTTTCCATTTTAGATCATAATATTTATAGATGAGGCCCATATTCCCCTTTTGCAGTTAAAGAGCAGTGATGAACGGGTGGGTTTCAGTCAGAATTTACATAATACGTGGGTTTGTTTCAATCTAAGTCATGTGGTAAGAAAGCACTGAAATCAGATACTGTGATCATAACACAGAATAACTACTCAGGACTAAATACTGGCCGCATACAATTTCACTGCAATTCACTTCAATGACTACTATCTTTCAGCCAATCACAGTTGTGTCGATTCCAATCTTAGACCACATAAACCATAAACAGTAAGTCAAGCGTTTTATGCCAAACAGTTTAAGGCCTCTAAAAACTACCACACAGTGAGTTATCACATGAAATGTTATATGTTGCATGATGCTGGAGACATGCATTTAGTTTTGGCTTAAAATGTTGAATGTTTTAAAATCCTTTCATGGTGGATGGGCACATGCAGGGTGCTGCAAGGCAAAACGGTCCCCTTCAGATTTACCACTATTTTATCATCAACAACATTATGTAAAAGAACTTAGATGATGTGTAGGTTCACTGGTGGTTTTGGATAGTAAATAAAATGGCTATATTTGCATTGTGGATTTTGTAATCTCTGTTTCTGTTTCACTACCACTGTAAAGAAAATCTGAGACAGTAAGATTCTCTACAATGATCCATTTCAAATCAAACAAACTTTGTATGACTTTGTTAACAGCCAAATGATTGACTAATGTAGAAATTTGAAAAAAGACTGATGGAATTCCCCTTCAACTACTTCCTTTATATGTGACTAAGATTATGCATTTTGGAACATATAAACAACAGCCATTAAAGGGGAACTCCACTGATTTGTCAAAACCTCTACATAACTAGATCATTACGATGTAAACAAAGTCATTCAGAGTGGTTTGTTGTGAAGTGCTGCATTTTAGAGAAGCTGAGTTATAACTGTTTATAGTGTTGGTGTTAGGAACCAGACAACAGAAGAGTTTAATGCCTCTAAAGCCTCCCTCACAGACAGTTAGTAGATGAAATGGTTATGAATACGCAATATGATTTCACATCCTGTCACAGTGTTTTATAATAGTTTTCAGATCAGTTTTTGGCCTAATTTTTTAATATTAATTTAGTGATGAGCAGTATAGGCAGGGCATTATAAGGCAAAGTAGTTTCCAGATTTACCACCATTTTACCATAATCAACATTACTTATAGAAACTCAGAAGACACATGTAGGTCCACAGATCACTTTGGATATTAAATAAATTAGCTATATTTGTGTTGGAGACATTGCAACCCCCAATTCCTATCACCACCACTGTAAAGAAATCTGAGTCAGTAAATTTGTCAGCAATGAATCATTTCACATTTTATTCTGAATCACTTTGTTTACATCTCTAAGATTGGAAAAAATCTGTTGAATTCTCCTTTTAAATCTGGACTAATTCCTTGCCAGGCCTGAATATGACACACAAATAAATCTGAGATTTATAATCTCACCTGCAATAAAGGATGATCTGGGAAGAGCGAGCATGTATGTCCATCAGGTCCCATGCCAAGCAACAACATATCAAATACTGGCATTTGTTCTGTATTGAAAGCCTGCAAAACCATCAGCAGTTACTCACGAGGGAAACCCAAACTGACAGTCTGAATCAGACTGACGAAGTATGTTGCTGCAAATCAGAGAGATTTTGTGATAACAGTACCTTACTGAGTTTGCTGGCATAGTCATCTGCGCACTCCGACACTGGTAAGGAGGGGTCTATTGCAAGAACCCGATCCTCTGAAATGTTGATTTTGGAGAACAACTGATTCTAAAACAAAGAACAAAACAGGTCATTGCAGACCATGTGCTCACACTGACCTCATTTATGAGGCTCTGATAGAACTTTTAAATTCATGTATTAACACTGAAAAAGTTTATTTGTTTAAAATATGTACATCATTTCTACATGAATAAAATAGATAGACACAGGAATAGTGGACCAATGCCTATGACTATTTTTGTAGGCTACATATCTGCTGACTTCGGTATCTAAACATGAATAAAATGTAGAAATTGGGATTACATCCACCTGGATTAACATTGAAGAAAATAATTGTATAGGTTACAAGTGCAGATATTTTAGCACAGTAACCCAGCATGGGCTAAAAGTTCTGCTTATCAAGAGTGTAATAAATATGTCAACAAGTGTTGGTTTAAAATACCGGCCAAATCTAAAAATCTATCCGATGCTGGTAATTTGTTTTAATTAAATACTAACAATTCTGATATGATACCCATATAATTGAGCATCTCTAATAAAGTACATTATACTAACACAGTTTCGTCCTTCAGCTTGCTTTCGGAAATAATTGTGTTGACTTTTTTATCCATAAGCAGCTTACAAAATGTGTGTGTATTTTATCCATGTGGAAAAGATGTAAATGGAATTAAATAAATTCAGTGCTTTACTTTTTCAGTGCATACTGTGGTTTTATAACCAAACATTTTACCTGTGAAATATGTATCCAGAAACTCCACTTATGATATATGGAATTAATACAGCCAGTCACACTACTTACATTGTCATGGTATATGTATGTTTTAGATGATATATGTTACTCTTAAATTTTAGGGTGGATTATCACTGGTCTTTGGGTGCAAGAAAGGTACAAATTACCTACTCCTCACATTTTGCCTGGGTCTTATCTCATGTTTTCTTTTCCTGAGGTCTCGCTAGCCGACAAGAGTTACAGTGAATCATTGTTCAAGTGGCCTTGAGGTTGCAGACTAGCTTTCTCTCAAAGACACCAGGAGTAAGAAGACTTTTTAACCATATAAGAGCTTCCTTCCTTGTCATTAATTATGCATATATGTTAACACTTTCACGTTTATTCATTTCACAATTAGGTGTAACCACTGAATTGTAACTCCTTTGTTCTCTGTTAACGAGTGAAAAGTAACAATACCCTATTCGGGGAATTAATTGTGACTCTGAGATTTTACTGTATTCTGATTTATTCAGAAATTTCTTCCACATTATCCCAATTACCTTGTAAAGACCATATGTGCTCTCAGGATCATCAAACGGAACCAGCCTCTCATCGCAGAACCCCACCAGCCATCGGCTGCAGTCTAGGTTCGGCACTGCAGGCAGCTCCTTACTTAGAATGGACACCAGACTCCCCCCAGAGAGACCCAGGGAAAAAGAACAAGCTCCGCTGCTCAGGGCCTTCTCAGCTCGAGAGGCCACCAGCTGGGCCAGGGCCGGCCCAAGTTCCGCCGCCGACAAGAACACTACCACTCTTCGGCCTGACATCGTTGCCTGAAAAAGAAGTACAGAGAAAAGCTGTATGAAAGGCAGATCAATCAGTTTAAGGATTTCCTCTGACAGGTGTATGTCTGCAAATTTGAAATCCAGTAGTAATAATAACACCAAATACGACTTGACATTAGTGCTGAACGACTTGGAGAAAACATGTAATTGCAATTATTTTGACCAACATAGCAGTTTAAATGTGATAGGTTTCTATAAATTAAGCTCCCGCACATCCATTTTTGAATGCAGAATGTAATGTCAGACAGCTCATGAACTCTGCGTTATTAGGTTAAACCTCCCCACTTTAACCTTGTTAAGACAAAATTGAATAAGCTCTTGCATTTTGAAATTTTCACTCTTTTTTCGATGTAAAAATGACTAACCGTTCTGTCCTACCTGCTCTTGGGAATGATTATACTGCTACTTTTAAACACTGCAATATGCCCTGCGCACACAGCTGAACTGTTTACATACTGACCAATATTTTATGATTAAATTTATGTACGTCTGTTGGCTCACCTGAGCGCCTTGATTTATCCCACCACCAACAGAAACACTAGAATCATCAAGGATTATGTAAGGATCTCCATAATGATTGTTAGGTGGTTTATTTAACTTCACATTAAAGCCTTCAGTGATACCAGTGTCACCAGAGTTAGGATGTATTGGCGTATAAGTATTGGGAATAGATACTCAGAATACAGATATTAAGTATCAGTATTCAGTCCACATTACATTTTGAAATGACAATATTCAGAATACAGTCTTACTTTACAATTTTTGAAGAATACGTTTGAAAAAAATTGTGGGGGCAGCAGTGGACCAAATAAGACAATGAAAGCATATTAAAAAGAATCTCGGAACTTTGTTGATACACAATTTTACTTAATATATAACTAAAAGCAGTCAGTTACTAAACTGAGTATCGGCAAAGGCGATATTGCGATAATGATAAACAAATGATATATTGTGCAGCCGTCGCAGTGCTATGGGAGGGCAAGAGAAGACCGCAGGAGTTGAATATGAATTTTAAAGGTGGAGGGGAGCTCGGACAGAAGCCAGAAAGGAACCTCTGAACGCTTAAATTATTACTTTTTTAGTTGAAACTAGTGGAAAAGTCCAGCTTTGCCAAATGAGCAATTGAGCTCAGTCAGCGTAACCTTCTTGCCTGGACTGGCTGAGCCTAGGATCCGGAGAGGAACACGAACAGACAGAGGTGGACAAAAAGCTATGAAAACACGTCTATAAGCTCGATACAAACATGATATCGCATAAAACCTGTCAGAATAATTCACATTTACCCAGGAGGATTTGTATGAAGTTCACCGTGCCCGTTCACCCCTGTCTCTTCCTCACTCGATGTCACCGCAGCCAATCAGCGCATAGGAAGCGGGTGACGTTTTGCTGATACAGGATGGTAGTTGTAGTCTTTTAGGGCTTCTCGCTTCTCCAGTTCATTAGATGGCGATAATGCGCCAATGTAAGGCAAAGACAGTTCACCGACCATCGAAATTATTTGTTTATAGGTCCAATCATGATAGGCTTTGCTCTACGGTACTGACGTTGGGAGGAAGCTGCAGAGGAGGGGATTGCATGAGTGACCAAAACACAAGTTTTACAGTTGGTCGTTCATTGTTCGTAGTGTAGCAGAATATTTTGTTTTTTTGCATGAGGATACATTTATTCGCAGAATTCCCCTGTTTATCCGTGAGCCTGGTTTTTACCCATTATAAGCAAATATGCCGACTACTCTGCCCTCTTTTCAGACTCAGTTAGCCTCCATTATGGAAACGTTAGCCAAAACAGCTATTTTACAGATAAGTAAACTTGTCGATATGGAGTGCAAAATACTGCGGTCGGAAGTGGCCCGCAGTCACCATGAGATTGACACTCTGAGGAAAAGACTGCAGCTGATGGAGCACATGCTGGTGCAGGAGGGGATTCAGAACCAGCAGCAGGTTGGAAACGGAAACGGTGGAGAAGCAGCAGTGCTGCTCACATCAGTGCAAGAGCACTGCCTGGTACCACTGTCTCACAGGACAGAGAGACAGCCACGCATTAAAAGGTAGTAATGTTTTTAAGTCTGATTATTACAGGGGAATTCCACCGATTTTTCAAAATTTCTGTTTAAGTCCATCGCTGAGATGTAAACAAAGTCGTTCAGAGTGGTTTGATATCAAAAGGTTCATTATAGAGAAACTTACAGACTCAGATTTCTTTTCAGTGGTGATGATAGGAACCAGGGGTCGCAATGTCTACCACACAAATATAGCCATTTTACTCATCATTCAAAGCTTCCAGTGAACTTACATGTGTCTGCTGGGTTTTTATATGTAATGTTAATGTTGATGATGGTAAATTAGTGATGCATCATAAACTTGGGGAACTATTTTGCCTCACAACACCCTGCAGGTACTTCTCTGTATCTTAAAAATACATTTCAGGTCAAATTCTTCTCTTAAAACTATCACAATGTCTCAGACATCAGGCAGCAAATTTGATCATTTTCATATAATTAACTTTATGTGAGGGAGCTTTTAGAGGTGGATGTCTGGTTCCTATCACCACTACTGTGGCTTTTTTAGATCCTAAATACTGAATTTTGCAGAATTTTTGATAAATCAGTGGAATTCCCCTTTAATGCTGCTGTGTAATGCAAATTCTCTCACAGTGTTTTATTCTTCATGAACATGTATTGCAATGCAGCAGTTGATTTCACCTTACAATTCTCCTAAACTTGATTATAATTTTTTAGAGAGGGTGACCTGGAGGAGTCAAATAGATGTGATTCTGCTTTGGGAGAGAGCTCGGGGGAACCTAAAAAGGACCAGGTAAGTTTTACACACTAGCAAAATGCTGTATAAAGCTTAGATTATTATTTACAGTAAGGTCCCAAAATGTGTCAAGTATCTGGTGTTTTTCCTGCAAAAACATTCCTGCAAAACATCTTTCTAATTTTTAGAGTTAATTAAAAATGCTGTTGATTTTGATGGTTTATTTGTATCACACATCAGTACTGCTGAACTGTGATATGGTGTAGAAATGATCTCACATAACTTCTCTCAAGAGGTTTGACAGGGCAAAGAATGAGAACACAATTGCTTTTAGAAATTCTAGGCCTACTATTAGGCCAATGCATCTTCATTAAATATAAAGAATAGAACACTGTAATCCTAATCTTTTAACTCTCTGGTGACTTTTTTAGTTCTGCACGCTTTTTTCAATGTTGTGGGAACAGATTAACTGAAGCTAGTTTGGTCAGAGTAGAGGGATGCACAATGCTATCTGAATCATATCGATATCAGCAGATACTGGCATTAAAAAAGCTATACATAAATGGATTATTGGATTATAATATATTATTTGGATTAGACCAATGATTCACCCTGATATTTGATGACATATTTATTGCACTCCATGAGAACTGTGCTTAAAATATCTCCATTTTATTCGAAATACATAAAATATTTACCTGAAATGTTAATCCAAGTAGTTGAAGTTCTGATTTCTATGTGTTTCTGTATTGACACTGATAAGTATGTGGAAAAATCAGACGTCCGCATCGGCCCACAATTCCCATGTCAGTGTATCCCCTAGTGACCAAGCTAATTAGTAAAAAACAGATTTTTGCTGTGAATACATTAAAATACTCATTCATAATTCACACAGAAACCTGGAGACATGACCTTGTTGAGCTGATTGCTGGTTTGCAGTTGTACAGAACCATTTTTAACCTGAAAATGAATTTAGTTCTGCTCAGCAGAAGCTTATATTGTACAAGTTGTTTTGATCATTTATGTTTAGCAGGAAAAAACACAAAAAACCAGCAAAATTATTTGAAAAAAAATGAAGGAAAACACAAAAGTGACTATCGTCTTTTGTAAAAAGTATTAATAATTTATTATGTTTTTATTTATAATTTTTAATGAATGGTTTCAATGCCTTGTACTGTTACATAGGCTGATCGAGAAAATCAAAGTGACTGTGTTCGGCAGCATCATGAGGAAAAGCAGCCCTCTGAATTACCTATCAAACAGGAGCCAGATGGAATGGATTTATGGAACTGTGAAATAGGAGAACGAAACCCGAGGGAGAAGAGTGAGTTTGATTTTTTATGTTTTAATGATGGCGCATCCATGGCATTTTAGCATTTTGTTATATTTTAAGTCTTGAACTCCGTGCAGTAGTGAGATTTCGGTTAATTTTTGCAATCATAAGACACATATAGCAGAAATGAAACTCAAGATATATCATTTGCTTTTAGTTAATAAACATTTAATTTTTTTCCTTACAGCAGCTGGTGTCACAGGCTCTACTAGTGCTGAAGAAATATCATCTACCATCAGTCATCTTACTGGTGACACTGCTGAGAGAGGCATCCAGACTGTCAAGACCACTTGTTCAGCTGATCCGTTGGACAGAACCTCACTTGAAGATAATTCATGTGACCAGGAAGGACCAACTTTACAAGTACAAGCAAGCACTGGAACCAAAATTACAGACTTTACCACCTCACAGAGTTTTCTTCTCCCTAGGTCCATAAGGACCTTCACCACGTCCAGCTTTTCAGGCGAGAAACGGTTCGTTTGCCCGCACTGTTCCAAGCGCTTCAAGTGTTTCAGTCAACTCGAAATACACGAGCGGAGCCACACGGGTGAGAAACCTTTTAGGTGCATGCTTTGTGGTAAGAGGTATGCACAGAAGGGCCACTTGTATACGCATCAACGTACACACACTGGAGAGAAGCCATATCGTTGTCTGCACTGCGGGAAAGGTTTCATTCAGAAATGCACTCTGGACATGCACCAGCGAACTCACACTGGAGAAAAACCCTTCATCTGTGTCAAATGCGGCAAAGGGTTCACTAAGAAATGTAATCTTAACAAACACCTGACTGTACACTCAGATCCCACCACTGGTCTCTATGTGGAATCAGGCCTGCATGATCTTAACATCAGATAACAAATGTGAATGGGCTCCTGTAATGACACAACCTGTAAATGTTTTCCTCCGCAGTTTCAGCGATGGTACTGGTGTGGACATCTGTATTTTACATACAGTATTTGTGAGTTTTAGTCCTGGTTTTGGTCTGGAAGTCCCCTAAAATTCTCACTACAGCACACAAAATTATTAGCTGATTTCTGCTTCCATGTATTTATCCATTTATATATTAAAGTCAACTGAAATCAAAATTGAGTTTTTTTTTTTAACCTTGTTAGTTAATGTCTCTGGTCACATTACGCACAATACATCAAATCATATCATTTTAATGACAGAATTCTTAGTTTCTCTACATTTGACAGAAATGTATTGACTTTGTCTCAAAAACATCTGCTGATTTTTGATTACATCATTTGGAATCAGTGGGCAGAAAAAATAATATTATTTTGCACCTTCTCCTCCCACCACCCCGTCTATTTTTGGGTCTCATTCACTAATATCTTCCTATGTTTTTTCTTACATTTGTTCTTGAGAAAGGTCCTAAGAAAAAGTCTGCGTCAGATTCTTGACGTGTCCTTAAACCACAAAATTGTTCGCACCTTTGTGTTCCTGAGTGTGTGTAGATTCTGTTTTTACCTAAGTACAAATCCCAAATAAGAAAACATTGGTGATGCATTTTCAGAATCTTTGTGAAACTGCATTAAGTGGGTTTTAAGAAGAAACTTCTTAAGAACAGTTGGTGAATGAGGCACATAGAGTGCAAACACTCAGCTACCACAGAGACCCTCCCTGACAGTGTTTTTTATTGAAAATGCATCACAATGCTGAAAGCAAATGCAGTGTAATTTCCCATTCATGTTACCATTTTAAAAACATAACAAAATAAAACCATACAGAGTGTTTGTCAGAGCAAAATAGCAGCTTCCCATGTAGGTCTGCCCTCTCATTTCTTTCCTTTATGTCTTTAATCATGGCCACAGCAGGTACCTGTAATTATACTAGTCCAGTTTGCTTTTGTCATACCCATCTATATTTAAAAAAAATGTATTTATACTATATATGCTAATATGGAGTCAATCACTCTAGAAATACCTGTAACAAACAAAATCTTGACCTCTAGGCTCAGGTTTACTAAATTGAATTCAGTATAACTTAAGAACAGAGGCATGTTGAGTAGCCTAAACTCAGACTGAAGTTCACTTAAATTAGAGTTAAATAAAAAATGAATTAAAAGAATATTTTTTTTTCAAGACTTGACTTCCCCATTAAAACTGCAGTGTAACGTCTTATTACATTCAACCTTTATCAGCTAATGAGTCTGTTAGGTGCTATCAGAGGCTTTTTTATAATCAGGACCCTGTGCAATGCAGTTTCTATTGGATCCTCTGCACGTCTCTTGGAAATGTTCTAAAATTGGTATACAAACAATCTATGGGACAGTCAGTATAGATTGTACATAATAATAATATTGTACACTCAGTGGCCAATATTTAAAAAACATAATGTAAATATTGATAAAAATACATCCTGTAATAGCATATCGCTCTTACAAGAAAACCTTGGAAGAAAACGCAGTATGTCTATTTTTGTTGTTTTTCAGTTTTTGACATAATTTGGACCAAATGAAACGGCCCAAAATGACTTGGAGAAAATTCTGGTTCCATAGACTTACATTAAAAGTAAAGCAGGTTTTTTCCTTTTCCTGTAAAGTATCATTTTGGAGATACAAGGTTTTCTTCTGGCAACAGCGATATAATAATATTAGCCCAAAAGGGATGACAATTTACAAAGAGAATGAAGTTATATTTTTTAGAAATAGGTGCTCAGAAAAACAGTAATATTACAATAAATATGAACAATAGGCCCATATCTTTTTCTAGTACTTTATTTCCCTGAGGTGTACCTATGATGTTTGTATGGTTTTATGTACCAAAGAATGCCATAATAGATTTTTACATAACTTATTCCAACTTCTCTTTATTCCTAAACAGGCTGTATTTGTTTTTAGGATGTATATGTGAACAATCTCTGTCCTGATTGGCTGCCCATTATTGTGCCTCATTCAAAAAGCAGTCTGGACCAACACACTTGTTAATTTCATTGTGAATGGGCAGAGCAAAACTGCTTTAGGCTGAAAGGCACACATATGTAATTTAGTTGGTTTTCATGACATCACAAAAACAATTAATTCCAAATAGGCTTAGTTTTCATATCATCAGATCCTACCATGCGTCTAGAATGGAATCAGGCCTGCATGATCTTAACATCAGATAACATATGGAATGAGGAGTGAATGGTCAAAGGTATGGGCCCTTTAATATAATACGTATTGATTTTATGTGTGTCAGTGATTTTGTTAATCCATTTCCAAACCTCTCTCTAAGGAAGCTATAGCTTGTAATCATCCCATACCTGGTTTGACTTATCAATCCTTAATTAAAGTAAATCAGGTGTGCTGGGGATCGAATTTAACAAATTCATGAGACGAAATTCTTGTTTTTTTGCTGCATTAATGTTTGTTTGCATTGATTCTGTTGCTATATGGATTTTTTTACAGTAAAAAATACAACTATTGTCCAAATAAATGTAATATATGTTGTAAACAATCTGCAATTTTCTTAGGACTTTTGCACAGTACTGAATATACATTTAAGTGGTAAGCAAAAGTTTAGGCACCTCTGCTCAAAATGTTTTGCTGATTTTTCTAAGTGAAAATAAGGGAACACACTTCTGCACATTTTAATGCTCAACTACTGTTTATTTTCTGAATTTAACAAATTGGGGAAAATAAAACATAAAATGTGGAACATTTTATATTCTATTTTTTTTTCCAATATGTTAAACTAATAAGTAAATAAATAAATAAATAAATTTTTCAACTGATGGGGTGACCGTCCCCTACAGCCCTCTCAAATCGAACCCTATTTGACCCATTTACACACAAAAGCTAACTTTGGATCCCTGGGTAGTCGGTTTCACTGTTTCCCCAGCTGTGGCACCCCTGGAGTGCTATTCTTGCCTTTTTGGGATCTTTTTGTTTTAGAGTAAAATGCTAAAGTTCAAAAGTGAGAGATGTGAGTCTAGCTGCTAAACCAACAGAAAAGAATGACATTTAAAAGAAAGCAAGAAAGAAAGAAAGAAAGAAAGAAAGAAAGAAAGAAAAGATATATGAATTAAATGCTAAATGTGAATGAAATTAAACTGAGAAAGGTATTATTTTTCTCACAAATACTCTGAAAAAAGATGGTTCTTCAAGGGCATGTTAGTAAAGACAATGGTTCTATATAGAACAATGAACACTCAAAGAAGCATTTGCATGATAACATGGTTCTTTAATGACAAAATGGTTCTTCAGATTGATAAATGTGCTGTATATGGTTCTTTATAGCACGAAAAAGGGTTCTGCTGTTGTTACGTGTCAGCTTGTAACAACAGAAGAACCCTTTGTGGTGCTATATAGAACCATACAACACATTCTTCATCAGTCTAAAGAACAATTTCACCTTGGAAAGAACCATTTAAGCATGCAAATGCTTCTTTGAGTGTCCATTGTTCTATCTAGAACCACTGTCCTGCTGAAAAATCGTAAACCATTGAAGGATTCTCTTGGTTCCTGGTCCTGTCCTGTCCAGTAGCCACCAGTGGTATTTTCTTATGGGTTTATATCAAAGTGTAAAGGACTCTAATGGTTTACCAGATGTTGTGGGACTGATTCCAGATGTCTCTGATGGTTTCCTAATGGGATCTAAAGGTGTCCTACAGTGGTCTCTATAATGGTAACCATTAAACCAATTGCCATTAGAAAGCAAAGCCATCAGGTTTCAACCCTAAGGATATAATGGTCTTTTTTCAGCTTGGTGTCTTTTCTGAAGACCCCCTGGAGATCAAACCTTTATAAGAGTGCACTCGAATGCTAGCCAACATGTTAGCATTGGAAAATACTCAGAAAAACACAAAACCCTGAAACTTCTCCTGACCTCTGGAACTGGGTAAGTAGACCTAGTGCCCACCTCTGATTAAAAAAGCCGGTTTAGATTTAGACTCTGAAGGCACGTCTGCTCAAAACAGGCCGCAATGGCGGAGTTTCGGCTATATTTATACTTTATTCCAGTTTAGGCCGGTCACGTGGCGCCGAGGGGGGCTGAGTTCGCCTCAGCCTTTTCTTCTACACCAAGAGTTACGGTAAGGAATCCCATGATCCCCCGCTGCTCCGGCGATCACAATAAAGTAATAAAAAATTCAGGAGAAGAAGAGAAGAAAGGCGAGTCGGTGGCTCCTGTATGTGCTGCGGACAGAGGAGACCAGCAGGGCTGCGTTGAGGCGGTGTTTCCCGGTCAGTGCGCGGAGGGCGAGGCGTGTGTGGATAATATAATGGAAGCGATGGGCAGCGACTCGCATTTCCAGACGCAGTTATCGTCGATCATGGAAATGCTGGCGAAAACAGCGGTGGCGGAAATCGGCAAACTTGTCGAGGAGAGTCATGCGGTGCTGAGGCTGGAGATTACGCGGAGAATCAGCGAGAACGAGTCTCTGAAGAGCAGATGCGATTTTCTGGAGAAGGAGCTCAAAGCCACCCGGAGAAGACTGCAGGCGAGTGTGGATGCTCAGTTTGGCAGCGGATCCAAAGGTAGGCTGACTACCCACAACGAGGGGTCTTTGCTTAACTGTGTAAAAGTGAGGAAAACACATGCTTGTGATCTTAAACCACGAGTGCGTGTGTGTGTTGAGCAGACCTCCCTCATCGTCCCACAATTGACGGGGTTTTTGGGAAGGAGTGGTGCCTGGATCTGTGGAAAGACAAGGAGACCAGCGCAAGGCAGAAGGACGACAGCCATAAAGACCCCCCTGTGATAGAGGTCAGTGTCAGTGTTGATGAACTAGACTGGTGCTGCCCATCTTTTAGTGCTCCTGCTCCACACTTGCCTACTACTATTATTACTACTACTATTACTTGCATTAGCTAATGATTAAGTCTCTTCTGAGTTGAGTCAGGTGTGTTAGAGAAGGGAAACCTGACCGTAGGTCTGGGGTGGGCTTCATCAGTGGTCACCCAGCCCCCATCCTGGAGAACTAGCCACCTCCTGTGTTCCAGTTGAGTTATAGCACATCTGATTAAGATCACCAGTCCTCAGGTGTTGCGGATGACTTTGGAACTGCTGGAGGGAGGTAGATCTCCAGGAATAAGGTTGGCCAGAACTTTACTGGAACCACAGGCAAAGGGGAATTACACTGTTTCTGCATAATTAAAAGGTTAAGATCTAAACAAAATCAAATCAAAAATATTATTATTATTATTATTCTGGTTTGACAAAAACTTTTTTTTCCAGTCTACTTGAGGTGGAGGAGTAAATGTAAGACAAAGTAGTCCCCAAAGAAAGCTTATTTTAGAGATTTAGCACTTTTTTGCCATTACCAACATATCATCGCTGTCCAAAGAACAAGAAGTATCTCCAAAATGGTGACTTTACAGGAGAAGACAAAACCGTCTTAACTTTCAACGTAAGTTAATGTAAACAGTTTTATTCTAAGTGATTTTGGAGCATTTCTGTGTTTCTGTGTTCAAATTATGTACAAAAATAAAAATTGACAGAAATTAAGATGCATGTTTTTCTTTGGACAGCAACAATATAAAAACTCAGTATACAGGAACTGGTTCACTGGTTGTTTCTGATCGCGAATAAAAAAAGCAACATTTGCTGTTGGCTGTTGACCCCTGCGTCCTGTCATCACCACTGAAAAGATATCCAAGTCTCTCCACAATGCACCATTAACCATCGGAATGACTTTGTTTACATCATTAATCATTTATTAATCTTGAGGCTTATTAACCAGTAACTACCATAGTTCCTTCGAGTTTAAGGGAGTAAACTGCTCTGAACTGTGTGAATGAGTCCTTGTATTGTACATGACCCGGAAAAGTGGCCTGCTGATGGTTTTGTATTTTATTGATGTTTTTTAGTCTGTTGATCTAATCGATGATGGACCTGACATGATTATCATCAAGGATGAGACATTTGAAGATTGCTCAGGGAACAGCAAGGCACAGAGAGACTTAAAGAGTGATGAGAAAGGTATGTTGAATGAGAACAGTATGACCAGAAACAAACTTCACGACACAATTCATGACAGAACACAAGCTGCATTCTGAGCATTACAGGGTCAAAACATACCGCCTCACCTGACCCTCCTAGTTCATGTCATGGATTGTCTTGGGAAAAAAAAAAAACATGTAAAAACTTTTATTAAATAATAGGACCTTGCAAAATTCTATAGCTTAACTTGAAGTATTTTTTAGTCGTGTATTTTTTAAGTTTGCCTTTGCGATTCTTTGTATGTGCCTCACCAACTGCTTAATATTCACTAGATTGGGTTGTACTTTGTACTGTACAGCTAAGCAACCCAAATGATAATTTACAACATGGATTCATGTAAATAGTTGTTGCTGAATATTTCACAGTAATCAAATAAAAAAAAAAAAAATATTTTTTACCCGAGTGATCTTTAATTTAAAAAAAATATATATTTATCTCCACTAGTTTTCAACCAGTTTTGCAACCAGATTTTGATTCTGTGTAGTATTAATATAGTTGTGTCACATCTAGAAATTATTTGGTCCTGCATAAAAACATTGGGCCTCATTCACCAACCGTTCTTAAGAAGAAATGTCTTTTTAAAACCCACTTACACAGTTCTCACGAAGATTCCCCAATGTTTTCTTATTTGGGATTTGTTCTTAGGTAAGAACAGAATCTACACACACTCAAGAGCACAAAGGTGCGAACAGTTCATATGAACAGTTCTTTATCAAAAACATGTTTAAAAAAGAAAAAGATATTAGTGAACGAGGCCAGTTGAGTGCCACAGATCTTGCTAAATGTAGCTTCAGAGATGAAAACCCTCTTTTTAAGACATTTCGACTGTGTATTTTTCCCAAGAGGGATTATTTGAATTTGCTTTGAACTTTTTATGAGTAAGGTATATTAATATCAGAATAAGACCACAAATACGTTGTAGTACACATGTGGCTTGACATTTAAACTCGGAAGTCAATCTAAACTGCTATTTTTTGTTCACCAGTTAACACTATGAGCCTAGTTTTTAATTTAATTTCACCTCAGGCTAAAAAAAAAAAACAACTTTATGAAGAGTTAGTTGCTGAGGCCAAACAAGATAAATTCACTAAATTATGTTCAAAAATCTTGTCCATTAAAACAATATGAGAACAGTAAGTTAGAATGTAAAACATTTCCTGAACTTGAACTTGATCAGCGCTGTTCTCTTGTGTGGAAGAGTTATTCAGTAAAACCATTAAAACTGAAACAACCCAGGTCTACTACAAGCTATAGTCTATAGTTAGATCATTTTAAAATAGACGAACTGTCCCAGTAGGACAATAAAGGAGAGTAGCTTACCTTCCTCCCTTTTATCTTCCTTTCCTAGCAAGTCTTTAATGTCCTTAAAATTCTCATTTCTTAAAATATCACCCTCAGCCACACAAAGTACTTATAATGTCTCTGATCTACGTCAGTCGCCAAGGAAGACAACAGTCAGTCAAATGCCCACATCTTATTTTGGCTAGAGAAGCAAACTGGTGGCCTAGCAGATATTGCTGCCTCAGATGCTAAAAAATCACATTATTTTGGGAGTCTTTTTCCTCAAAGTCTGTACATGTACAAAGTCTTTTAAACGTTTTATTTTTCTGCTCCACTCTGAATCATTTTTCTAAGTACCTAGCTTCAGTTTAATTCAGGTCACATTCACTCTGAGACAGCTGCCCAGCAGTCACAGATATAAATGACATGTACATTTATTAGGGTATGTATTTTATTTCCTTAAGAGGTGATTTCAGATGAATAGCTAAAAGACAGATTTATTTCAGGTTTGATTTACCAGGTTTTTAGTAGTAATTGGTAGCTTTGCCTTTTTATAGCTTAGTTTAAATTAAATGCTTGGGGTAGCTTTCCAAAGCTTCTCACCATATTTGCCAGAATTTTTGCTTGTTCATCCTGGCTGAACAGTCCACAAATTTTCTGTGAGATTCAGGTCAGGCCTTTCTGATGGCTACTCCAGTACTTCCACTTTATTGTCTTTAAGTCATTTTGTCTCAACCTTTGTGGAATGATTACATTCATTGTCCTGCTGGTAAAACCAGCTGTGGCCAAGTTTGAACTTTCTGTTGCTGCCATATTTCTAGATAATTCTTGTTCATCGTAGTGCCACATGTTATCTGAAGTGCACCAGTCCTTTTTCAACCAAAACACCCCCCCCAGCATGATACTGCCACCCCATGCTTCACAGTTGGCATGGTGTTCTTTGGATTGAAAGCCTTAGCCTTATTGCTTTATGCATAGCGCTGATCATTATGGTCAAACAGTTCAATTTTTTTTTCATCTGAGAACATTGCACTGGCTCTAAAGGTAAATACAGCCACAGGTGCACCCCCGATTAACTCCTAATTATGACAGTATGACAGTTGGCCAATCAGAAGCTTCTAAACGTCATTACATACATTTCTGGTGTTTTCCACACTGTTTAAAGAGACAGTCTTGGTGTATGTAGAGTTTGGACCCACTGAAAGTATGCAAAAATGAAATAAAGCATAATAAATCTGTGTCCGATTGTAATATGCCTCTCGTTTGTTTAGTTTTAGGGCCCGCATTCTCTGGCACTGAACAGGACGGGGGCCAGAGTAGTGAAAATTTTATTCCCTACAACGATCCTTTGAACAACACAGAACAGAGACAAGAAGGAGACCAGACTTTTGACCCGAGGTCATCTACTCTTCTAGACAGTGCAGCTTCATCAAACATGAACTTGGACGAATTTGGTGGTTACTATCCCAGCAATGTGAATTTGGGAATTCCAAAGACTGGTTCGGAGCAGAAGAAAATCGAATGCGTGTTCTGCGGGAAAAACTTCAATTACTTGAGCTATTTGAAAGTACACTTACGGACACACTCTGGAGAGAAGCCTTTTGTGTGTTCGGTGTGTGGCAGGAGGTTTGCTCAGAAAACCTACCTCAAAATCCACATGCGCACTCACTCCGGAGAGAGACCCTACTCATGCATGGAATGTGGGAAGAGCTTCTCACAGAAAAGTTCCCTTAATATACACCTGCGCAGCCACACCGGAGAGAAACCCTATAGCTGTGTGGACTGTGGAAGACGTTATGCTTATAAACATGGGTTTAACACGCATCACTGCACTAGCTAGGCTCATGTCAGTAGTAAATACTGAACTAGTGTTAATGTTCAACACAGACACTGTGCATTGTGCAGACTGGCACGTACATATACGGTCATATGGAAGAATAGTCAAAAAGTCTTGTGCATGTTATTGAAATGAATTAGCATAGAAGATGGCACTTTTGTATTGTGATGTTTTTGAGAGAGTACAACCGAGCATTTAGCTTCTGTTGGTTGATGATAGAGTAAACAGTATTATTTATGATGACGTGAACTTGTGCAAAAGTCAGAGATCATTTATTTAATTTTCAGTTAAAACAGCCATGAAGGACAAGTTGTTCATTTTTCAGAATATACTTCTGAAATGATTAAATATAAGCTAATTAATTTGCATAAAGAAGGCGAAGGTCAAAGTAAAAGAAGTGGAAAAACAGGAGTTTCCCGAACAGTAGCTCCAAAAATTCTTAAAAGTACAGAGAAAATGGGACTGGTAGACCACCAAAACTGCCCCCATCAGATAAACAGCACTTGAAGCCTTCATCTTTGAGAGTGAGGAGAATATCAAGCTCCACTCTTACTTCAGATCTAAAAAATCCACAGGTGTTTCTGACCATCCTTTCTCTGGTAGAGGACAACTCAGCACTATGAGTCTGAAAGCATGTGTAGCTGTTATAAAGCTGTTGAAAAGGAAGTAGAAACGAAAAAAAGAGATCAATCAAAGAAGGAACTTGTATTCTCAGAACAATAGACTGACCACCCCAGAGTCCAGACCACAACATCATTTAATGTGTTTGGGATTATTTGGTTTGTAAGAAACAGAAAATGCAACCAACTTCTAAGACTGAACTTTAAAGGTGTGGAAAAATATCCCTGCAGATTTCTTTGAAAAACTAAAAGCAGTTTATCCCAAAACAATAGAAGCTGTAACAAAGGCACAGGGTGGACACACTAATATACTGAAAAATGTATATTATATTTAGTTTTTGAGGCTTCTGTGTATTTAAAGGCCATTTTGACAGGAAAATGAATAATATAAATGAAAGGGTGGTCTCTGACTTTCCCACAGTCCTGTATTTTATATTGCCAAGAAGACCACTGGCCAAAAGTTATGTGCTGTGAACCCAGTTTTCTGAGTGGCATTTTGTTTTGAATGAGAAAACACAGTTTGTTCTGTTTCCTACTTGAGAAGCAAGTATGAGCTAATAGCGAGTTATTTACTGGAGTGTGCGTCCACGTTCTTATCCTTTTGTATTTTAAATAATCTATTTAATGTTAATTTACTGATTTTAGTAGATTTCTAGTGATTTTACCTGACTTATTAATAAACCATTGTTTAATGATTCTAGTGAATGTGCTATTTTCTGATCGTTTTTGCTGCTGTGGCAATTATATCACGCGTTTACATGCACTCGATTATCCGATCATAATCAGATTTCTGAAGTTATCTGATTATTCAACTGGTCATGTAAACAGCATGCTCCGATTTCTTAGATTGGAGTAAGGTGTAGAAATCCAATTAAGAAATCTGATAAAGAGAGCTGGATTTTAGCTCAGGTATCAGATTTCCCAGTGCATGTAAACTCTTACTCTGATTTCTTTCGGATTTCTCCGTCTGTGCATGTGCGAAACAAGATGGCAGCAAACAACATGCTTGACGAGATGAAGGATTTAAAAATTCATATCTTCTAGATGATGTATGTTCATATTTTCAGGTAAAGTGGTGCGATGTTTTTTAAAAAAAGCCACGGCATGAAGTTTGAGTTTTACATTACGTTTACGTCACAACGTCTTCTGCGAGTTTATTGGCCGGTTGCAAAGCAGAAACCTGATTACTGCCCGACTCACGTAGACCTGGAGTTTTCCCATTATCTGATTACTCAAGTGCATGTAAACACGTTGATCGGATTACTGACAAAATGTGATTTTCTGCAGTCATCGGATTGTTAAGTGCATGGAAACACACTGATTGTTATCTTAGTTCTTCAGTATAAGTCTACAAGTGTGTATTTATCATTACTATGACTACTTTAAGGGGCCTATAGCATAATGTAGTATGTGGTGTGGAAACCATTCACAGCCCTGTCCATACAGGCCATGTATGGAAACTAAGCTGCAAAACAGCCTGTTTTGAATTCATTAATTTAGTGATGTCATAAAAAGTATCACATTATGTATACAAGTCTATTTAGCCAACAGCAGTTTAGCTCTGCCCACTCACAATAATGTTATAAGGAAGTGTTTGAGCACTACTTTTTGAACGAGGCTCAATACAGTGGTAGCCAATCACAACAGACATCATTTACATATATCAATCTTAACAGAATGTTTAATTCTAAGGGATGACAAACAGTTGGAAACTGGTCATATACTGATGAATTGCAGCTGTACAAGCTATACAAACAGATGTTTGTATAATAACTGGATGTTAGGAGTCTAGATATGGGCCCTTTAACCTTCTTCCTAGACGACTTGCCCACCAACTCTCATATCTGCAACTCTGTACAAGTCCAGCCTGTCTCCACTGGCCTCAAGACAAACTTGTTTCTGAACACAGGGCGAGGTTTACTGGGTCTACTTTATATATGGCTGAGTATATATTTATGTATGTATAAATATGGCATACGCCAACATGTACAAATATAGCTGAAGCATATGCCTCATAGGGTGTACAGAGGATGACGCATGACCCATGATTAACTAGACTCAAATAGGGCTACCATACATATGCCATATACACTCACTGGCCACTTTATTACCTACCTTGTTTATTTGGGACCCACATAGGACCACCACTGAGCAGGTATTATCTGGATGGTGGATCATCCTCAGCACTGTAGTGACACTGACATGACAGTGGTATGTTTAGTGGGTGCTGTTTTGGTGCACATGGATGAGACACAGCAGTGTTACTGGAGTTTTTAAATACTGTCCACTCACTGTCCACTCTATTAGACACTCCTACTTTGTTGATCCTCCTTGCTTACGTAAAGTAGCTCATCTGTTGCTGTTTAGTTTGTGTTGGTCATCCTCTAGTCCTTCATGAGTGGTTACAGGATGCTGTTGGCTGGATATTTTTAGTTGGACTATTCTCAGTCTAGCAGTAACACTGAAGTATTTAAAAACTCCAGCAGCACTGCTGTGTCTAATCCACTCATACCAGCGCAACACACACTAACACACCACCACCATGTCAGTGTCACTGTAGCGCTGAGAGCGATCCACCACCCAAATAATACCTGCTCTGTGGTGGTCCTGATCATTAAAGAACAAAGCAAAATGGGGCTAACAAATGAAGCAGAGGAAGAGATGAACCATAGTATGTAATTGTAGAACTACAAAACTCTTAAGTAGTTACTATATTACAAATATGTGCTGCTATTGGTCCTACAAGTCTCATTCAGTGAAAGTAAATGTAGGTCACTAACAAAGTTCTACCATGTTCAATTAGTAAATGCTGTGGCAATAAAGTAGTTAATTAATATACCAGTTATTCCCATAGGAAGGCTTTGTTTACATTAATTATCAAGTAGTACCTCCATTACTGCCAATACCAAAACCCAGCCATCAGACTTCTCATCTAACATGAATAAGCTATAAAGCAGAATAAACAAATCAGACTTCATTTGCACAAGAACACGGCTAATTTTGTATTTGAGAATACATGGACTGTGAAAAGCAAAACATGAAACCAACTTTTAAGACTGAACTTTGGAGTGTGAAAAAATATCCCTGCAGATTTCTTTGAAAAACTCAACAGTAATGGCTTAGAAAAAAAAGTAATTGACTACAAATAAAAAGGGTCTGACTTTTGTAGAGTACTGTACATCCAAATACAGACATATGACACAACACAATGTCATACATTCCAATGCATTTTAACTAATGATGCATCCTAAATTCAGAGGTAAATACAAAAAAAACTGTTTATTTGTCATGTAAATTATTTTATGCATACTGAATCCTACTATATTCCTCCAGAGTACACCGTATAAAAGCTACTGATGCAAATAATCTAGTTTGTCAGATAACCTTTTGAAGGTAACTCAGAACTGTCAACATACAAGCAACTAGAAACAGAATGTCAATTTCAAAGCTACAGTTCCACATATTATATCATGTACTCAATGCTAGGTTCTCACATTCCGTTACTTTTTATATTGCACAATGATGATACAACCGACCGACATAAGCTGAAATGAAATAATGTTCATGCGCACTGTGATTTTTCTGCAGACTTCCTTGTTTTGCTCTGTCTTATTCCACTATGAATGCCCAAGTGGTGATTTAGGTTCACTTTCTGCGTGAATCGTTTTCCACAGGTTAAACATACGAAAGGCTTCTCTCCTCTGTGGATGCGTTCGTGGGTGTTCAAGTTCCCTTTCTGGGTGAACCCTCTGCCGCAGTAACTGCATCTGTGCGGCCTCTCGCCCGTGTGCACCGCGTAATGAACCCTGAGGTTGGCCCTGGAATGGAAGCGCTTTCCACACTGCTCACAACCAAACTTTTGGTTGAGTGTTTTTGAACGGTTGTCGGGGGGCAGACACTTGTGGGTTCTGAGCAAGTTCATTTGAGGGAATACCACCTTGCAAGAATTGCACGTGTGCGAATTATGCCTCTGGTGACACTTCTTGTGTAAAGTAAGACTACTTTGCCGCAAAAACGTCTTGCCGCACTCCAAACAGCTGAATTTCGGAGTCTTTGCTATCTCCATCTCTGGCTCCGGTTCTTCCTGCAGGTCAAATCTGTCAAAGTAATTTAAGTTTTCAGCGCTACCTAAGCTGGACGTGTTTTCTGCATCCAGGAATAGGTCCTCCTGCTGTTCCCCAAATGACTGCGCCTCTGGATGCTCGCCCTCAATAAATTCAATGGGCATGCAATGCTCATCGAATTCCAGCTGCTCCTCACTTGGCAATATCAAATGCTTAACGGTGCCATCTGAGGATATAATCTTTGTAAAGTCTGCTCTTTCAAAACTGGATGGCATGGGGTGGACATCAGGAGCCCCCAGAAATCCTGCAGATATGAAATATATGTCCTCGCTGTCTTGGTTGTCATCATCATAATCGTCAATGAGATTCACTTCTAGAACATCATTATGCTCTGATGGAGAAGACGGGTTATTTCTCCTGGCGGGCATCGCAGCTGCTGCTGTATTGGAGTAAAGCAGAATGTTAAATCTAACACTACATCCACTCCTTCTACTGTTTTTCACACAGGACTAAGCAATGAAAGCCTTGATTGCATTAGAGGGTCTATATCCTGAAAAAAAACACAATTTCCTTGGCATTTTTGTTTAAATAAAAGACTTTGATATAATACAAACAGTCCTCAAGTTTCAAAATGTGCTCAGTCCATATGGTCCAAATATTGAAATTAAAAAAGCAAAAACAGCTACAAAAAACAGAAATTAATTTGTTTTGTGATGCCACAAAACCCAACTCATTTACACAGTCTTTTACAGTCATATGCAAAGTTTGGGCACCCCTGCACTGTAAAAAATGGTTCAATGTTTAACAGAACTTCAGAACTTACAACTAGAAGTTCAATGAACTTAGAATTAAGGCAACCAGGCTACTTAATTTTTTTTTTAGGGAAAATATTGACAACATGTTAATCTCAGCAAATAAACACAAAATAATGTACTCTGCAGGATAAAATGCCATATTTTGGTTTGTTCCCTGTAGTGGATGAGTTCACTTATTTTCACTTAGAAAATCAACAAAACTTTTTGATCAGCGATCTTCAAACTTACGAATGTATACATCCCTATTCATTCTATAGCAGATTAGCCCCACCATTCATGTTGAAGCTATAAAAGAGTGTTCCATCTCAGAGTATGCTTGGCCTAAATAATCTGAATTGTTTTTCGTTATATTAGTATTTATTCAAACAATGAGAAACAGCCAAATATACATGAATTTGTTTGGCTATAGTTTAGACTGCTGAATGACATTCATGTGAAGAAGCTAAGCGCAAACTCAGTCACTCATTTAGCCACCATGGTTCTAACAGGCAGAGACAAACAGAGACAGCAGTGTAGCTAAATGGTTTAGCTGATTCCTGTATGTTATGAACAGCTTTAAATACGAATTATGTGTAAAACATTGAAATAATTTGCCAACCATGAATGAAATGTATGTTGGTCTATCAAAGCTATTTCACTCGTAATGGAACTGAAACTGGAGCACTAAGCTAGCAGTGGAATATGAGCTTGGCTATCTATTCAGTAAAACAGCTGAACTGCCTTTGAATACACATCTATAAACCAAGATTCTGTATCATCGCTGCTATGCAGGTAAGCAAAAGTCCTGTCAGATTTATGTGCCTACTAATCAGACAGGTTTCAGTACATCTGTCTCTCAGCATCTTTAAGATGTCTGTTGTTAAATGGGATGTATAAATGTGGATCTAAAAAAATGTAAAATTATGGTTAATTATGAAACGTAAACATAATTTTAAGGAAGTTTGGAAAATGAGTATTAAAAGCCTGTAAAATGCTTTTCTAGCCCAGACTGCTTTTTGAATAAAGCAAGCCAATTAGAACACAGGTCGTAAAGCATGTATCAGTCTTAAAGGTGCAGCAACAAAAACGGCCTGTATAATTCTGAGGGACATAGAGAGGTTTGAACGGTGATGTCAAAATAAATTAGGATTATTTTTCATGTATAAACCCTACACAAAACTACTCAAAAGTAGACCTTTAAAATGAAATACAGGAAAAAATGTCATATGTAGACCCTTTAAAATAATAATAAACATGACATACTTACTTGTATTGCTTGAACAAATTTCCTTCTCTGAATTTTCCTCTTTGATGGCCAGTGTTCTACTGTGATCATGCAGTTCAGACTACATTTAAAAACAAATCGGAAAATAACTGCTCTCAGAAAGGACGATTTTGTTTCAGAAATGACTTGCAATTTTGAGCAAATACGGTTCAGGTAATGGCAAGAAAATCTTACCTCATCAGGCACAGCAGGTTCCACTTCTGTTGCCTTCTCCTCTGCTCTTGGCTCTCTCCCATCCCACAGACTGGAGCACCACTCTTTTCCAAATATCCCGTTGATGGAGGGCGCGTCCAGCTCTTAAAGCAGACCAGTATTACACATTAAAACCACCTAGTTGTATCTACACTTATTGTTCATTTTATCAGCCTCTCTTTTCATGTAAGTGCACATTAGAGTTTTACAATTACAGACTGTAGTGCATCTGTTTCTCTGCATACTTTGTCAGCCCCCTTTTACCCTGTGCTTCAATGGTCAGGACCCCCACAGGACCACCACAGAGCAGGTAGATTATTATAGGACAGATTATTTGGAAAGTGGGTCATTTCAGCATTGCAGTAACACTGACGTGGTGGTGGTGTGTTAGTGTGTGTTGTGCTGGTCTGAGTGGATCAGACACAGCAGAGCTGCTGGAGTTTTTTTAACACCTCAGTGTCGCTGCTGGACTGAGAAACAAAAATATGCAGCCAACAGCGTCCTGTGGGCAGCGTCCTGTGACCACTGATGAAGGACTAGAGGAAGACCAACACAAACTGTGTAGCAGCAGATGACCTATCATCTCTGACTTTACATCTACAAGTTGGACCAATAAGGTAGGAGTGTCTAATGGAGTGGACAGTGAGTGGACACAGTGTTTAAAAACTCCAGCAGCACTGCTGTGTCTGATCCACTCATACCAGCGCAACACACACTAACACACCACCACCACGTTAGTGTCACTGCAGTGCTGAGAATGATCCACCACCCAAATAATATCTGCTCTGTGGTGGTCTTGACCACTGAAGACCAGGGTGAAAGGGGGCTAACAAAGTATGCAGAGAGACAGATGGACTACAGTCTGCAATGTTGAAGTGGAGCTGATAAAATGGACAAAGAGTGTAGAAACAAGGAGGCGGTTTTAATGTTATTCCTATTCAGTGCACTGCACGCAGACATGACATGGAGAAGAAGACTCGTACCTTCCAGCGTCTGGATGCAAACTGAGCGGTACTTCTTGCCCGGGCTCCGCGCGCCTGTGTTGACACTGCGCAGGATTTCCACCTCGCTCTCCAGCTCGTGCATTTTCACGCTGAGAGCCGCCTTCTCGTTGAGGGCTCGCGCCAGCTCCAGGCGTAAACACGCCAAATCGCCGTCTACCATCTCGCAGACCTCCCGCACGACCGCCCTGGTCATCACCTCCATCACCGAGCTGAGGCGCGTCTGGAAGGAAAACGGCTTGCTGGCCATCCCTGAAGAGCCGCGCCTGCTGCCTGCGTGCACCGGGCCTTGGGATCCGAACGAGACGGGCGCGCCTTAGCGCAGACCGCTCCGCATAGCCGAGCTGGAAAGGCCGCCGGAGCTCGAACGAGGAGGATGAGACGCTGGATCAGTCAGCCCGGCTGCCGCTGCTGTTTGTTTATTTCCGGGTCGACTGAGCATGCAGACTGAAATGCTAAGCTCCTCCTAAGGCCCTTTGTTGGAGGAGTGGGCGATACCACTAATTACCATGTAATAACAAGGCTGATGTCTCAATACCAGCAGCGCTTCTTCTTTACGAGATTTTTTGTGATTTCTATATAAAATCCAATAAAAGTGTGGACATCAGAAAGCCAATGCATTAGTATTAAAAGTCATTAACATATTAACAGTTAAAGCCCCGTTTCCCAAAAGCAGCCTAGTGTTAAAGGGGAACTCCACCGATTTTTTCAAATTAATTTAATTAAATGCTTGATGCGTCAACAAAATCCTTCAAAGTGGCTTGGCGTCAATCTTTCGTTCTTGAGAAACGTGTCCGAGTCAGAATTGTTCACTGTGGTGGTGATGCGAATCAGACATCCACCTCTAAAAGCTCTCTCCCAGAAAGACATGAAATTTAAAGATTTGGTCTAAAATATATTTTGGTCAATTTATTTTAATCAGTTTATGGTGAAAAGACACAAGAAGGGTGTTGTAAGGCAAAATAGTCCCCAAAGCAAGCTTATTTTTCAGATTAACCATTATTTTACCATCACCAATATTACAAATATAGTTCACTGGTGGTTTTGGATGGTATATAAAATGGCTTTATTTGTATTGTAGACATCATGAGCCCTGGTTCCTATCACTACCACTGTAAAGAAGCCAGTAAGTTTCTCTGAAAATGAACCTTTACATAAAACCTGTCTGATACATTGATAAATAGTTTTACCTCAAGGGGCAGATATTACAAAAAAAGCCTCTTGACTTGTCTTGACTTGACTTACAAGATAAGCAGATGGACAAAATGCAGGCAAATCCATTGACCAGTCATCAACAAACAAAAATAACACACCATTCTGCAGGTGGGTGGGGATAATGAGGGGGCATGTAGTGTTCCAAGGAGATCCGGTTGTTCTTTGATTTCCAGCTACAGCATCATAACATCTACTGATTTGGTTTGTCTTAATTTCCCAAAAAACAAGCAAAAAAAACCTGCTCCTCAATACGATTCGGGCACGATTCGGCTGCCAACGTTTACCTAAAAGAGCCAGTTTGTTTGCGAACAACACATCACTAGTACATGGTAGAGACAGAAAGTATTTTTTTGCTCACAGGTTTTTTCATTGTACACATTTTCAGCATCACACAACATTCAGTTTTATAAATAGATACAGTCTGATGCAACAATTTTGGCGAGCCTGGTCAAATAACATGTTTTGTTGATTTTCTAAGTGGCAATAAGTTAACACATCCTTCATAGACAACACACCTCTGTACAACTGAATGTACAATTACTGTCTATTTGCTGAATTTAACATATTGGAAAAAATAAAATGTGAAATAGTAGCCAAAAAGTTAAGGCACATTTTATATTTTGTTTTTTTAACAATATATTAAACTCAAATGTATAAAAAAAAATTGAGCAAGACATATAACACTGAACTATAGACTTGCAGGAACAAATTGCCATTTATTAACAAATTCATTGCATTGTCTATCCCAGAAATACCATCAGTCAAGGATGACTACAGGTCTCGTTCCTGATTGACTGCAGAGCTCAAGTCATGTGCCGGACCTCAGTCTTGTGAAGTGAGCATTCCTGTAATTGTATCTGCAGAGGCATAACATGTATGTGAGCACAGAGAACATACAGTTCTGTACATGCTCTACCAGACCACAAGCCAGAAGACAGTGGAGCAGGAAGGCGATGGAGGCCGAACCCTCTCTTCCAGAAGACGAGCCTGCTTGCTCAGTGTGTGGAGAGATATTTAATGTCCCAGAGGTTCTCTACTGCATCCTGTGTGGCTGCAGCTTCTGCAAGTTCTGTCTGGCCCATTTCTGGGAGACCCAGGGCTCCGAGGAGTGTCCCCTCTGTCGAGAAAAGAGCCCTGCACCTTTTCAGGGAACATGCAAGGAGCATGGATTAAAACTGACTCTCTTCTGCATTGGACATGCAAGTCCCATTTGTACAATGTGTCACAAGTCAGGAAGTCACAGGAATTACAGGGTGTACCCCCTAAAAGAGGCACTGGAGGACTGCAAGGTAGGAACAATCACCATCACTGCATTGTGCACTTGTACTATTATTACACAATGAAGTCTATAGTATAAAGTTTTTGTTACCTTGAAAGACTGCACATATGTCAAGAAAATTTACTCGCCATTGGACTCCATAGAAAAAAATAGACAGGCAAAAGTGGATCATAATGGGAATATCACATCTAATGACTGTTGTGCAAATATTATATTGCACACCCATTAGAAACCATACACTGTTAGAAATAAAGGTTCTGTGTAGTTACATTTTTTGTTTAAAAAAAAAGTTACAAACAATGTAAATATTCCCTCAAAGGTACAACAGTGGTTTTAAGGTCCGATTGTGTACCTTAAAAAAGTTTTTCCAAGTGAAAAGTACATATTTTATCTCTTCATAATCTAATGTTTTAAGACAGAACGATAAAATAAAAAGGCCTGGAGACGAGACGGGGTGTGTGGAGTCCACACGTCTTAGAAAATATAATTCAATGGATTATGCTACAATTATGTTCCCTAACTAAAGGTACTGAGATGTACCCTTGAGGGTTCCACCCCAGTGACAAGAGGGGTACTGCCCCAGTGACAGTTTCATACCTTTTTTCTGAGAGTGTAGGCTAACACATACTCGTCTACATGTCACCAGCAATGCTGACAGGGTCAAATGTTGAGCCTGAAAGAGCCAGTGTAACTTTATCTCCCACTACCAGCTTCACCAAAGAGTGCTGGCAAGATAAAGCTGACACCACAACTTCCAGGGTGGTAGGGGGTATACACTGATGTGTGTGGGTGAGGCAGATATATTTTAAGTATTTCTCTGGCCAGCAGCCCCAACCCGACACTGAGCGCTGCAACGGTAAATAGGGACAAGTTAGTGTGAATACATTATCAACAGGCATGGTTAGGTATACTGCAGCGGCAGCCAATCAGACAATTCCTCTCATTCCCTTAAAGGGTATTATTATTATCTTTAATATTATTATTATTGTTAGTAGTAGTAGCAGTATTTAAACAAACAAATAATAACTATATATATATGTATGCATATATATATATGTATGCATATATATATATATATATATATATATATATATTAAATGCTCTCTCTCTCTCTCTCTCTCTCTATATATATATATATATATATATACATACATAATAAGCATATATATATATATATATATATATATATATATACACACATATCTATCTATCTATATATATTATAATTATTAGTAGCATATTATTGTTATTATTTTATTTCCATTTAGGACTTATAAGACCTATAAACAAAAAACTCAAACTGAAACTAATTTAAGCAAATCCAGTTGAAAAACCATTTATAAATATTTATATATAAATGGTGTGCCAAGTACTGTAGTTTGTGAGGTAAACTGTCCCTTTTTCTAAAGATTCTATTAACAGCACAGTGTGTTAATGCACAACTTTGAAAAAAATGGGACACTGTGCAGAATGTAAATAAAAATAGAATGCAATGATATGCAAATCATGTAAACCATATTTTTAAAAGGAAAATACTACAAAGACATTTCAAATGTTGAAACTGAGAAATTTTATTGTTTTGTATTGTGCAGTCTTTCACAGAGTGGTTAGCCCCTACTCATCTTTATTTCTGAAAGACTCAGTCATATGTGTGCAGGCCTGGGATCAGGCTTTCATGTATTGTGAAAATTTCTTTACACATCATGATATGACATTTTTGCCATGTAGTTCACCAAAATACCCTTGCACTGGCGGATTTGAAATGTCACACCCCCACAGCACCACTCCTCCCACATTGTTGCAATCGCTAACATTTCTAACCGCCAAAATAGCAAATGGGTGCGAATGGGCTTGTGTCCAACCTACTTAGTGATATGCTGGTGTTATACCATTGCACTGGCACAAAAATAGAGCCCATGCTGTGCAGGACCTGACAGTTAACTGCAACTTATGTCATTTGCTGGTTGCTATCCTGGCATAATTCTAAGAGAAGAAAAGAGAACAAATAGCTATATCAGGTTTGTAGCAGCACTCAGAAAGTATGGGGTCACTTTATTAATGGTAATGTAAATATCATCTGATACTGTGACATTTTGAGAACACCATGATATTGAATTTTATTAACATTACACCGCAATATCATATAAGTAAACTTTAAAAAGCATATCCAAAAGCACAGCTCCCCTGTCAGTGTTCAGTCAGTGACCTTGCAAAATGTTATTTATAGCATGGTTCTCAATCTTGATCCAGGGGTGCCAATGAACTACATAGTCCTGGCAAAATGCGGCTGACGCAACATCTCTAAGCGGGTATTCAGTGTCGTGTTCCAGTGATTAAAAGTTTACTTAAGTTAGTTGACTGGTATGTCTTGCACTGATCTCTCAAATTAACAATCTGCCTCTGACCACACAACAGTCCAATTACATAGTAGTTTTTTTTAATAATTAAATGTAAATGCATATACAATTTAGTGTTTTCTCTACTTTTAACGCATCTGACGCATTAAGGGCTTGAGAATAATTACTCAATGGGTCATTACAGAAAATGCTAAAAAGTTCAGTGCATGTGGAAAACCAGTCCTGTACCAGGAAGGCTTGAGCCAAAGGATTCAGTGTATGTAAAACCTCAGTTTCAAAAAAGTTGGGCAGTTTACATGTATGTATGCTTAATGAATGAATGAATGAGCAAATAAATAAATAAATAGTAAGTAAGTAAGTAAGTAAGTAGGTAAATAAAACGGAATCTACACATACTCAAGAGCACAAAGCTGCAAACAATTCAGTGTTTTTTTTCTTAGGACCTTCCTCAAGAACAAATTTAAGAAAAAAACTTTGAAAGATATTGGTGAATAAGGCCCAACATTTTTTATAACTATATACACTCATTCTGAAATCAATGCCTGCAACATGTTCCAAAAACACTGGGACAGGGGTGATTTAAAACTAGGAATGTTTTTGAACGCTCAAAAAATATCTTAAACAGGTAATATAATAATGCTTTGGTATAAAGGAGGAACCTAGACCTTTATGAGCAAGGAGGACTGGTCGAGGCTCACGATACAAAAAATGCTTCATTCAACTCTTTCACTTCCTCAATAAGCAATTGCAAGGATTTCAAATATTTCACTCTCTATGGTGCATGAAATCATCAACGTATTCAGGGCTTCCCTCATATAACACTGCATTAAAAACCAACATGCCACTGTGATGGATATCATCACATGGACTCCAGAATATGTCCATAATCTATTATCAATAAACACAGTTTGTCACCAAAGACAGATAAGACAGTATCATTGCCAGCAGAAGTCAGCAGCGTCTAGAAACGCCACCAACTTCTCTGGGTTTGAGCTCATCTGAAATGCACTGATGCACAGTAGAATTGTGTATTGTGACCAACGAGTCAACCTTTCAGTTTATAGAAATTAGGAACATTGTGTTCTTTGATCAAAGAAGAAAAAAAAATCATCATTGATTAAAAAATACTTTCTTTGTACATAGGCCTTAAAATGGTCAATGTTACAAATTTGTTTACATTTGAACAGTGACCCAAAAATAGTGCAGAATCTTCAATATTTCTTCTTTATTTTACTTCTCATAATTATTCTTTGTTTTCAAAGTGGTCTCAGATTTGGACCCCACTGTATATAGATAGAAAGTTCTAGGTCTCTAGTTTTACAAACACTGTATGCATGGAATATCTTACAGCCAGGCTCAACAAAGCAAAGCACTCAACTATTGGTAACTGGAGCAGTTTATGCCTCAGTTAAAGAACTTCGAATTTTAACTGTACTATGCAATAATTATATTTTTGTTGGTTCCTTTCTATGTCTTTGACCTGTGTGTGCACCTAACACTGTATGTTACTGCCCGCCTCCTACTGCCCCCTCACCATTCTGATGTTCACATCACCTGTACTTGTATTGTTCTTCTCTGAACACATCCTGTGCTAACCCATTTGGGTGCACTCATCTATACAGCCATCGATGATGAGCCAAATAAGAAATGACAAGCTGGACTCCTAGAGCTCCCACGTGCATACAGTATTAAGAGGTAGACCCTTGAGAGGGAGGGTGGAGCACAGTAACCCTATAGGGTCCTCACTGTGCAGCTGAAAGTCACAGGAGCAATGGCGACCAGGCACTCTGAAGACGACCTCTCTTGCCCAATCTGTGGAATGATTTTTCAGCAGCCTGTGGTGCTTTTCTGCAGGCACAGGTTCTGCAAACCTTGTCTTGAAAGTAGCTGGAGTAGTGGAGGAACTTGTGAGTGCCCGTTGTGCCTTCAGCCTTCCTCCACTGGTGAGCTCATGGTCAGCGCAACCCTTGAGAAGACCTGTGAAGGTTTTCTGATGGATCGCCGCAAGAACAACCCTTTTGCTTGTAAGGAGCATGGTGAAACACTGACCCTTTTCTGTCTGGAGGAACTACAGCCCACTTGTGTTGCATGCAAGTCATCTGACAGGCACAAAGGCCACAGGTTATACTCTCTGGACGAAGCAGCACAAGACTGTAAGGTAAGCTTAGGTGAAAGAGCTATGAAGGCATTATGTTGCACAGACTTACTACCAAAGCGTTCATAGCACCCTTAGGTCAAGCAGATGGCTGGGTATGAGTAAAGGTGGGAAAAGAAGTTGCAAAGCTCTTCGACCATCTATCTTGATAGTAATTAAACAATAAACAACCCATGCTCACAAGGGGGGCTATCTGTCAACTCTCGTCACAACCCTTGAGTTACTCAGAAGCAGTATTATTTCTGGGTCTTTACCAGAGTTTATCACCTACTAATAATATCTCTATATTTTCATTGGCTCTGGCAGAGGGCCTTTTGGAAAGGCTGAAACCAGACTCCCCAGTGCTTTCTCAAGTGTCTGGCACTCTCCATTCCAGTCAACAACACCTCACTTAATGTCTATGGTCAGGGCAATGCTGGGTCAAAGTGAACACCAACATCTGAGTTTTCTTTTTCTGCAATAATTACATGTTCATGCTTTATGCAGTAGTTAAGACAGAAATTCCAGAAGTTCTTCTTCAAAGGACTCACTGGTGATCTTTTTTGAATATTGAAATTAAACAAGCTCTGATGGTTAAAGAAATACTGTAAACTCAAACTTGTGTCAGACCTCTGATTTATTGAGGATGTTTTCAAGTTCTGCCATCTCTTTTACTTCATTCTATTTCAGGCAGAACTGAAGACTGCTTTAAAGCCCCTGCAAGAAAAGCTAAAAGCCTTCAGGAAAGTTAAACTCACATTTGATCAAACAGCAGACCATATCAAGGTATTCTTTCTGTCTGATCTTCAGTCAGTTAAGCAGAACGATTTTAAAGGAAATGCGTATTCACTAACCCTTTTTAATGGAGTCCCATTTCGTCGTTACAGATTCAGGCAGAGCACACAGAGAGGAAGATAAGAGAGGAGTTTGAAGCTCTGCACCAGTTCCTGCAAGATGAGGAGGCCACAAGACTCTCTGAACTGAAGCAAGAAAAGAAACAGAAGAGCCAGGCGATAATGGAAAAGATTGGTGATATGGAAAGCGAAATCACGTTCCTCACTAACACTATCAGAGCTGTTGAAAAGGAAATGAGCTCCCAGGATGTCCTGTTTCTACAGGTAAAAGCCTTTGAATCTAGTTTTCGCCATTTGTACTAAAACTTGAACTTTTAACTTGATGGCTTCTTATAGTAAGACATTATGTTTTTGTTTCTCCCTAGAATTACAAGGACACAATAAAGAGGTATGCGAACCCTCTCGCTCATCACTTAGATACAAAACAAGCAGACAAACATTCTTCAAGCTTTAAAGAGGAATTTTAGCCTAACGCTACGGTTTTTGTTGTGTTATGGATTCTGTCATGTTATCATTCTGTAGATCAGTACTGCATCCCTCAGCCACATCAGTTTTCATGGTTTAAATTTTTTGTTCATCGATGTTCTCTCACTACACTACCCAGCATGCATGATCTATAGGATAAATATATAAATAAATACAACCAAGCTATCATTAGCCTAACTTTCACCTCAGCTGATGAACAAAATCAAAGAAAACGGTACCTCTCTATTTATTCAGCACACAATAAACATCAGAAATTTTTATCTTTGCAGACAGAGTAAAGAACAAGAAGTCATTTCCCTCATTTGAGTAATCCATTCTCTCCACTGCAATAAGGATTTGAAGCTAATTACTAAGTTATACAGATGCAATAATATACTCAGCTTTGTAACAATACAATTAGCTATCTGTTTTGCTTCTGCATTCACCAGCTAAAAAAGAAAAACAAAAACAACTTAAAAGCAGCCTGCCCCCAAAATTCCAATCCAATGTAATACTAGTTTTACCAAACGTTCTCCCAACTTTATCCCATCATCAGAATAGGGATAATGGAAAATCTTGCACTAGAGACTAGTGAAGCACAGCAGTATGGTACAAGTAAGCATGTGGTAGTGGTTACCCTTTTGTTTGTGTCCCTTCAATATACAGATTGCTGTTTGTGAACGTGTTACCATTCTTTGTCCAGTTAACTCAGATGACCTCACTTATGTGCAGAACCTGGCGCTTACCAGAGGATCCAGAGATGGTATCAGACTCGCTGGTTGATGTAGCCAAACACCTAGGCTCGTTAAAATTCAAAGTCTGGGAGAAGATGAAGAACGTTGTTCAATACTGTAAGTATATGAGTTACTTAGCAATTAAGGTTAACTAATCTGGGTTAAAAAAATAGGTTCACCAGAACTGGGACCACAATACATAGGAACTCATGCCCACTGGTAATTTCCTTGAATCACTGTCCATGGTACACTGAAATGTTTTAAGTGTTTCACAACTATTCTGAGTCAACCAACTCCCTCTGGTAACATTTCAATCGATTGCACTGCTGCAGCTCCTGTGATTCTGGATCCGAACACTGCTGCAAGTTGTTTCCAGCTGTCGGAGGACCTGACACAGCTGCAGTGCTGCTCGCAGACCTTTACACTACCAGACAACCCGGAGCGCTTTGACGTCAGTGCTGAAATGCTGGGGTCTGAGGGCTACCGTTCTGGCAAATACAGCTGGGACATTGAGGTCAAAAACAACACCTACTGGGTTATCGGCGTGGCCAGCGAGTCAGTCAAGAGGAAAGGCAAGCACATACTGACCCCAGCAGAGGGATTCTGGACCATTCGTCTGCGTAACGGCGAGTACAAAGCCTGTTCCGCCCCTTGGTCGCCGCTAAGCATGATCAGAGAGCCGGACGTGGTGAGAGTTGTGCTGGATATGGACAGGTGTAAGGTCATGTTCTACGACCCACGAGAGAGGACGCCACTCTACACTTTCACGGACATCATCACTCCCCGAGCAATGCCTTACTTCTGCAGTGCCTGCAAGGAACATCCACTCAGAGTGCTACCAGCGAGTGTGTCCGTGACAGTGGGCTGCTAAGGCCCTGCGGAGTGACCCTCTTGGTGATTTAGCCAACTGTCCCAGACCTTTCACACTGTGTGGTCAAGTAGTGGGTGATCTAGTTGGAAACTTGACAGTAGTTCAAATGCATTTACTTGTCTTTTAGGTTAAAATGGACTACTTGAAGGAATGGAACAGCGAAATATCAAATTTACACAATTTTCCACTTGTCAGATACAGTCACTCAGCCAAAAGATGTTGGGTGTCCAAATTTTGCTTCGTTTAGAGCTGGAGCTATGAGAAATTGCTACATATTACTAACATTGTTAATACCAGAAGTCAATAGTTGCCCAAATCTTTTTCGTAAATACAAAGACATCCCAAAACTTTCCTCATTAAGTCTTCATTAAGGTCGCACAGACTTGTCAACATGTCTTAGGGCAGGGCTTCTCAACCTTTTCCAACCCGAGGCCCACCTGTTTATACACACAAAGCATATCGTCCCACAGGAAAACTACAATCAGCTTTTTAAATGCAATTTTCTCTCTCATTTCTTTGACACTGAAAACCTGAATTAGGACCTGAAAAAGATCAGACTGGTTCAATCACAGAAGCCAAAACTACAGCTATGTTATAAGCCATAAAGTAAAAAACAACATATGATTGCAGTTTACAAAAAAAAAGTGCAGAAATGTATGAGGTAGATATGGACTGTGTTTTGCAGTCCAACATGTTTTGGCTTTGCCACAAGAGTAATTGTTTGGTGTCGGGATGTCTCATTAGTTTTGAGGGTTTTGGTGATTCATTTGAAATCGCCAAACCACATTCCGTTCACTGGGCTTTTGGATTAGCATGTTCACAATCATCAATAATAATAAACCTTTCCTTTATTTCTGCTTCTTCAGGATTGTTTTATCTATGTAAGTTCAACTACTCAAATCACTGAATCTCACGATCAATGAGCCGAAATCAAAAGCAGATCTTTGCTTTTTTTTAAAGTTCATCTGTCTTTATCATCTGCAGCTCGAGCTGCAGTAAAGACATGAAAGCAAGTGAGAGTCTTTAATGAGTCTAATGTTAAAACAGGCAAATCACAGAACGCACTTCCATCAGTAGTGAACCATACCAGGGTTTGACTGGAAGTGGACCGAGACCTACGTTCTTTTGCTGGATCGGTTCAGCTCTTTGATGCAGACCCGAATATGGGTGAAATGTTCACACGTCAAAATGGAGCAAATTAAAGAAAAGGTGTGATAGGTCCTCACCAAACAAGGAAGGTGAAAGCACCCTGAGGAGCTCCTTCAACTCTCATGCTTTGCAGCTGCGTTGTCTCAGACTGATGACATGTAATTAGCCTGCTACCGTGGCGTTTTTATTTGTATGCCTGGATTAATATTTATATTGGTTATAACATAACAATGTTTGATTCTTAGATTTTTAATTATTGTTTTTTTAAACTTTTCTCCCACTTTTTAGTGACGGTACTGGCCCAGTACAAACTACTGCCTCCCCCGTGTATAGGCCCGCAGACCAGTAGAGGGTGCTTCGCAGCCCACAGGTTGAGAAACCCTGGTTTAGGGCACAGTACGAAAACTCATTAACTTTTAAAAGTGAATGAAACATCACAGTTTAGCTAAAATTTTAAATTATGTCTACAATTTATGTTGTTTCTATTTATAAATATATATCTTTAGTTAGAATTCAGTAGTAACAGTTATTTATAAAAATGAACAACAGAAATCGCAATCTCTGTAGCATTTGGCTACACAGATTTTAATTCCTTTTTATAGCTCACAGTAAATCATATAGTGTCCTAAACCGCATCAGCAATTCTGGGTGACCTTAATGAAGACCTGGATGCACTTTGAGAGAAATTTTGAATTCACAGAAAATATTTGGGTCACTGTTGACTTCAAGTGTTTAGCAATGTCAGGCTCACAGCTCCAGCGCTAAATGAAAGAACCAAAATCTGGACATCAAACATGCCTTTGATGATCACCTACAATGGGGGTTAGTGGAAAATTGTTATAAAATAATTCTAAATTATACTAAAACAGTAGTAATGTATATTGGTTTGGTGCAAATCAGAACCTGACAGTAAAGTGACATCTTTAAATACAGTTAAACACCTTTTGTCTGGAAGACTTTTGTTATAAAATCAAGAATGATTTTTTTTTTTTAAAAACATTTATTTCAGCTTGATCTCATTCACACGTTAAAAGAGGATAAACCCAGTGTCAGTGTTCACACTGATCTTCATGATTACTTTACATTGGATTAAAATTTGTGTCCACAGTAAATTGTCCATTCTGTTACAATCTTCTTGCAAGCCTTGAACTGGATGTACCAATCATATGAAAGTGAACTCCTTAAACTGGAAAGATCAGACTTGGTAGGCACTTGGCATTAGATCGGTATAGAAATATCTACATGATTACTTGTCCACTGTAAATTTTGCAGGCCTTGAACTGGATGTACCAGTCATATCAAACTGGACTATAAACTGGGGTGATAAGACTTAAGGCACTTTGTATTAGATGTGTAGAGAAATATACACCTGAAACCATTTGAAAATAAAGTTCCAAAGCAGTCAGTGTTGAGAATTAATGTTGAGGACATTAACATTAGTGTTTGGCAACACACACAAGGCTAATTTTCACTAGGATGAAATATAAAGTTTTCAGGTATTGCTTAAAAAAAATAATATGTATGATGTCCTGTTATTTACAAGACAACAGGGTAGGGAAATAGAGAATACTGGTATTTTTGAGAGTATTTCACACAAACATCCAAACAATAAAGAAATACTTCTTATGTTCTGCAGAGTCACGGATACTTTCTAGCAGGCACGGCTTGTCTTTGTGAATCTGTTAGCATAAGTATTGGGCCTTTCTGAAAGAAATCTTGCATAACAAACAGAGCTTTTGCTGGTAACAGAATTTCCATTCAGAGTGCTCTTTAAATCTATTGTGCGTTTCGTGCACAAGGCACAGCATGCACTCAGTAATATAGCGTATTCAATACTTTCAAATGTAGTGCTATTCATTTCAACAGTGCTAAACATTGGCTGCCTACATAACAGTACAAATCACAGCATAGTCTTTTTCTGAAACTGATCCCTGAAGTACCACACCTTACCTTACCTTCTCCTCATATTCTCAAAGCGGTATTCTACCCTCCGCTAAGGCATTATACACTTCCTCATTAACAATCTCATAACGCCCTGCTCTGGAGTTAAGAATGTAGATCTGGTCAGTTGTGACACGGGGGTCGTATCCTTCCCTCTGTAGCCTGGTCTTCTGAATTTTAAAAGTGCCTGTGAGAGAAGCACACAAACAACTCAGCATACAGATAAGCAATAGACAGACTAACAACTACAGATCATCTGCATCTGGCCTATTGATGTTCAGAAGTCGTAACTCACCTGTTGTGTCTACGTGTGGGGAGATGCGGAGAAAGACTGGCCGGGCATACGGAGGCAGGGCCTTCTGAATTTCTCTCAGAAAAGATTCACAGTTGAAGCTCCCTGCTGTGTCTGCAATGGCAGCCATCCCAGCTTTTCCCTCAACACCTGAAATTCACATCCACAAACAAATGTCACATGCTGGCTCTACCTAATAAGCGACATAAGCAGCTGCTTAGGGCCCCAAAGCCTCCAGGGGGCCTCTAAAAATGTTTGGGTAATTAAAATATCATCATGTTGTCTAAGATGACGAGTGAGGGGAAAAGCAACTTGAAATAATTATGTCTCAAAAAGGAAAGTATACATCTGGACCCAATAAACAGACAAGAACAAGAGATGATGAGGAGAAAAAGCTTAAAGTATGTTTTGGTGGTATTTTTAGTGGTGTTAACACATCACACACATCTAGTTTTTATGGTTTGCATGACGAAAGGGAGAGTGAAAACAAAACACGCTGTATCTTTAGCAAGTCTACTCAATTCTAAATAAAAACTCATTTGATTTTGCTCACCTGTCACTGCAACACCATACACAGCCACATCAGTCTGGCCCAGCAGGTTGCTCAGTGTGCCTTCCACTTCAGTCGTGGAGACATTCTCCCCTTTCCAGCGGAAAGTGTCACCACTGCGGTCACGGAAGTACATGTAACCGAGCTCATCCATCACCAGAACATCCCCTGAAGGAGATCAACTGAGTATGTTTTGTAGTGGAGGGACTCTAATTTCATATAGATTAACATCTGAATGACATCCCACTAGGTCTGTTTTTAGGCTTTTCCCACAGCTGAATGACTCAGAGCAGAGTCTCCCAGTGGATCATATAAAAAGGGAATACCTTCTAAACTATTCAAAAAACTTGTGACTTAAGATCTTTGACAGGACATACCTGACAGGTAGGCAGAGTCGTTTTTCTTAAAAACATTATAAGCAATCTTCTTCCTGGTGGCCTCCTGATTAGCATACCCATCAAAGCGACGCAGAGGGTCTTGTTGGTTGATTTTGCCGACCAGGAGCCCTGGCTCCCCTGAGATCAGAAGGGTAGATTACGCAGCAAACCATGACCATCCACTTTAGTAACACGCATTAGAAATCAAACGGCAACAAGAAAACAACTGTGTGCTATGCTAATAATGGAAGTAATCACGCAGAATTCTTTTTAGGATATTGATCTCACCTGGTCGACATGGAACACAAAGTCCTTCTTTGTTTCGCACCAGCTCCATAGTGTCCTCATCTACTTTCACCAGCCGGATGGGGTAGACATTCGGCAGAATCCGGCTGTTAAAGCCACAGGCTCCCACCTGGAGAAAAGAACAGAGAACTACCAATAAACTCTCCAAAGTTACAGCAAAGGCTGGATTACCCTGCACTGGGGATTTCCTTTTTTTAGTCTAGAATTACACCTAATCTGTATCCCGAACAACAGCTCTAAAAGAAGTAACTTGGATTTTATTAAACTGCCCTGGAGATCTGACACTGAACCCCCACCTTTAGGCTAGGATTTAAGCTTAATCTAACCAGAAAACCGGCTTCAAAACAAGCAGCTTTGATTAGAGACTCTCGTGATCTGCTAGGACCCCGACCTTGCCATCCATATTGGCGATGCTGCAGTTACACTCTGTGGCTCCATAGAACTCGCCAATCTGTTTGATCCTGAAGCGCTCCATGAAAGCCTCCCATACACTGGGACGAAGTCCGTTCCCCACGGCCAGTCGCACGCGGTGTCCCCGCTCTGATGGACGCACCGGCTGGGAAAGCAGGTAGCGGCAGATCTCTCCTATGTACTGCACTACCTAGAGAGGCATATCAACCATTAGTTCCCATGGACATCATATTGTAGTGGAGCCAACTCATCAGTTGATCATCAAACCATTCTTGAGCTGAATCACGTGTCAGAGCAGGGAAAGCACTATACCGTCCTGTGTAACTCTCCCGAACTGAAGTGTGACACCCTTGATTTGGAGAGTAATCTCTATCAGTTAAATCATGGTTACAAAAGAAATGATCAGTCACTTACAGTGCAGTTGTGTTTGATGCAGTCCTCCCAGAAGCGGCTAGCTGAAAACTTCTTTTTCACCACCACTGTCAGCCCATGGATTACACACTGACCAACACCCATTATGTTACCTGGGAAAAGTGATATCATTTACTTACAGAAAGTGATCTCTTAAATTTTATTGGACCAATTACACTAAAGCTAACACAAAAAAATTACATTAAAAGAAACCGAACACAATCAGTTTACCCATACCTGCTGAATGGTAGAGTGGCAAGCAGTCATAGATGACATCATCTGACCTCATGCGAAAAGAATAGTATCCAAAAGCTGCAATTCTGTAATACCTGAAACATGAATTTCTTCTGTGAGACAATTCAAAGGTTCTGGCACTTATGAAGTCACCTGTTAGACACGGTTATGTAACGTACCAATTGCAAAAGGAATAGTCAAAGGAAAAAAAGTGGAAAAAAAACCCAGGGGTTTCCAAAACCCGAGTTAAAAAATTATTAAAAGAGAAACAAGTCTCCTAACAACTGTGCAAGAGCTTGTAGACCACCAAAACTGTCACCATCAGATAAACAATACTTTCATCCTGATAGGAGAAAATCAAGCTCCGCTCTTGCTTCAGATCTAAAAAAATACACAGGTATTTCTGTCCATCTTTCCACTGTGAGAAGACAACTCAACACTATGGATCTAAAAGGATGTGTAGCTGTCAAGAAGCCCTCAGTGAGAAAAGAAAACAGATAAAAAGAAGAAAATTTCCAAGTCAAACAAAGAAACTGATGGTGTTCCTAGAACAATAGACTGACCACCTCAGAGTCCAGACCAAAATCACTGAACATGTTTGGGATTACTTGCATCATGAAAAGCAGGAAAATGTAACTAACTTCTAAGACTGAACTTTGGAGGTGTGGAAAAATATCCCTGCAGATTTCTTTAAAAAGAGGCAAGCAAGTTGCCTGAAAAGAACAAAAGCTGTAATAAAGGCAACGGCGTGGACACAAATACTGAAATTAATTATATTGAGCATTGGAGGCCTTTGTGTTATTTACTGTTAAATATATGCTTTCTGCTTTTTCCCCTGAAACTGGAAAAAGAACAAATTGTATTTTTGTGTCTTTCAGATTTACAGGTGCAACCTGCAGCATAACTTACCGGCTGTGCACCACAATAGCAGCTTTGGGAAGTCCAGTTGTGCCAGATGTGTAGATATAAAACAAACGGTCTGTAAACACAAAAGAGTATTAGACAGCACCGTTCCACTGAAAGACCCACTTTTCTCTCTCTCTAGTATGCATACAAAAACAGTACTTCATCACACAGGGGTTTTTTTTTTCTATCATTTCTATAATGTATAAAAGAATTTTGCCCATGTAGAACAAAAAGTCCTCCTGACAGATTTCCTATAAAGCCACAAGAGTGAGTAATTTCTCAGTTAATCTGCATGAATCATAAATCATTTCACTCATTTCACGCTTTTGTTTAAACACGTTTTTCACTCATTTTGAATTACATTTTTAATCACCTTTACACAATAAAGGCTGGTTTAGCCTGACATCATACCAGGCAAGTCTTTGTGAAATTTCTCATGTTTAATCTGCATCAATAAATAATTTCAATCAGCTTTTGTTAGTACTTATTTACTAATCTGGACTTCAATTGTATTCTTGCCTCTTCAGTGCAGACCATGAGTAATCAGACATGTGACAGTGTTAAGTCTGGTGGTCTCCAGCACAGTGGATGAGAAAAGAAACAATGAAAGACCAAATTACAACGGACGAAATTACTTCACACATGCAGCACGAAACTTGCCCATTTAGCTACAGAACAGACATGTAAAAAGCTCAAAAACTACTCTAATCTTGAATAACTAGAGTGTTGAAATGCTTAAATAGTGAAGACTACTCTCACTCTCAGTGTTGTGTGTACAGTACATAGACTGTATGGTAAAATGTATAAAGCAGTAACAGCTACTGTTACTACAAATCTGCATCATCGCAAGAAGCACTTTAAAAATTATGCATGTATTTATTAGTTTATGTTGGCCTATTTTGAAAAGAAAATATGCATGTTTGTAGCTTGAAAAAGCTGTTCAGGGAATCCTGACAGTTTTTCCAGACTGAAGCTCCTCATGGAATTCCCTCATGTTTCTCAGGCTACAAATTTTCCACAAAGGGGCGCCATTCGAGGTTGAAGGGATATACATCTCCTGTAATCAAATTTAAACCTTTAACAACAAATATGTTGTTTAAGAATATATTCCCAACATCTCAGAATACTAGTACTTTGGCTTTTGTGTCTCAGTGAGACCTGTGACACATTGCTTGAGAAGGATGCTCTCACATGAGATAAGAACCTGTTATGCCCATCTATCAGCTATTTTAGCAGACGTGCTGGAACCACTCAGGGTCATGAAATGAATCAAGTGAATCAGAAGTCACGTGTTTTACAAGTAAACTGCATTCAAACTTCACATTTAACATGAGAGTATGCTGTGACACAAAAATAACATTTTGCAAAGAAGGTAGGACTTATTCAAATCAACTGATCTTAACCACACTTATGTTAGTAACTCAGAATTATACAAGAAATAGTAAGTGTTACCAGAACTGTATTAGTAATTTTAACAAATTAGTAAGGTAAAGCAAAAGAGTAATTAAGTTTATTGCACATCAGTGCAATTATTCTGTTTTACAATGTGTGTTACAGGACTTGGAGTTGAGTTTTTCCATCTTCGCATAACTGGGTGAAACATGACAATTCGAGAACCTTTAGCTTGACTGAGAGAGACTCTTGCTGACGTCATTGAGAGGGACACTACGTTTGTTGACTTAATCTAATCAATCTAATCAATGACACTGTGTTCAATTTTGCTTCTGACCCCAAGTCTGCACTGTAGCAGTTTTCATTTGTAAAAATGAATCAGCAATTGTTTATGTAGATTGTCTATTTTATATATAATTTGTATAAAAGTGTAACAGCTTTGACCAAGTCTGTGTTAGATGGGGAAGACAACTGTGGGTGCTCTCACCCCTCACCACTTTCTCTCTCTCTCTCTCTCAACTCTTAGACTCTTTAGTTTTAGTCTTTAAACCTTTGCCCTAGCTAAGCCTTAGTGTGAAGTTTTGTGTGAAGGTAATAATAATGAGATCATTTTTATCCATTCTTTAAATTATGTTTCTTTTTTCATGTTCCTGTAATCCTGAAAAACAGGATTACAGGAACTTGCTTTTAAATTCAACGTGTGGTCTTCTCTTTTCGGTTCAGGAGTATATTGCATCACAGAAATTATGAATGAGTGTTCATTTCTAAACTTCAATCTTAGTTATGCTGTGGTAAATTACCCAACAAGGTGAAATAGCTATCTATCTATCTATCTATCTATCTATCTGTCTATCTATATATATATATATATATATATATATATATTCAAATATGCTTGCACATATTTGTGCACCGCAAGGCTGAAGGACACAATGCGTCACTAATGTGAACCACTGCTCTTTTGAAACATCAAAACTATTTGACCTTGTTTTTTTTGCTATTGACTTAAAGGAGAAGCTAGTTACATTTCTATCCATACAGGCAAAAATAAAAAGTCTGTGCTTGCGGCACATCCAGTCAGTGGCACTATTCTAATAATAATGTTTTGCTTTTCGCAGTCATCGTAATATTCAACAGCTTTATTGAAGATAAGATTTTTGTCAATTTTTGTGCAGCCCTAGTGCCTCTCTGATTTTGCAACATTTGTTAGGTTCTCATATTGAAAGACTGCTTTTCCTTTATGATTCACATGATGCAGATGTAAATACATTTGAAATAAAGATTGATATGATTTATTAACTGCTGCATTCTACAGTCAAATAGTGCACTGAATGTCCAGTAAGTAATTGTATACACATGACTGAAACCCAAATGGCTCTTTGTTAGACATATTATACACAGGTTAGGTAGCGAATACATTATTTAAAGACCTACATAGTGCACTATGCAGGAAGTAGGGAACCATGAGATTTTTCTATTGTTTCATTTCAGATGGAGTGTGGTGGAGCGCAGAGCTAGGACAACCAAAATGATGTCCATTGAAATTTTTTTTTGCTGAAACAGGTTAAACTGTAGCCAGAAAAATAAACTTTAGACATTTTTACTTTGTGAAATAAAAAGTAAAAATGTCTGAAGTTCATTTTTCTGAATAGGGTTTAAGCCCAGTCTTTGACTGAAGAAAATTTTCAGTGGAGTAAGTGCTTCTAATCATTCAGTTTCCCTACAACCACTGAACTGAATCTGGGTAAATGACCCCAAAGGTCCTCCCTTTGGTTAGAAAAATAGTTGACTTTTCCCTTCACTAGCACTTTGTGTCTGATGTCAATAATGCAAAGTACTGGGAAAAATACAGCTACAGAGATTGCAGCAGAGGACTTCAACTTGATTGAAATCAGTCAAGTGCTTTAATGCTCATAGAGGTTTCGACACAGAGATGTTGCTGAAGTTATATTGCTAAAATGACCTTTATGAACACTTGGATCAGCACTTCAGAAACAGTGGAAGGGTCACTACTCACCATTGAAGCCCTTTGATTGGGTATAAGGAGGAGGATGACGTGGGGAGGAAGCCAATATGGAATCCAGGGGCTTAGCGTTGAGGGCATCTACCTGATCAGGTCTCAGGTCACCAGTGCAGAACAATATCATAGATGGACCAAAAGAAGAGCTCACCTCAGACACAGCTGTTGAGAGACAGGCAGAATAAAGAAAAAACAAAACTCATTAAAAACTGCATTTTAAGAAGTTGAACAAGTCTAAAGAAGTCTAAACACATATAAATGCCTGCGAAGAGGATGAGGTAAGTTTTCATGTAGGGACTGTACTTTTTGTTTTACAAGCTTTCCACCCATGAAACCTGTGCCTGGTCCAATTGGAGATTATAAGGATTACAAAAATCCCATTCGATCTGGATTATATGCAAGCACTGCGAGGTCCAGTTCCATCATGTAAATAATCTGGACATGAAAACAGAGGAGGCTATGTGTAGCAATGGAGCAGAGGTGTTAAAACCTTTGTTTAGTTTTTGATGATCACTTTAGCCTTTGTAATTGATTGGCCACACTTAATTCCAGGGAAACAGGCAAGGGGAAAACAGTCAGTACTTAGGCTGCGAAGAATGTAATCTGAATATTTAACAGATGATAAGATGTGCAGGAAGAAGTCTTTACCATCAGCCAGCTCAGCTCCAAAAACGAGCCCCCGAGCGCCTGAGACTGCCAAACAGTGGAGGAGCGAGTCACGCCTAAGGTTGAAGTTAATCAGCGCAGCCTCCACACCGACTTTGGCAAAGCCCAGCCAGAGAGCCACCTGCAGTGGCCTACTCTCCATGAACAGAGCAACGACGTCCCCAGAGGTCCAGCCCTGGCTCAGAGCCCAGTGTGCTATGGCATTGCACAGCTGGTCCAACTGGGAGAAGGTCCATGTTTCCCCTGTTGCCTCATACACAAGTGCAGGCTTATTTGGGTGCTGTTTCACAGTCTGGGCAAAGATGGAGGGTACTGTGCTGCCATTACGCATGTAGCGCCAAATCCACAGCTTCACCCTCAAAAGCACATACAGACCACTGATGCACCAAAAAGGAAGAGAATAAATCATTAGAACGACTGCATAGCTTTGACTCAGGTTTGCACTAGCTAACTTGGTGATATTAGCTGTTATCAAGATAAATTACATCATCATATTTTTTTCTGAGCATATTATAGATATCAATACTTAAAGAGCACTGACCAACTGCATCTTTACAAAGAGAGCATAATTGGTTCTGTTTAACTGACAGCACAGTAAATTCCGACTACAAATCCTGTTCCAAGTGTTCCAACTTATCTGATTAACCCTCAGAAAAGTCAAATATTGTATACATATTAAGTACGGTTATGTGCCCCATCCCTACTGGCTAATGACCATGAGAACATACCAGTATGATAACATGTGTTAGTCTCCATTCACCTTTTGCATTTGTATAATATATATATTTAACACATTATTGTTATAAACAAGTGGGTACATCAGCCTGTCTTGCTCTACTGGCTGCACATTATACCCATATTACACTGTCAAACAACATCTAGCAAAATCTAAAAAGTCATAAAATTAAGTCCAGCTCAATCCTATGTTTCACTAAAGAAAGATTCCAGTTTTTTACTCACTTGACATCCCTCTTGGCAGTGCGAACTGCAACATAAAAGTACCTCCAGCCTCCGGTTCCCAAGTAGACCCCCAGTCCGGCCGCCAGGCTCCAGGGCCACGAAGCCCCGAAGAGCCGCAGCAGGCCCAGAGAGCCAAAGGACAGAGAGGCAGTCGCCGCATAGTGCATCCTACAGGAAACACAGCTGATTTGGAAAAGGCAGGAGAGCAAAACACTGTACGTATTTTTGCTTGAAAACAATTTGGGACTACGTGAAAGCTACCGGTTGACAACAGCGTCACCATACAACCATTAAAGCAGTATTTTGTTATTAAAGGGCGGAGAGCGGCGGTGTAAACAAACCCATGGGCGCTAACGTTACTCACCTAGGCTGCAGTGAGGGAAGAAAATATCCAACTGTGGAAGTGTCAGGTTTCAGGTGTCAGGCTGCTATACACATCAGTGGCTCAGCCTGCTCTGTCCTTATTGACTGACCAGGACCGACTGGCCGTTAACATGAGACGACCTTGCGTTAATGTGACTGTGTGGCTGAAGTTAGCCGCAACTGCTAACTCAGTTCCCAAAGTGTTGTTGACGTGCGGCAGCGCTGAGTCAGGAATTCCGAAAACGACGAAGACGAATCCACCTGTCTCATATAAGTAAGATGAGCTGCTCTAGACGTACAACCGAGGTTTAATCACATTTTTTCTTTAACGCGTTAGAGAAAAGTAAGAGCAACATGCATGCTGCATGGGTGTAATGTGGAGAAGCCTGTGAAGCCAGTGTTGAGCAGGAAAATCTCCAACATGGCTGGAGAGGGGGGGCTCACTGCTCTACACAATAAAAGTGTGACTCAGTCTGGAGGCTTTCATTTTACATAACGGCCATCGGGCATATTAAAGGGCACATACTCTGCAGATTTTCGTGAATTTGTTTTTTCCCAGAGGTCCAATTATAACGCTTGTGTGGTTTTATGTACTAAAAATTGTCCTAATTCATGCATACATAATTATTTTCCATCCTCCTTTTTGCCCTTAGAACTAAACAGGCTGTTGTTTACTTAATGGTCCTGGAACTTATTAAGGGCCCATATTTTGAGGTTTTTCGTGTCTTTTTCCCAGAGGTGCGATTATAATACTTCTGTGTTTTTTATGTACCAAAACTAGTTCAGTTTTACATAACCATTGTCCCCTAGAATCAAACAGGCTGTTTTTGTTACTGTGCCTTTAAGACTGAAATATGCAAAATATTTCTGTTCTGATTGGCTGCTCCATATATTCTCTCATTCAAAAAGCAAACATAGGCTTCTGTGAGTGGGGTTAAACTGCTGTAGGCTGAATAGGTAGATATATGTAAGTGGGTGCACTCAGTCTGTGTTGACTGGATACTGGGGGGTAAACAATGTGTTTGATTTTGTGATATCACAAACAGTGAATATAATACGGGCTGTTTTTGCAGCTTAGTTTGTACATATGCACTTAATTTACATATCGCTGCTGTCAGAACAAAATCTCGTATCTCCAAAATGGTAACTTTACAGATGAAGGAAAAAACATACTTTAATTTCAGTCAATGGAGTCAATGGAACCAGACATTTTTCCAAGTAATTTTGGACCATTTTTTCAATCGATTCACGAAATTTACACACAATGTAAAGGGCAACAGGCATTTTTAATTGATGTCAAAAACTGAAAAACAGCAAAAATGGAGATACAAGATTTTGTTCTGACAGCAGCGATGTACGGACTGTATAGGCTTGTTTACGTATTACATATAACTTTTTTTGCATAAAATTGAGGAAAATTTTTTTTCCCGTAATATGGGCCCTTTAAATGGAAATGCTCATCAATTTTTTATTAAAAGTGTGAAATCTGCCTTCCATTCGCCACAATGGCTCTAGGACTCCTCAAATGGCAGCTGCCATCAGTTTTCTATTTATATGTGTCCATAACATGCAAACACATAATGACATAATGATAATAAAAAAGTTCAGTTTTGAACACCATAGTTTGTTTCGCATTAAGCAGTTGGAGAATATTGTAATCTGCCAATGTAACGATGCATTATAGAAAAGTGTCACATAGCACTTGTTTAGCTAGGCAGTCAATTAATGGTTTCATTTTCCAAAAAGTTCTCTGAATCTGAGGCCTTATTTCTAACACATCATATCCATCTAATCGAGGTTTTCTGGAGCACCCAGGTGGTAGAGCCAACTCCAGTTTGAATGTAAACTCTGCAGGGGGGTTGGGCTCCATCGCATACATTATGATGTTTCCTATGGCTGATTTAATGTACATTTGAGACACGTTAATGATGCCTTCTTCTCACGTTAATGATGTCTTTTGCTCTACTTTGTGAACACAGATGTCAGTGTAGCCGGATTTCCTGTCTTTCCGAGCCTGTGCAGGAGCTGTTCTGGGTTGAAATAGCTCTGTTGGGCTGGAGCAGACTGCACACTCGGCACAGCACGGCCCGCCTCAGGAGGATGTAGACCCATGGGTCCAGGATCTGGTTCCAGGAGGCCATCCTCAAGGCCAGCAGTAGTGGCTTGTCATACTCCTCATCCGATCTGATATGGCCTTTGTAGAACTGTCTCACTGATATGGTGATGTAAATCTAGGTTAGGGAAAAGAGAATAAAAAACACCATTACAAAAGACCTACTTTGTATCAGGGCCCTGCTGGAGATATCCCTTTCTTATATAAATAATGTGTGGCCACAGCTTACTAAGGTGCAGGAATGAAATCGAAATGTGTGGCCACAATGTAATAAGGCCAGAAAACAAGATAACGTATTATAACTTAACTATCATGATTGAATTATCTTGTTCCCACGCCTTACTAACCCATAACCACAACTTAACTATCTAGTTCCCACACCTTACTAAACTATTGCCACAGCCTACCCAAGTTGGCCAAAGCTTAACTGTCTTGTTCCCATGACCTACAAGGTTGTGGCCACAACTTAATCTCATGTCTTACTACTACAAAAAATCAAGAATTAATAATAAAATTCAGAGAAATACGCTTTATGAGAAGCTAAGATCTTTTGCTTCATATATACAAACCTGATGTACAAAACCTGGATGTAATCTTTTTACTGGGTTTCCTAAGAAAACAATACAATACAAAACAATACAACTAAACTGATGAATTTAGATTGTGTTTCTATAGTAGAGGCTTGACCACAGCAACCCTGAGAGCATCTGGAAAAATGTTTCTGAGGAACAGTTCATTAGGTCTAAAACATTAAAAATAGGACTGTCTAAAATTTGTTTAAAAAATTAAGTTTGAATCAGATCTAAAATACAGTCTGAAGAAGTGAGACATTATCTTACAGAGCTCTGTGTCATTCTTCATCATAGATTGTGGTTTATATCATAACTTCTCGTGTTGAGTTCCTCAGGCACGAACGAATATCAGTGGTTTTATCTTATTCATTTACTTTAAGTGCTGTACACCCAAGACTACTAATGAGTTTGCAAATGTGAGTTTAAGCTTCTGTTTTTTGTAGAGTCTGTACTGTAGAGCTCAGCTACAATAAGTGCTGTATTGCAGCATTTCATGATTTGGGTTTTAAGTATTTTTATCATTTTGCACAAGACATAATGGCAAGACAGAAAGCCTCAAGCCTTATATTTTTTTCCCCAGATTTTGTTTTGTCTGCCAGATGCATTAGTATTTGGGACGATCCACTCACAAGGAAGGGGCTCCAGCAGACACAGGAAACCACATTTATCACCGCAAGCTGTGCCATCATCTCCATATCCAGTGACTGCAGAGGAGAGGATGATCTATGTCTCCTCGAAGTGGTCTGCTTAAGACCTTGGTTGCTAAACCTGGCCTGCAGCAATGTCAGCCCACTCACAGTATTACAGAATACAGAGACAGTCAGTGCGACTAGGCCCAGGCTTGAGAAAGCCAAGGCCAGACTCACATCCGCAGTGGAGAGTGACCCCCGCACAGGGAGGAAACACCAGGTGCCAGGAAACTGGAGTTTGTAGCTGCCCACACCCAGGAGAGGGAGCGCTGCGAAAGTGCAGGCCACGGTGAAGAGCAGGAGTAAGCAGAGCCGCACATGAGCTGTGGTGACAGCGGCAGAGTGCTGGAGGGACTGGGTGATGCCCATGCAACGTTCCACTGCCATGGCACACCCCAGCAGCAAAGGACTCAGGCCGAAGAATACCATAAAGGCGCCAAACATTTTGCAGAAGGCTCGAGGGGGCTCAATGGCTCTGGCTGCGGCCCTTTGCCTTCTAACCCTTCCCAGATGCAGGTACAGACCGAAGGACCCTGTAAGCAAATGACCTGCCAGATCAGTCAGGAGCAGAGCCACTGCTAATATCAGAAAAGGTGTCTTAGCTCGGCGGTGGAAGCGAGTGTATGATTTAGAAAGGATGGCCAGCGCTGTTAAGTTTGAGAGGGCTCCAAAGGTCATGGTGAAGTAGGATATTGCATAGGTTGGTGGGCTGAGAGGAGAAGAAGCTGTAGAGTTTAGACTTGGATCATGGGGATAGGGAGAGGAAATGTTCAAGTCCACAGAGTGCTGACACACAGTGGGAACAGAGGAGGTGAACACAGTATCCATGATGAGTTGCAGGAGACGGGGGTAAAGGAAGACGGCAGGTCAAACGTGCGTCATCTGGAATATCTAGGGGAAAAAATCAGAATAGTTCACTGTCAGATGCTGTAAAGTAGCCCCAGTGTTGTTGTAGATTACAGTGAAATGTTACAGAATACAGTGCACTTAATTAGTTTGCCTTATATCCTCTCAAAACCTAAAAGACAAATTGACACAATTTCCCCCTTACCCCAAATATAGTCAATATATATAGTTTCTCCTTAAATGTGTTCTTGAGAAACGTCAGATTCTTGGTGTGTTCTTAAACCACAGAATTGTTCTCACCTTTGTGATCTTGAGTGTGTGTAGATTCTTTTCTCACCTAAGAACAAAACCCAAATAAGAAAACATTGGTGAATAGCAGAATCTTTGTACAAACTGCGTAAGTGGGTTTTAAGAAGAAACTTTTTCTTAAGAACTGTTGGTGAATGAGGCCCATTATGATTAGACTGTTGTTTGTTCTATTAGCTGACTTTTTGCATACCTTTGTCTACTTTTATATGTAACAGTTTGCCGTAGAGTGTCAGAAACCACATTAGCAAGTCTACTTGAGTTTACTTATAGGGGAACAGTCACGCTGTCAAATAATCCATTTTCCAGCCCTCTAAAACATTCAGAACGAAGAATGGGATACTTTGCATTACAGCTCTGGAAATACTGGGCCAGATTCATAAAATGTACAGGCACGTTTACCATGACTATAAGAGCAAATAGCATAGCGTTTGCTCTTTCCTAAAGAAGGATTACTGATGCGTTTTAACACTTGCATGATGTGAGGGACTGTTGTGCTTTTCCTTAATTTACATGTGCTGGGAATGATTCATAACATGACACAATCCTGCAAAAAATAACACCTGAACCATTCAGACTGTATTTTCTTTTTTTCAGATTTTCCACTATTTATCTATTATCACTTTTTAGTATTACATACAGGTTTTAGGTTTACTCGTCATTTTGGATAGTAAATAACAAAATAATTGTGAAGTAGACATTGTGACCTCTGATTCCTATCACCACCACTGTAAAGAAATCCAAGTCAGTAAATATCTCTATAATGAACCATTTATAGAGACCACCCTGACTGACTCAACCACTGAATTATGAATTATTATAATTTTTGTAAAAATCAGTGGAGTTCACCCTTAAGTGGGGAAAATGCACATGATAACACAGAGCTTGTGTGCTGGCAGTTTGAACACTACATTCAGTGTTAAGGCCTCAAGTCGAGAAAATAGATGTGCAGGTTGTCTTGGTGAAAAAAAGACCTGGAGTTTAATTTACAGAAAATAATCACATGTTAATTGCAATATTGGTCAGAAAAATCAAAATTATATATTTTCCCCGTAAGGTTCAGCCCTAATTCTGGTCACATGAAACAACAAGGTGTAAACGGGGTCTTGGACTCGCAGTCCCAAAAGGCTGTGGCTTCACCAGGGATCAAATATATTATCTCCTGACAGCAGGGCCAACACTGACAGTTGCACTACACAAGAGCCCCTTATGACCACTTTTTGACTTTTGTATCCTAATCTGTACAATTATGTGGAAATCCTAGATCTTAGAGCCAGAATCAGTTCTATTACTCGATCACTCATTAAAAACTAGACAAGAATATCATGCAAGTTTGAATTCTTATCATAAAGCATACAGTATACGCCCCAGCAAAGTCCTCTCCAAGTGCTGAGTCCTCCAACTACACTTTTTCTTTATAATCCCAGTGTGACAGATAAGTGGATGCAGCTTGTGATTTCTTTCTGCTTTTGTTCTAAGTGTCAGGCTGCTCCATGTAGTAATATTCTCCGTGTAATAGGCCTGCTGCTCGGCTTGTCATGCTTCTGTGATAGAGATGTGCATGGTAATAAAGATAGGCCGCAAAGAAAAACCTGGATAGAAAAGCTGCTCAATCATAATGATGATCATTTTGATCAGTATTAAGATCACGATTTAACTGGTTACTCACTGACTCTGGAAACATCATGCATTTATTGAACATTTTCAATTTATTGTAAAAACTAATCCTTCAAACTAAACTACTAAACATATAAAAAATAATCTCAAATCTCAATTATCTTGTTTTCATAATCAGTGGCAGTTAAAATCATAATTGAAAATAAATTTGATTAATTGCCCAGCCCTACTGGACAGCAATCACACAGTCAGAGCTTTATTAATTAAAACTCAAATCCAAATTCAAATTTGTCTGAGAGAGTCCATTTAATTTGAATGCTTGGTTTTGAATGCTTGATTTGTATGTGTTCTATGTTCAAGCTCCTTTTTCTTCATCTGGCCAAATAATTGGCAATTCATTTATTTTCTTCACTTCCAGTAGTACTCCTTGTTCTCTCTCTCTCTCTCTCTCTCTCTCTCTCTCTCTCTCTCTCTCTCTCTCGTTACATTATCTCCTGCTGGGCAGTTTGTATGAACTGCATTTGTTTGGACAGTGTATCGATTTTTTTCTCACATTTTTTCCCAACGTATTCCTGTTTTTAACACCTCTTACAGGCATACCAGATAAACAGTTTTGCTGTGTGGCCAGTTTTTGATTTATTGCAACACCAATTATTTCTCATATTATAAGATGGGGTACACATTCATCACTGAAAAGAATAAGAAGTGTCCTGAAATTGTACTGTACAATAGGTATATTTTTTCACCTAAAGTGACTTCCTATAGGTTTTCACAGGGCGTAGAACTGCTTCCAGTTTCAGGTCCACAAACACAAGCATAAAAACTGATCAGTAACGTCATGCGTTGTATGTGTTGTCATTTACCTATTAGCTCAGTAATCTAGTCAGGAATGTGAGGGGGTGGTAGAAGGGTCAGGGCCACTCAGGAATGGATCATGGTGTTGAAAGCACCACCCACTCCACTCCAACTGTCCCCAATGAAATTCAAAATGATATATTCAAAGGTTATTCGTTCAAGTTACTTTTTACATCTGCAGTGGATTGTCTCAAGTCTTTGATCCACCTTGGGCCTTGTGGTCTGAGACCCCAGGCATTTGGAGGTCCTTGGGCACTGGTCCTGCTGGCCCAGTCACTAATCCACACTGAGGCCACTGCTGTTGCCATCAATAGTTAAGGTGCCCCTGGTTTGCCATGAAAAAATGCAGGAACATCTGTTTTGAAAGTAGCTACATGGAGGTAATAATTCCCAAAACATTTTTTAACGCTACTTTGACAATTCTGACTTTTTAGCCAGCAATGAAAAATACATAAGTAAAATATTATAGCACCCCTAAGGTGGTTATTTTTCAATAAATTGTGGCCATGAATTAATATATTGTGATATTAGTTTTCTTGTGGCTTCAATATATTAATTTATGGCCATGAAAAACTTAACTTGTGGCCTCAATATGTTAATTTGTGGCAATGCCTTATTAAAAATTATAACAACTGTTAAATGTCAACTTAGGGGCTTCAAAAAACACTATTTTTGCACTCTTACTCAACTACATTCCAATATAAAAAAAAACAAACATTTCTTTCTTTTTACTGCATATATTTTCATTTAGATCTTCACAAAACTCATTACAAATATCAAAGGCCATGAGAGTTTAAAAACAAATTCTCTTTTGCCAATCAGTCAAGTTCTAGAGCATTTTATTATTTTTTTTTTTTTTATCCAACCAAATTAATATCAGTGTTAAATAAAACTGTGCCCACAGCTGTGCCAATTAGGGGTATATCATCATGACTGTGATGACCATGTGCCTTGTGGAGAATGGACATTCTGTTAATTATGTAATCTAATGCAATGCATTGTTTGGCCACCAAAGTTTGCAAATAATTAGCACCAATCAGCAACTCACAGAAGCAATACTGCTGCCTCCCAGCTCAGCCATCATGATTTTTCTTCATCCAAATTCATTAGAATTAAAAACAACTGTGAGAATGCTGAGAATATTGTGAATCCCAATATCATGAATCATGGCATTACTAGTAGTCACATGAGTCTGCCTGCTAGTCAGCTTCTGGCCAAAAAGCTTCCTCAAGGCCAACGAGAAGTTTGAAATGCTATCGCCCACTTTATCAGAATTTGACCAAATGGGCTGCAGGTCAAATATTATAGAAGTTATATAATGTGTCCATTTCCTGTTTTTTGTATGTGCTAAAGCTGAAAGTTAGTAACAGTTCTCAACCAATCTGATTTTGCCATCAGATCTAATTGGCCCTTGCAAAGAAAAACAGTATATGTGACTTTTTTTAAAAAAATCATTTAAGTAGGACATGGCATTGTTTGATGCTCTGTATTTAGAATAAAAGGGTCACTCAAACGTAAATAAAGCATAGTTTTAATGTAAACCATTGTACAAAATAAAAAAGAAAGCAAAATAACTGATAATCAAAAGGGATGGAATATTAATATATGTTTTTTCACTGGAGGGGCTCAACTGTTGTATAAAATGTGTGTATGTGTATTGTGATCAAACATTGAAGCTACTTTAGTGTTAACTGTTACATAATGTACTAGTTCCTCGATTCAAGAGTCGATTCAAGTGAATCGACTCACGAATCGATTCACTTGAGGCGGCGGTTCGATAGATGGAGAAAGCTAACGCAGCACTTTGACAGAAAATTGATGATTTAGAGGGCCGCTCGCAGCGTAACAATATCCAGATTGTCGGGATTCCTGAAGGTGCTGAAGCCGGCAGACCTACTGCGTTCATTGCTTATTTGATTCCAGAGTTCCTGGGGGAAGAAAATTTCAATTCACCATTACTAGTGAACCGTGCACACAGGGTCCTGCAACCCTGGCTGGCTGAAGGTGCAAGACCTCGCCCAATCATCGCCTACATCCATCATCAGGTCAAGAAGAAAATTCTTCGGCTGAGGAGATCACAGACGTTGCTTCAGTTTCAGGGGCAAAGTGTCTTAATCTTCCCGGACTTTACCAGCTCTGTTATGGAGAAAAGAAGACAGTTCTCTGATTTGATGAGAGAGCTGCGGAGTTTCAACATTTCATAT